AGAAGAAAAAAATTGTTAGGTTAAAAAAAAGGTGTGTTTAAAGCTTTTTTTTTTTTTATATTTTTAAGCTTATGTTTTTTTATTAATTAAAAAGCTTAATAATAAAGTTTTTTTTTTATTATATTTTTAAATAAAAGCTTAAAAATCCCTATTTTTTAAAGGAAATATAGCTATATAAAAAATATTATATAATTTTTATTGCTTGATAAACTACTTAAAGGCTATTTTTTATATATTTTTTAGCTTTTTTATTTTAAAATAAAAGGCAGTCTTATGTTATAAATATAAAATAATATACTTTTTTTTATAAAGGTAAAAATAAATTCTTATATAAGTAAAAAATAGCCTATATAAAAAAATATATAAAAAATCTAATAAAAAATAAGGTTTTTAAAGGCTATTTTTTATATATTTATAGGCTATTTTTATTTTACTTTAATTTTTATAAGTAAAAAGCCTTTTTTACTTTTTTTTTTCTTTAAGGCTTGCTTAAGTAAAAGGTAAGTGGGTAAAGTAGTAAGGGTAAATACACTAGTAGGGATACTAACTGGATTTTAAGCTAATTATTTACTTAAGTAAGCTATACCTTACCTCTTAAATAATATACCTTATCTTCTTCCTTAAATAAAAAGCTAACTAAACTAGATATAAAATAGTAAATTATATAAAAAAATCTATTAAAAAATTAGCTTTTTAATAGTACTACTTATAGCTTAATACACTTACTAATAGCCTAGTTATTTATAAGTAAAGATTCTTATACTACTACCTTTTAAGCTTAAGTACTGCAGGGGGAAAGGCATTAGTAAGAATACTAATTAAATTTTAAGCTAATTATTTAAGTAGGTCCTAAGCCCTACCCCTTATTAATACTATACTTAATTAAAGAGAAAATTATAAAAATACTATTTTTTATTTTTTAGCTTTTTTAAGCTAACTAAAAGAGGTATAGCTTAAATAAAAATATATAAAAATCCGCTTAGCTTTAATTATTCTAAAGGTATTATTTTTATTTATAAAAGCCTATATATAGTTAGTTTTTTATAAGCTTAAAAGTAAAATTAAATAAAAAAAAAAAAAAAATTTTACTAAGTTTTTCTTTTCTTTTTTAACCTTAAGTATAAAGCACTTATAAATAAAGTACTTTTAGTATAAAAGAAAGAGAAATTTCTTTTATAAGCTATTACTGCCTTTTTTAAAATAAAGCCTTAAAAAATTAAAACTTTAATTCTAGCTTTAATACTTACTTTAAAAATTAAAAAAAAATATATATATAATCCTTATAGCTTATAATATATAAGAAGATTTTTTTAATATTTTTAAAGCCTTTATTTAAGATATAGTAAAATAGTAAAAAAAAGTAAAAATTTAATTTAAGGTAAGAAGCTTATAAAAAAGTAAAAGATCTTATATATTAAAAATATATAAAATTCTAATTAAAAATAAGTATTTTAAAGCTATTTTTTTTATATTTTTAGCTATTTTATTTATTAATAAAAAGCTATATAATATATTATTTTACTATTATATTTATATATAAAGCTTAAAATACCTATTTATTAAAGAAATATAGTTATATAAAAAATATATATAATTTTAATACTTAATAAGCTACTTAAAGCTATTTTTTATATATTTTTAGCTATTTTATTTTATAATAAATAGCAGTCTTATATTATAAGTATAAAATAATATACTTTTTTTATAAAGTAAAAATAAATACTTATATAAGTAAAAATAGCTATATAAAAAATATATAAAAATCTAGTAAAAAATAAGCTATTTAAAGCTATTTTTTATATATTTATAGCTATTTTATTTTACTTTAATTTTTATAAGTAAAAAGCCTTTTTTACTTTTTTTCTTCTTTAAGGCTTACTTAAGTAAAAGGTAAGTAAGTAAAGTAATAAAGGTAAATACACTAGCAGAGATACTAACTGGATTTTAAGCTAATTATTTACTTAAGTAAGCTATACCTTACCTCTTAAGTAATATACCTTATCTTCTTCCTTAAATAAAAAGCTAATTAAACTAGATATAAAATAGTAAATTATATAAAAAAATCTATTAAAAAATTAGCTTTTTAATAGTACTACTTATAGCTTAATGCACTTACTAATAGCCTAGTTATTTATAAGTAAAGATTCTTATACTATTACCTTTTAAGCTTAAATACTGCAGGGGGAAAGGCATTAGCAGGGATACTAACTAGATTTTAAGCTAATTATTTAAGTAGGTCCTAAGCCCTACCCCTTATTAATACTATACTTAATTAAGGAGAAAATTATAAAAATACTATTTTTTATTTTTTAGCTTTTTTAAGCTAACTAAAAGAGGTATAGCTTAAATAAAAATATATAAAAATCCGCCTAGCTTTAACTATTTTAAAAGTATTATTTTTATTTATAAAAGCCTATATATAGTTAGTTTTTTATAAGCTTAAAAGTAAAATTAAATAAAAGAGAAAAAAAAGAATTTCACTAAGTTTTTCTCTTCTCTCTTAACCCTAGGTATAAAGCACCTGCAGATGTAGTCCTGGGGCTTGACGTAGCCTCTGTGCAGTGGATCCAGGTAAGATCGAAGAGCTGGGAGCTAAAGGGGCCGGATGGTTAAAAGACAACGCGTGCCGGTGTGGTCGATCGTATATCGTGTCCCTTGTTCACGCACAACGTCAATGTTGCCGGTGTGCAGAACGGCAGTAGGGATCTGGCTGAGAACGAAAGAAGTTTCCGTCTCATGCACGAACCGCGCCCATGATACATATAATGTCTATTAATAATCGGTTCTGTAGTCAGCATGTGCATATTCACAGAGGTTTGATAAGTGAAGATGGCCATGCAGCCTCACCTCATAACGCAGCATTGAGGGACTAATTACTTCTTTCTAAAACCGTTCTTTCCAAAACAATACCCCTTCCGGGTTCTGTGCTTGGTATTCTTCAACAGTCGAGGTATTAGGTAACAGAATGGACTCCTGGAGCCGCTGCCGGAGGTGTTCACATTCCTTTAGAAGATTTCCCACCAACTGGTCGATATTGGGAAACTCGGTACTGATGGCTAGTTCGACCAGATTCCCGCAACTGGCGGATGTGTTCGCAGAACCGGTGGATTTGACAACGTCCTTCCCGTTTGTCATTCCTTGTTGCGCCCTGATATCGTGTATAAGGACTGTGGAGACTGCGGTATATATCCTCTGAAGTTGCTCAGCCTTGCGCTGAACTTCGGTAAGAAGGTCGGGAATCTTGTTGAAAGCTCGTAGTCTCTTGACAAACTTCCTACCGCATGCCCCTGTCTTATCGGATGTAGTTGTCGCTCCATCAAGGTCAATATCCAGAACCTTTGCGCACTTCATGCATAATTGCGCAATGCTTTGTAGGATGTCGAGAATATTCACAAATTCTGACAAATGGTTTCTTATGACGTCCTCACCGATAGGATCTTGGAATACCGATAGCAGAAGTCTCAGGTTCGTGGTCAAGAGCTGAAGATCCTCGGCGGCATGGTCGAGCGAGTCGAGTCGCGTCTTGATCTCCGACCCCAACTTGATAAGGATTTGCAATGTTGAGATGATGTCGACTGACATGACTGAAATGTGGGAGAGGCCGCTGGATGCGGCGAGCTGTCAATTGAGACTGCGAAACGTTTGTAAGAGAAGCCTGATGAGTACGCCCTTGCCCAGAGCTTAAGTAGGAAGCAGAAACGCGAGAATGCCACGATCACACGCGAGACAACTCAAGTGACTGAGTGGCAATTGTCCAATTAGCCAGGAGGCGATGCTTCAGGTTACACCTGAACTCGCGTTGGTGACATGCTACAATTTTCTCGGAGGCATATCCCAGAATATATTTCAGCGCGTCCGTATATATCACTGCTCTTAGTCTTCCTGCAATGCGTCTATCCGACTCCGTGTCGTGCAGGCGATATTAGAAGATGTCAGAAACATGTGAACTAGATAAGTGAGAATAGAGCCCACCTCTTGTTCGAAGTGGTATCGACCGAGCAGCTGCAAGCATCCTCCGTATCGGTGGGTTCTACAGTACAAGAAACTCTCCGTCTTACTCGTGCGACTGTAACAAGATGTGGTGCAACTCCACGGAGCATTTTCCTTGAGGGGGCGCCCAACATTATTCGTCCGTTAGGAAGTGCCGTAGGTTTTGCCAACCAAAGATACCATACCAGGTACTGATACCTAAGGTACTGGTAGGGAGGAAGCGAGAAGAAACGTATCTTGACCCCACCTTTTGGCGACCTGTGCCTCTTCGTGGGAGGAGGCAGACGGGTTTATGTAATCGAAGCTCTGGCCGCCAAGGCTCGGACGTTGCATGCGTGATTCATTTCTCTTCCATTCTGATTCTATCAAATCGTGGCTACCTTAGGAAGCCCGTGTCCCTCAAAACATTCGGGGCCCTAGACGCCAGATTGCAAGATCACAGCAGCAGTCTATTCTTCGGCGTTCCTCTACGCCTTCTAATCTACCGCTTGGACAATGGAGAGCTGGCTCACAAAAGTTGGGGCGGTTGGCTTGAGCGACCTGGAGCTTACTGATTTTCCAGTTACCGGGCGCGGCGTGAAAACACTGCGGCGATTCAAGCAAGGAGAGATGATCCTCACCATTCCTTCTGATGTTCTTTGGAGCGTCGAGCACGCATATAGCGATCCCAATCTTGGTCCTGCTCTTCGCTCTGTGATGCCGCCGCTATCCGTCGAAGACATCTTGGCCACATACATCCTGTTTGTCCGGTCGCGCGAGTCAGGGTACGATGGCCTTCGAACTCATGTATCAGCATTGCCTGGTATTTATTCGTCAAGCATCTTTTTTTCGGAGGGAGAGCTGGAAGTTTGCGCTGGGACATCTTTGTACACCGTCACAAAACAACTTGAGCAACGGATCAAAGACGACTACCGGCAGTTGGCCGTCCGACTGTTTGCACAGCATCCGGACCTTTTCCCACTCCAGAAGTTCACCATCGAAGATGTACGTTTACTACGCCGAGCAACAGATCCTGTGGTTCGATACGACTGATCTTTCCTTGTGCATTCTGTCTCTAGTACAAATGGGCTCTCTGTACCGTATGGAGCCGTTCAATGGACTTCACGCTCCCCGATGGAAGTTCGATCCGGCTTTTGGCGCCCTTTGCGGATATGCTGAACCACTCATCGGAGGTCAAGCAATGCCACGCCTACGACGTCAAGTCTGGAGATTTATCAGTCTTTGCAGGGAAAGATTACGAAATCGGAGATCAGGTATGTTTAGCGTGTCGTCCATGAACAATAGTAGGTATGGTTGCTTACATAGAGATTGCTTTTCCCAGGTTTATATCTATTATGGGCCGATTCCAAATAACCGTCTCTTGCGTCTCTATGGCTTCGTTATTCCCGACAATCCTAACGACAGCTACGATCTGGTCCTAACGACACACCCCATGGCGCCGTTTTATGAGCAAAAGCAGAAGCTCTGGGTATCGGCCGGGCTCGATTCGACGACTACCGTCGCGCTCACGCTGACCGATCCGCTGCCGAAGAACATCCTTCGTTATCTTCGTATTCAGCGAGCGGACGTTTCGGGGCTTGCTGCCATAACGCTTCAGCAGATCGATGGTACGGATGAGAAGATCAGCGATTCAAATGAAATGGAAATTTTGCGGTTCCTGGAAGAGTCGATCAGTAGTCTTCTCAATTGCTTTGCGACTCCATTAGAAAGGCTAGAAAAGCAACTGGCAGAGGGCGTTTATCCTGTTGGAGGCAACGCGTGGGCGGCGGCGCACGTTAGTGTGGGCGAGCAGCGGGTGTTGAGATTAGCGAGAGCGAAAGCCAGGAATCTGCTAGCCGCAGTGGAGAGCGGAAGTGGAAGCAGATCCCCATCCGCGCCAGCGAGATGTGCAAACTGCGACAAGGGTTCCGTGCCCCTAATGTTATGTGGGAGGTGCAAGTCAGTCATGTATTGTGGACGGACATGTCAAGTCGCCCACTTCAAACAACACAAGGCGGCATGCCGAGGCACGGCTCAATAGTCTACATAATTGCTCATAAGCGGCTTACCTCTCGTAAAATAATGTCGGCCACTCGTCTCCAGGGGCAGTCTGATCCTGCCAGCCCACTCCTTTGCGCCAGATTGACGAAGACGCCGCCGCGCTGTTGTCTAGACGATGCTTCATCGCCGCCGCCCCTTGGGTCATGTAAGTGGTTTCCATTGGCGTTTCCTTTGGGTAGCTGAGTCCCCATGGTGATTCGTCCCTGTCCAGCACTACTTTGTCAGTGGCTTGCGTTGGTTACTATTAATTGTGGCTTTGAGTGAGGTGATAGTGTGTCGGTTGTTGTCAGTTTTGTCCGCGTGGCGTCTTCTTTCCTATGGCCGATGCGATGTGTCTTCCCGGACGCAGCCGGAATCTTGCAATTATTTCTTGCCAGCGTTGCTGTTTTACTGTGACTGGTTCTGGGCCGAGGCCTTGCTCTATCTGTCAGATTGTCATCGTGACCCTCTTCATAGCTTTCCTTTACCGCTCCCTTAGTGGATATTCTTCGAATTTTGAACGGGCTATGTGACACTTCGGATGGTCCATTAACAAGTGAATTGCCCAAGCGTGTGTCCTTGCAGAATCAACTCATTGTAGCGGACAGTCACCCATTCAGGGCAGTACCTTTTTATTCCGTTAATTGTTGAATCCTCTTCTTGGAGTAATATTGGGGTCTAACCCAGGTGGCAACCGTGGTAACCCGATAACACTGATGCCCAATCCGGTCAAGCTTAGACGACTTTCTTGAAGTCTACCTAAGTGATGTAGATCTGTTCGTGATAGCTAACCGCAAGCATGGGGCCAGCCGGAGCCAAAATTTCTTGACCTAATTCACATATACAAAACTCTTGAGTCCAGCCTGAGATCATCTCATTATTTGTGTGTGCCCGTGTGTTTCGGTCTCATACCCACTCCAAAACTGGCAGAAGTCCTGCCCTACAGTATCTGGTTAAGTTATGCGCTTCGTCGGGGCATGGAACAACTTCATTTAAGCTTGTTTGACAGAGTTAATCTCCGCCATTCACGGAAATTACGACTTCCTGACCAAGCTGTATCTCAACGAGTCGGACGTCATTGAAACCCCTAGCAGAGGGATGGCCGGATACTACAACCTCAACTATGCAAGGTTGAGGCAAGACAGATGAAGTGGCGTCCCTACTCCACCATCTACCATACATACGGGTGCCGAATAGCGACATACCCAGGATCCAAGCAGCAGCGTATTGCTATTTCGCCAATTGGCAGTGGATCGGCCGTCTCTTGAGCCGCGACCCGCCCCAAGCCGATAATCAGAGGGTAGCAACCGAAAGCGCGTCTCTGTTTGAGTCATTCCTCTTCACGTCATTACCCTCACATATGGTGGACTGTATAATCTAGTCTTTTTGATTGACACGGAGCTTGGTATTGCTCCATGGTACGAATGCCCCGGCGAAGTCAAATACAGCCTCTCGCGAGAAACTGTTGAGGATGAGCTGTATGATTATGGAGAGGACGGGGCCCAGGCCGAATGGCGCTGAGAGTGCGCTGCATGGTCTGTGTCGGATTATCTTCGAGGTTCTCAAGGATCGATTTCTCGAGCTTCAATTCATTTCCATCAATTATCGGTTGGTGGCGGATGTCTTTATTCTTCTTAAATATAGGTCCAGCTGGGATGAAAGAAATGCTGCAGGGTATCTATAGGGAGCATGGGTGGCCGGACGTGGCCAATATCGCAAAGTAGATTCTCTACACGCGGTGCAAAAGGCCCTGGAGGAACATTATCCTGGTACGGAGGATATGTAGCCTCGATGGAGAATAAGGCTCCTGACTGGACGCCAAGATGTCTCCCGTCCAGGTTACGTAGCATTGTGCATGGGGTAATAACGGGTGTGCGAAAATTTACAACGGTTCATCCATTACGATCAACCACGAAGGCCAAATGATTTCTCATTGATACGAGAGTACGGCGTGAGAACTTTGTTTGTGCTTGCTGCTTGAGACTGACCATGCTCTAACTTTGGCTCACAGACTTTCTTATAGAATCGAGCAAAAGCAACATGGAATCAGCAACTGCATCCGAATTCTGAGCAGTGGCTCCTTGGTCGCCGTGCAAGATACAGTCTTGCCCTCCAAGCTAGCTACTATCACAAGCGAGCCATAACAGTGTACCACTGTGTTGCTGCCGCAACACTTGGATGTCCCAGGACCCACGGGAGCCCTCTTGACTGACGTTCAGTAAAGATATAGCGATGTGCTACAAGAAAGCTGCAAGCCTACTGAATAAGATGTTTTTGGTCGGCCACAATGCCCTGCTGCTTTCATAATGTTTCTCCTTCGTCTAAATTAGGGGAGGAAAACACAACTACCACTAGATGGTCGTCGTCTACAATGGAAACCAGGCGACTTGTAATGCAATTGCCTGAGGGCTCGTGTAGATCACTGCTTGCCCCTCCCCGGTTGGAACCTCCGTGGCATAAAAGGTGGAAGATCCCTCAAAAACGAGGTGTGTGCCGTCCCAGCCAAAGCTGCTACCAGTAGAGATAGAAGAATCGCAGCTCAAAGAAAAGTCGCTCAAGACTGCGCACTTGCCCTTGCTAGTGTTCAACGCAAACATTCTGCCATCGGCGTCAGGCGTTGCAGTGTAGGTAGCGGGAGTACCGCCGTTCTCGCGATACCAAGTTCCGCGGCTGATGAGAAAGCCACCGCTCGTTGTGCCGGGAGTATCGATAAAGAAGTATCCCTTCCCAACAAGGACACCGGATGGTACGCTGGGACGAGTGGCTGTACTCGTGCTCGAAGATGTACGGGTGACCGTCTTGATGGTTGTTGTGGATGTAGGGGTGCTGTACTTGGGCAAATACTTGATACCGGTTTTTGGACACGTCGATGGAGCGCCAACAGGCTCAACGGGAACGAATGTGCCGCTCTGGACCGAGCCGCGGACGTTGTAGTGATACCATAACTCGTTGAGCTCACCATTTTTGGCGCAGTTTATAACGACGTTCTGGCCGTGATGCGCAGTAAGAGCATCTTGAATTTCGGCCAAAGTATACGTCATTGTGATCGACGGCAAGATGCCGGCGGCAGCAAGCCAATCATAGGATGGCAGGGTTTGGAACAAGGTGGTGGCCCGCCTGAAGAAGTCGACAGCCTCTTCAGTGGGCTCATAATTGGGATAGCACCGTGGCTCAAGGGTGCTGATACATGTGCCATGCTTCCCAAACTCGTGCTCCCAGAAGCTTTCGTCATTCCCTTGGTAGTCTTTCCAGTATATCTTCATGAAATCCAGCGTAGAGGGATCTGATTCCTGAAGAATGGCCGTGATGTTAGTGTACGCTCTAGAAGTGTCGCAGTTTTGCTCGTAGCTTCCGTCACAATTGTCGGGCCTAAACCAATGATTTAGCTGACGAGGACAGGAAAACTGATACGCGGTCATGTTACCAAAGGCCGTGGACGGTCCACGAGTTATTAGGGCCAGTAGACGGGTTGGTATCCCAAAATTGCGTAAGGAGGAGTTGGCCACCGGGGTAGACGAAGTGACACGTATCCGAAACAGCAGTGGTATTATGGCAGCTCAGCGGCATCAAACACGAACCTGAGCTGGCCATCGCTGAGCTGACAAGAGCCCCGCCGAGCAGCCATCGCTGAAGCGCCATCCTTATGAGCAAGGAAGGGAGTTATTTTCGAGGATGGAAATCTTGAGTGGATGTCTGATCTAGGTTCTTTATTGCCCAGAGCTGTCCCTTTTAATACTCTCGACATCTAAAAGTTTTTTCTCCTCAGCGGTCTAGCCCGCATTAGCAGCAGTTTCGTCAAAGCTTACGGCTGCATTTGCACACCGAGGTCGATGTGCCAAGAGCTGGGGTGCTGAGAGCTGGACAATGATTCTCCACTTCAGTGTTGTTATCGGTTTCGAGCTTCCACTTGAAGTTAGCAGGTGCGAGTCGCTATCTCTGTAGTTGAGGACGGGACCATTTGTACTTTGTTGTATGTAGCCTCTGCAGTGGTTGGTCCTGAATAATCTTTGAATACTCCGGCCGGCTGTGCATTTCCGTTCTCTACAGCGCAGCATCTGACTAGTTGTATCGAACCATTAGTCCGTATAGTATCGCATGCAATTGCTAGTCAATGGTAGCAGATCAGTCGAAGGCGTGAAGTCAATATACGATTGCATTGCCCGCCTTGTTATGACAAACGTACCGAGGAAGAGAAGACAGTGTATGCCTCTATGTATCAAATAAGGAGCCAGGAACCTCATTACCCGTATGCTATTATCGAGTGGCACTACATGATCTCCGAAAAATTTAAAAAAGAAATAAAAAATTGTCGTTAGGTTTTTACAGCAAGCTCTCTTGGGTTATCGGAGGCTGGCTGGTTGGAGCTTGTGCAGTCTCTTTGCTGATCGAGAAGATTAGCATGTTTCTTTCACAATGCAAAAGAAGTATTGCTAGGAAGGTTCGAAAGAACACTTACTCTTCTACACAGTCATTTCCTGGAGACTAACAGAGCTTTATGTAGTATATATGGAGACGTGAAGCTACTGCCGGGTGCATGGCTTGCCCATCACCGCACGAGTTCGAGCACGTTAATATTCCAATTACGACTCAAATCAATACCTTTGTCAATGGGAGCTCGTCTTGACATTAACGCATCCTTTCAAGTAATGCAATGCAGCAATGGAGGAACTTGTAGAGACCGAGGGAGGAATGGCGAAGGGCGGCCGGAGCTTGGAGTCCTGGTGGAGGCTGAAAGCTTCGAGTTTCAGCGTCTCCCAGAAGTTACCCAACCCAAGTGGCTACAACGACAATAAGTATTCTATACCTAGTAATATTGTTCGATGCTTGTATGGAGTAGATGCTGGAGTCTGGTGTAATATTAATGGCTTAGTTCATACTACATTTGACATTTCCAGCCCGAGAGCGCACCGAAGCCACATGCCGCATATTGACAAAGTGCTAGATTGTGTAAGGAGGGCATTCTCTATAGAGGAATCAGCGTTTGCATATACCTACTACGTCATTGCCCTAATGGACAGTAAGCTAGCCAGCTGCATTATGATAAGAGTAACGTGAGATAGGTAATAAGTCTTACAACACTTTCCCTTATAGCCACTAAACTACAACATCGTCCTGCAGTTCCTATATGATACGTATAACCCATTGATACATCCAAGTATCCAGAGGTGTATGGAAATATCAGATCAAGACCTCTCTCTTCTAAGAAACCTAGAACCAGACGCTGGTAGTATAATAAGCACACTGTGACTCGCTTAGGCCCTTAAGCTTAGGCCGGCTTGCTTACTATTAACCTCTCATAAACGCTACTGCAATGATTGGAAACTTCTTATAGTAGAATGAGGCAATAAGACGCATCTCAGGTCACATATAGTCTTATGTTTGAAACCCCTCACTACTGCCATTTATCTTGTGGAAATATCTATTATTTCAGTCTATACGTAATGAAGGCACTTTTCAGGATCTCTTCCCTAAGCTTGTATAAGCAGGTTTGTTGCCGTAACCATTCTGTCTCCTCGCCTAATACCTGTGAAGCACAGAATACGTTTATTCTATAAGAGACGTCTTACCTTCCATCGAGATTGAAAGCTTAAACCGTCTACAACGGATGCCCTCATCATGACCCGTCTAACTCGAACATCTGCCACATTAGTCTCGGGTAACAGGAGGAGTAACACGACCAGTGTAACACGTTAAGCATACAATTGAACGAGAATGGTGAGGACTGAGATAAAAGAATTCTGTTAAGGATCTAAAATTATAGTGCATACAAGGTAGATGTTAGTAGGTGGTTTCAGTTTTCCTTTCCTTTACGTTGGTATAGAGCAGCGTTCACCAAATGTTAGCAGAGTTCTATCTATGTCGTATCCATTCTGCCTTATATCTCTCAAGGGCGCCGAGCTCATCCTACGAAGCTCTCAGGCCATCGTAGGAAATACAGGATAGACACTGAATTCTAGGCTAGGTATGCGAGGCACGCGGATCTAGGGCAGACTGGGCATTGCATAGCTATGGTGTAGTAGAACTCCCGTCAACGGCTATTCTCACCTAGACTTTCCCCTTCGAACTGACAAGTTGTTATATTGCCTGTGTACCAAGCGCTAATGTGGACAGGATTAATGCCAGAGTTCATTAGCCTCAAGTAGAGCCTATTTCCTCGCCGGAAAGTCATCTCTCTTATTGCATTTCTGCCCTTCCCACTAACTCAGGGTGCAGCGCAACACTACACGCAACATATACACTTTATTAGCCGTGCAACAAGGCTATTCTACGAAAAATGCTACACTCCACATGTTAAAGGCGCATTCAACCAGCTTCTTTATTGGGTAATATACAGCCAGGCGGGGATGAAGCTCATTAGCCGCCACTCAAGGCTATACAATGTTGCCAACTCTCCGGGCTTTATCCTGTGCTCCCGAATACCACATCGTGATGATGCTTCAGCGCACGGAAGTCACAGACACCGCCTGTATAAAAGGGGGACTGTGACCCTGTATGAGGCGCAACATGGTCTCACAGCAGCTCACCTGAAGAGGCTTGTAAGATCACCCTCTGTGTATTGCACCATGATTGTCGGCATTCTCACCACGCTGGCTACGCTGGCCACACTCGCAGCTAGTGTGCCTCTAGAGGAGCGGCAAGCTTGCTCAAGCGTCTGGTAATTATGTGAACCCTCTCAAGAGACCCAAATACTGAGATATGTCAAGGGGCCAATGTGGTGGCCAGAATTGGTCGGGTCCGACTTGCTGTGCTTCCGGAAGCACATGCGTCTACTCCAACGACTATTACTCCCAGTGTCTTCCCGGCGCTGCAAGCTCAAGCTCGTCCACGCGCGCCGCGTCGACGACTTCTCGAGTATCCCCCACAACATCCCGGTCGAGCTCCGCGACGCCTCCACCTGGTTCTACTACTACCAGAGTACCTCCAGTCGGATCGGGAACCGCTACGTATTCAGGCAACCCTTTTGTTGGGGTCACTCCTTGGGCCAATGCATATTACGCCTCTGAAGTTAGCAGCCTCGCTATTCCTAGCTTGACTGGAGCCATGGCCACTGCTGCAGCAGCTGTCGCAAAGGTTCCCTCTTTTATGTGGCTGTAGGTCCTCCCGGAACCAAGGCAATCTGTTACTGAAGGCTCATCATTCACTGCAGAGATACTCTTGACAAGACCCCTCTCATGGAGCAAACCTTGGCCGACATCCGCACCGCCAACAAGAATGGCGGTAACTATGCCGGACAGTTTGTGGTGTATGACTTGCCGGATCGCGATTGCGCTGCCCTTGCCTCGAATGGCGAATACTCTATTGCCGATGGTGGCGTCGCCAAATATAAGAACTATATCGACACCATTCGTCAAATTGTCGTGGAATATTCCGATATCCGGACCCTCCTGGTTATTGGTATGAGTTTAAACACCTGCCTCCCCCCCCCCTTCCCTTCCTTTCCCGCCGGCATCTTGTCGTTGTGCTAACTATTGTTCCCTCTTCCAGAGCCTGACTCTCTTGCCAACCTGGTGACCAACCTCGGTACTCCAAAGTGTGCCAATGCTCAGTCAGCCTACCTTGAGTGCATCAACTACGCCGTCACACAGCTGAACCTTCCAAATGTTGCGATGTATTTGGACGCTGGCCATGCAGGATGGCTTGGCTGGCCGGCAAACCAAGACCCGGCCGCTCAGCTATTTGCAAATGTTTACAAGAATGCATCGTCTCCGAGAGCTCTTCGCGGATTGGCAACCAATGTCGCCAACTACAACGGGTGGAACATTACCAGCCCCCCATCGTACACGCAAGGCAACGCTGTCTACAACGAGAAGCTGTACATCCACGCTATTGGACCTCTTCTTGCCAATCACGGCTGGTCCAACGCCTTCTTCATCACTGATCAAGGTCGATCGGGAAAGCAGCCTACCGGACAGCAACAGTGGGGAGACTGGTGCAATGTGATCGGCACCGGATTTGGTATTCGCCCATCCGCAAACACTGGGGACTCGTTGCTGGATTCGTTTGTCTGGGTCAAGCCAGGCGGCGAGTGTGACGGCACCAGCGACAGCAGTGCGCCACGATTTGACTCCCACTGTGCGCTCCCAGATGCCTTGCAACCGGCGCCTCAAGCTGGTGCTTGGTTCCAAGCCTACTTTGTGCAGCTTCTCACAAACGCAAACCCATCGTTCCTGTAAGGCTTTCGTGACCGGGCTTCAAACAATGATGTGCGATGGTGTGGTTCCCGGTTGGCGGAGTCTTTGTCTACTTTGGTTGTCTGTCGCAGGTCGGTAGACCGCAAATGAGCAACTGATGGATTGTTGCCAGCGATACTATAATTCACATGGATGGTCTTTGTCGATCAGTAGCTAGTGAGAGAGAGAGAACATCTATCCACAATGTCGAGTGTCTATTAGACATACTCCGAGAATAAAGTCAACTGTGTCTGTGATCTAAAGATCGATTCGGCAGTCGAGTAGCGTATAACAACTCCGAGTACCAGCAAAAGCACGTCGTGACAGGAGCAGGGCTTTGCCAACTGCGCAACCTTGCTTGAATGAGGATACACGGGGTGCAACATGGCTGTACTGATCCATCGCAACCAAAATTTCTGTTTATAGATCAAGCTGGTAGATTCCAATTACTCCACCTCTTGCGCTTCTCCATGACATGTAAGTGCACGTGGAAACCATACCCAAATTGCCTACAGCTGCGGAGCATGAGCCTATGGCGATCAGTCTGGTCATGTTAACCAGCCTGTGCTCTGACGTTAATGCAGAATAGAAAGCCGCGGTTGCAATGCAAATGATGATGCCTTTGCAGAAATGGCTTGCTCGCTGACTGATACCAGTAACAACTTTGCTTGGCCGTCTAGCGCTGTTGATTGTATTCATCACAACCTCGTCTCCCTCCTTTGGGTTGAGCTCTTTGGATGGCTTTCCAAACGTTAATAGCGCGTTTTTCTCCACAAAGTATTCGTATGGACGCGCTTTTGCGTGTATTGCGTGAGCTACCAGCAGCCCAATTGGCGAAGTCTTGAGCCGCATCGCATAGAATAATTGATTGCGCATTTGATGCGATTTTTGAGCGGCTGTTTCAGGCGACATTTCGCCCGCCCTTATTTGCTCCATTATATCATCGACGGCATGTCCAATAGCCCGGTGATAGTCTTGTCGAATATGGCTGTCGTGGATAACCCATCGGCAGCAGATGATAATGATTCCGCAGCACAAGCTCGTATGTGGGTAGCAGAAGAACTGAGCGAGATCTTCGAGGGCGTAACTCTGCATATCCGATTGGCCTGCTGCCACATGTCATTTGCTTCGGTTTCTTTTCTGTTGAGTTCTTGTATTTGGGTGAAAGTAACATGGTGTATGACGAGAGACATTGGTGGTAAGAAAAAATTTCACCTCCTCTTAGTGCAGGACTGACTCTCAAAATCTATATGCAAATGTGTCGTGTAACACCCTTCGCATGAGCGCTGACCGTACCCTACCATTTCGCCCCACTCATGATAGCAGAAGAGACATATTAATTCGGCAATGCTACGAAAGTCTGCAGGTATGCTTAAATAAACGCTTGCCACAGAAGCCGACAGTTTATTGTTACTACTTACTATACTGTATTATTGTTGCTCACATAAGGCGGTGAACCATTGGTTCACCACGACGCCTGACGAGGTAAATTACTCTCTCGTAGGGCTGCCAAGGTAGGTCCCAACCCCGTATCCTCGGTCGAGGGTGCGAGGTTCTTTGGTCCTTCCCTCTTTGGTAAAGCCCAGTAGCGTGTTTGAATCAGTTCACAATCTCTCCTAAACACAGTCCGACACTAGGTAGGTACGTTGTAATAGCAACTCAAACATGTAATTCGTTCAAGGCAGGAACATTTTATAAACTTCCCTGCGTATTTAATCAATAAAGATCCTAGTCCAATCGTATACTACCTACCTACCTAGCTAAGGTAGGTAGGTAGTTCGTGGGAACCTGGTCGCTAATTCACGCAACCCACTTTGCGCTCTTCGCCTGGCCGTCGTTGAAGGTAAAGCAGTTGTACCCATCACCTAACTCAACCGACACACCGTTGATCTGCTCAAGGCAGTTTTCGTCACTGTAGAATTCCACAGGTTGTTCCACGTTGTCGAATTGGATCCCCCTATATTGGGCACTGGCAAACGCGGTCGTGGACCTGGTACAGTCGCCTGGCTGAACAGTAGTAGTTTCGACTACGACGCCGCCAGCACACCTTCCGCCGGTATAGGAATTGAAGAGTACGGGGTTCTGTGCGAAGACAGCCGGGCAGGCGGAAAGGATATAGAAGAGCTGTCCAGTCACGTTAGCTAGTGAAGTAACGTAATGGAAGGAAAGAGAAAAGGGGAGCAGGGAGGAAACTCGTCATTTACTCACAACTTTGTGCATCTTGACAAAAGACTTCTGATATGGCAACCTATAATTCAACAACATGCAGCGTAGTAAAGAATAGGTGATCTTCTTGATTCAGTTGCTTGAGGGCAGGGAGAATGAAGTTCCTTGGAACGATTTATATACCCTTCGCAGCAAGAGAGTCGGCTTAAAGAAAGGAGACTGAAAGTGTTTACGGGACGAATATCTATCCGATTAGCGTAGTATCGTCTCTACAAGGCGGGGCGTAAATTATGTTCCAAGGCCGGACAACGTGAACAACAAATGGAAATTCCAGACGTTTGAGGAGAATCAAGCTCACTTGCTCGTGGATACCAGTGGTTATGAGCGCCACCGCTCAACATTGCCGCCAATCGGATAAAAAAAAGCCTCTAGAAGAGGAGACCAGCAGTTGTTTTAGGCAAAACAATTGTACAGAGATCGGTTGTCGTTTGCGAGATAGGTAGGTATTTACGGAGTAACACTAAATCAAAGATACAAAGTTTTCTGCGATTATTAATTCTGCGACGGTTGGCGCCATGTGGTCTTCCAGGGTGAGCAAACGTTACTCTTGCTATTGACTATTGCAACGACGCCGCTCGGCTGCGACACAACAAAGAGACATAAGGCCCTGGGGAGGAACGATGTGATCGTCAGATCCTTCGTAGTGAAGATGGCGCTACTTATGACTGCATCAAGCACACTGTACCGAACGCGTTACAAAGGATCCTTTACTGACCTTCATACCAAGTTTCCAATTTGTTACTTGCTAAGGTCGTGATAATATTCATGGTCTCCTAGAGGATTGTTACAGATATTAACAGCTTGAATAGTGTCGAGCTTATAACCTGCAAGGTACAGCCAAGTTGCCCAGCACCAGGATGTTACCTCGCTTAAGTTAGGCAATAGTTTGCGAGCCTAATGTCGACAAAGTATGGCGCAAGCTGAGTACTGCCTTGGGTGAATCCTCGCTCAATGGTAACTTTGCAAGCTCATATGCTTTCCAAAGCTTGTGATACGTGCGGTTATAAGCTGGCACTGACGTGTTTCGAGGCCAGATGCTTGCGAAATCATCAAGTGTATTGTGGAAAGGTCTCAGGATGAGGTCCTAGAATACGCGAGGCAAATTTGTCTGATCGTCTTTCAATAACCTCATAGTCGAGTCACAAATGTTGGAGGTCTGGTTCAAGCCGAGCCAAGCAATAGCTTGGTCGGGCGCGTCACAGCATCAGGAATGCTAACGCTTGCACATCTCGCGGACTTTATTATGCCTGGACGCAAATATTGATACCAGAATCAAGCCACACCCTGTGAAGCGTAACTTGTTTTTCTCTGCTTTCTTAAAAAGCTGCGTATATCATTGCTAGAGCGCCCGTGAACAACGGAACTCATTGTCTCTTTATCTTCTTACTCCAAAATATACCAGCTAATAAAAGGGCATACCATAGCATGTAACTCATTCAAGTAAAACAAATTTTAAACCCAGCGTCCCAGAATCATCCGTATACAGTGAACCTATGTCATAGCGAGATTAGATTCCAGTATACTGAGTTTATCTGTCGTAGGGCTACTTACTTACTGAGCAACAGGACTCTACGTGGAAGCGTATTGTTGCAGGAGAGTTGATGAAACACAAGAAAGTATGGATCCTCGGCTCAACTGCACGACGCGATGACTCTTGATTAGATTGAGTGTACCTTGACAAATGCAGAGTCCCAGTTGAATGAACTTCTCATGAAAGATTGCAGTAACATTCTAAAGAAATATCTTCAGGTGCTCAACAAGAGCTAAGATGGCCATTGCCTGCCCATAAGGCATGGGCGTAATGGGAATCTTCTTATAAAACTCCAAATCCGATCCCATGCCTGTTCCGAATGACGTGTTTAGTAATTCGCCTTTGGGATTGATGTTGTCCAAAACACCTTGTATCGCCTTGAACGCAATATCTTGGTACTCTTTTGGCAGGTAGTGCTTGCGTTGACCCTTGAGCAAGCCAAAGGCAAAGCCAGCCGTTGCACTGGCTTCCACGTAGGAACCTTCCTCTTCCGGCACATCCAATAGAGTCCGCCAAAGCCCACACGGTGACTGGAGAGCCTTCAAGGCTTCACACTGGGCTCCCAAGGTAGATTTGAGATGAACGCAAAACGGATCATCGGGAGCCAGATTCAATAGCTCAATAATCTCTGGAATCACGATGGTGAGCCAGCTATTTCCACGTGCCCATCTTGCAGAGGCAAAGTTGTGGCCACCGTCTTTGAAACACCAGCCATGGAAGAAGAGGCCCGTCCTGGAGTCAAACAGATACTGTATATGCAGCAGAAATTGGTACTTCGCTTCGTTGACGTAGTGAGGCCGATCCAGAACGAGACCAATCTTGGCCAGGGGCAGCACAGTCATCATAAGCGTGTCATCCCACAACTGTTGATCGTTCTCCTCCAAGTATGTAATGTGCTGCATGCCTCCGTATTTTGTTCGCTCCAAGTCGTGGTATGCCCACTCCGCCCAGCTATCAAGCCAGTGGAGGTACGTCGGATTCCTGGTTTTCTCATACACAAAGGCCAAAGTGAGCATGGCTGCCATGGTGTTGATGTTTTTTGTCGTGCCACCCGCGGCAAAGCGGTTTTTGAACCAATCTTCTATGATCTGGAGATATTTGGCATCACCAGTCGTTTGGTAGTAGTGCCATATTCCATAGAGCCCAACGCCATGCGTCCACTCCCAGTCATTCCATCCTTTAGTGTCTATCACGCGGCCGTCCGCGAGAGTCATGAGAAACTCCCCCGTCTCATCCCTGATGTTGACGAGTCCATCGATGAGAAGCTGGATCTTGGAGTGTATCTCCCTTGAATCGAATCCATGAGCGGTGAGCGGCATAGTTATTAGCCTATTGCGAGAGGTTTAGCCGGGGAAGCCGGAGATGTCAATGAATTCAAGGAGATCCTTTCGGACTAATGTTAACAAGGTGTTGCCAGCCCAGGCCATGCACTGGCACTTTATGTAAGTTGCTGGAAGATTGGCATATTGGAGCGCGACCTTGGCTCGGAAGAGATCGCCCGTCGGTGAAGCCCCAGTATCTGCGGATTGCCACGCTCGGCTCGGCTCATTTCGAAGCGAGGATGACCCACGGGGATCTTGGGGGACATGGAATGCTGCCCATAGCTTGCTTCTAGCTGAAAGTTGCCCCGCAGACGCCACGGGAAGGCCTTCGCAGTACAATACAAGTAGGTATGTAACTTGAGAGCGCGACCCAAGCTATCAGACGGCCCCTTGGCGTTCCATCTCTTGGAGGATTCCGCTAGTACGCCACCCCCTTCGGGCTCGGTGTAAATCAACGCGAGTGCTGAAAGCAGCTTCGTCTGCACCAGCGTAACACATCTTAATCTAGTTCCCACGCGGGAAACTTGGGGAAGTCTGCTAGTTCTGGGGTGACCCCAGATTCTCTTCCCAATCTGCGGGGTGAGGCTCTTGGCATCTGTCGGCATGCCGCAGTATTGCTGGAATCTACAATGAGATAAAACGATAGCTTTCCCTGCGCCTGCAATCAGCAACACACGGACACGAGCCTTGCAGTCTCTGACCAAATCACCACAACGTCTGAGCAGAGAGTAGCGACGATTGCACCTTCTTGCTGAGATGTCACCGCCAAAGCCGAGCCCAAGCGTGAATGAGATTGAGGACAATGTTGAGGCGGTATTGTCTCATGAAATCGACAAGGATCACACTGACTACAGGCGAGTGGACAAGGAGCTCGCTCAATACATATCGGAGGCCAGAATCACCATCAGCCCGGAGACGAACAATGAATTGCGCCGCAAGATCGACCGGCGTATCCTCACGGTCATGATCTCAACGTACTTCCTACAGGCTATTGATAAGGGGACAATGTCCTTTGCTTCAATAATGGGTATAAAGTCTGACACCCATCTGGTTGGGCAAGACGTGAGTTGCTGCACAAGCCGGACTTCTCAATACAGTCATTCGCTAACCAAGTCTGTTGATCTAGTATAATTGGTTGACAACATGCGTATTCATCACCATCCTCGTCGTTGAATACCCACAGAACTACATCATTGCGAGAGTCCCGATTGCAAAATATCTCAGCTTCAACATCATGGCTTGGGGCACAGTGTTGGCCTGCACTGCCGCATGTACCAACTTTACCGGCCTTGTTGTTGTGCGGACGCTGCTCGGTCTCTTTGAGTCGGTGTGTCAACCATCATTTGTTGTCTTATCTGCGATGTGGTACAGAAGAGAGGAGCAAGCTGCGCGAGTGGCCTATTGGTATGATTCCATCAATGGTAGCGCTGTATGCGATAGCTGGCTAACCACCTTGATGGTAGGTACATGATGAATGGCGCTCAACAAATCGTCGGCGGCCTTCTGGCTTACTGCTTCAGCCTAATAACCACAGGGCCTTTACAGTCATGGAAGTGGCTGTTTCTCGCTTACGGAGTCGTCTCTGTCGTCTTTGGTCTCTTCGTTGGGTGGTGGATGCCGGACTCGCCGATGCGGGCCAAATGCTTCACTGAAGAGGAGAAGCGCCTCATGATCGAAAGAGTTCGCGACAACCAGACGGGCATTCAAAACCGAGAATGGAAGAAGAGCCAATTCATCGAAGCGCTCAAGGACCCTCAGATTTGGGGATATTGCTTGGTCCAGCTGTGCACTACTCTGCCTACCTCCGGGCTCGGCGCGTTCCAGGGTATCATTATCTCAAGCATGGGATTCACTGTTCTGCAGACTCAGCTCCTGGCCATGGTCCTGGGTTTTTACATCATCATCGTGCTCCTGGGTTCAACCTGGTTGGTGAAGCGAACAAATCAGAATCTCTACATCATGACCGTGTTCATTATCCCGTAAGTCGCCTCATAGCTCATAAATCACTATCGGCGTTTGGACAACTAACTGAGCCTCAAAACAGATCATTCATTGGTACGATTTGCCTCATGACAGTTCCCCTCGACACCAGAAGCCAGAAGATTGGTCTCGTTGTATGCTATAATATTACCATGTCGTTCTGGGCGGCTCAGACGTTGGCACTGTCGATGCTGTCGCGGAATGTTGCCGGACAAACCAAGAAGAGTGCAGCTGTAGCCCTCAACTTCATCTCATGGGCAACTGGCAACGCGATTGGTAAGTTCTGGAACAAGGAATTAAATTTGGTTACTGAGCAAATTGCTAACACTTAACAGGCCCCCAGGTCTTCCTGTCTTGGGATGCACCTCGATATTTCATTGCCTTTGCTACCCATCTTGGGTGCTATAGCTTGCTTGTAATTGTGCTTCTTGCCTTACGACTCTACCTTTCAAGGGAGAATAGAAGGCGAGATAACCTAGCTGCTTCTGGGGTGCGCGAGGCTCGAGATGAGCGACTGGTACACGCTTGGGAGGATTTGACGGATCAGGAGAATCCCAACTTCCGCTATGTTCTCTAGAGTAACCCGGATTATTAGCAATGTCGAAGACTGGATAATGAAGCCATAGTTCACATGAATGGAAGGCATGCAAATGTATTGCGATCTGTCATTGGTACAGTTGGTCATCTCTCCAACAAGGAACACTACCACTCTGATTGTTCTAGCGTAACAACAACGGCCTCTGTAGATGGAATTGTGAGCTTGGCTGAGCCTCTTCTGATGCGCAATATCTCGTGACGTGGTCGACCTGACTGCGCGAGCCGCCCATGGGTGTAGTTCCAGCTGAGCCCACCCCATGAAATATTCGAGTTCGCACTGGCTCCCTCTCCAAGGAGTCTCTGAATTGTAGCGGATCTAACGCCGGGTGGGAAATTGAGTATCACCTGTTGGGCTGGTCGAGGGTAACGAGTTGTAGAATTCCACTCGTCGAGGTTGATGAGTACGTATTTACGCAACTTGGTCGACTCGTAGACGCCATAAGCGGAAAACTTCCAGTGTTTGGTTCCAAGTTCGACGGGGAGGATCTGAACATCGGGGTCGTGACCAATCACGTCTGCCACGACAATCTGACCGTAAAGCGGCGGCCGGACATAGGGCTGCATGCTCCCAGTAGGCACAGGAACCCAGCCTGTGTATCCAAAGGTTGTTCCTTGGATGAGGTTGAAGCGGGTGATGTTCTGCCGCTCCTATTAATACATGCGAGAAGGTGTGAAGAGCATTGGGAAGACTTACGATAGACATGCCATACATCAAGTAGTCAATGAGCCAAAGCGAACTACCAAAAACTCCCTCAACTTGACTCATGAGGATATTAGTGTAGTCACTATTTGTCTCTCCCAGTAGAAAGGTGATGTTAGGGTAGTTCACTCTCAGGTAGTCATTTGCAGGGGAATAAATGCTGAGATTAGCCACAACAGCAGTGTGGTTCATGAAAGTCTCTGCTACATGTTAGAGCACGGACAAAGGTGAGGGAAACAGAGAACTGACCTTGGAGTCGGACCCAGGCCTGGTTACCAGCTGCATAGCTGTTCCTGTGTCAGTATAAGTCATTCAGGGCGTTTGTTTACACTTACTGATGGAGGGATACTGATTTCACATGATTGCTCAAATCAATGCCTCCGTCGAACGCGTTGGGCCTTTTCTCAGATTAACTTCCAGATCGTCCAATCGTATTGTGAGTGGTGTTACTCACGTGGTGAAACTTTTCAGCTCCGCATTTGCAAAGACAAGGGCTTGGAAGAATCTTTGCTCATCTAAACCGTAGCGATTACCTTTGAGAACGTGTTTCGAAATTGCATCGGCATACGTATTCCACTCCTGAATGTAGTCGTGAACGTCGTATCCGCATGGCCGAACTGCACACGGGTAGAGATCAACCTCGTTCCCGATCTCGAAAGCTACGAGGCTGCTCTTGAGTGTGCTCATTACCTTTTTGCATACCTTCAAGGTGTTTTCAAGGCCCCAGGTAGCATTATTGGCCAGGTTGGCCTGGAAGTTCCACAATGAACCTGGGAAGTTGTTGAAGGCCTCAAAGTAGACGGGACCAACATGCACCGCGGATGGGATACCATTCGCCCCAGATTCAACTAAGATCGACTCTTTCTGCGATTCGTTGTAGTATGTGCGATCTCTTGAGGTGTGAGTTAGCATTGCGAACCATCCTCGGGCCGTTCCCATTCCCTAGAACTTGAGCTTACGCAGAAGTGCCTCCTACACGGATGTATGGGTGCTTCCCAGTCTTTCTATATAAGAGGTCCAAGATATCGCGGGAGAACAAGTTAGGGTAACTGTTGTTTCCTACGAGACTTAGCTTCGTGGCAAATCGTCAACTGGCCAGGTAGCAGCCTACCTGCGAAATCTGCAAGCCAATGGGCAGGGAACGAGAAAGAGGCGAAAGCATGGTCCACGATTTGAGATGCCCCATGGGGGACAAGGCCGGGCGCGGCAACTTTGAGCAAGGGCTCAGACGACGATACTACCCGCCGGGCGAGACAGAGCCCCGCCAGTAGAACAGCTTCTCGCAGCATTTGAAGAAGATAACTTTACAGGAGGTTACGAAGTAGCCAGCCCTCGGTGGACCTGATTGTCGGCTTCAAGGTTCGAGAGCTCACATCTTATATAAACAGCAACTCACCTAGCAAAGACTTTTGCAACTGTTATGCCAATTAAGACATCCTGCCCAGACAGATCGCCAATCCAGCTAGCTTAAAGAAGAGCAATGGCCCCATAAACGTGCTTCAGGGACAACTCCGGAGGAGCCATCAAGGGGGAAGCCCTGTCCATCGGCTCGCCGCAGAAAGTATGGTGGCGGCTCCCGGTGGCATTCTACCGGAGTTCGGGGGAGATCGTAGGTGTGCTTCCAATCCGACAGCGGCTTTCGGCGTGGCAGCAACTCTTGAAGCCCCGAACAGAGTACTGACAAAGTTTATTGAAGCAGTAGAAGTACTAGCAGTCAGTTGCAAAGGTGAATGCCCAGGATGTTCCCCTAAGTCGTTGGACATTGTATGAAGATTCATAGTCCGGGTTGGACTGGATCCTCAACATCTGGTTCTCAATCCCGAATATCCTGCGTTTTATGACTTAGTTCGCATTATATTATTTAGCAACTGGGTAATTCGCATTGGGTCTTGGTCAACGCCTTCAACTCTCACAGTGCGTGTGGTGCGGTTCGTTTTCTCATTGGTAGTTATCGCTCATCAGAGTAGCTCACCTGGCGTATGATGCCCAAGGCGTGAACTTGCGGTGACAAGCGACAACGAGCAACCGGTGTACCTTAAGACGTCGTCAAGCATTCAGACCAATTCGCATCTTCCAGCGGTATATATACTGTCCGGTTACTATTTCAGAATGGACAACCGTTTATGGCCTCCCCAGCATCCACAGCAACCGTAATTATGATGATGGTCCGGCAACGCGGTTTGTCGTGAGAGTATTCAATTGCAATACACTTGGGACCATGATTTGCAACGTCACGTCCACTTTCACTCCTCCCACGAGGCCAATGGGCTGCTGATGCCAATCCGCGATACGGATCAACGTATCCTAACGAAGGAGTTGACTCGACGGCTCAATAGAGGATGCTCTATCAGATGAGGAACAGCAATGCGAAGACGCGAACCCCTAGCAGATCTTGCTATCCGAGATATGTGAGCATATGATGTCTGCGCTCTTCAAGTATAATGATTATGACCCAGTACTGCGACGAACGTAGACGATATTCACGCAGAAGAACATTAGAAAGTCAATTTGTCATAGCATACCTAACCTCCTGAACGACCGTTGACTAACCGATCAACTAATAGCCCACTGACAGCACTTTCCACAAGATGTCGCCCCCTTTTCCTTTTGTCTCCATTACTAGCGAGTGCGTCGACAGCTGCGGCAGTGACAGCTGCCGTAACTGCTCGTCGAGTCCTGTTTGGATCATGACGTGCTCGCATGGCCTCTGTAACACCGGCAGCCAGACCTGCAGTTGCTGCCTCTACTAGGCCATGCTCGCTCCGAGTACGGGTATTGGCTTGGGAGCGGTGATGGTCGCCTCGTCGTCGGTATTCAACATCATTCTCGTTGTGAAACGAACGAACACGTTGTCGAGAAGGTCGACCCTCACGGCGATGTCTTGCTTCTTTATGCTTGCTCCTCTCACCGTAGTCGTCATATTGCCGTCCAGCTGGCCTGTCATGATAATCGATCTCCCGTACCCCCTCGGGTCGCACAGCAGCTCTGGGTTGTTCTTTGTCTGTGCCACGAGCAAGCTTGGGGTACCGGCGCAGTGGTCGTGCGTCGCAGGAGCTATAGCGATACTCGTCATCACCATAGTCATAAGAGTCGCGGTATCTCGACATATTGTGTATCATTTCCCATGGAGCGTTAACACACGTTGATTGTGAAGTTGTACATATCAAGTCAGGCAATGAACTATTCAACAGTGCCTTCTCGTTGACTTAAAATAGGATCCAGACATATACTGTAAGTCTATACCAAAGCGTCAGCTACGAGTGAGATTATCATTCAGCTGTTATGAAATAGAATGAAGTCATCCATACCGTTTCTGTAGCTGATGAGCGTCACGGTGTGTCGATCAGTGGGAGCCTGGAAGTGCATTGTGTTGATTATGCAGAGTATGAAAGCGAAAGTCCAAGTTGCTAATGACATAAACTTGCCTCGGCTCTCAATCATGCCTTCGTCATTCATTTGCGAAAACCGGTCTTGTCAATTTCTACATGTTGTGTTATTGGATCACAGAAATGCATGTGCAGCTTGCGATAAGCAACGGGTGCCCGCCCCCGTTCGGCCTCTACAATATGTAGTACTTCTTAGCGCTACCTTTGATCATGGTCATTCTCCGTACTCACCTCTGCTTTGTATGACGATATATTATTGACCACTGGGTACTGGATCTGTGCCGCCATGGGTATTCGAAGACAACGCATCCAACGATAGCTATATATAGTTTGTCTCTTCAATTATATTTTTCACTAGTTCCGCCATCCGCGGTAGCATGAAGCCCACCTCAGATATAAACACACCATCGCTTACGGAGAAATCCAAGTACACCTGGAGTGACACTAGGTACCGACACAGGGAACTGCTACAGAGCATTGTCATCATTTCTCATGACACCGGTAAACAAGAATCTAGTGCCAGCAATCTTGGCAAGTCACGCCTGGAAGAGCGTCTGTAGAATCAGCTGCGCAACGTGACAGCAAGTGTGACGGAAGCAGAGACGCTTTGGCGTATGAAAAATTCAGATTCAATTCAAGCTCGGCTTTGTGCTTTCCGATTACTTCAATTCGACATCCCATACAGATAAACACTGCTTAATATGACTCGGCCTTCTGTCAGTCGACCTCAACAAAGGTGGAAAACGGGGAAGTCGGTAACGAAAGCCCATTCTTCCTCAGGTAGTAGGCCGCAATGGGTTCCAGGGTATCAGATTTAGCAATCCGCGCTCGGTCCAGCATGTCCTTCATCCGCCCCGTTGTCACCAACCAGCTTCTGGACCATCTTCATAAAACGCCTTTGATACTCGAAAGGCTCTGTAGTAATTGTCATCGGTCCATATCCAGCCCATGTGTTGAACGCTGTGACAATGCCAGCCATGACCTTGGCACGGAACTTATGTCGAGCCCAGAAGAAGTCCAGCAAAACAACGCGATAGACCCATTGTCCATCAGCAGAGACAACGCCCGTTCTCCAAGAGTCTGCTTGTCTCTCAGCCAACGACGTCTCTACCGCATCGAAAAACGATTCGCCGCTTCTTGGATAACGCACGAGGAATAAAGAGTAATCCAAGACATTTGACTTGGCGAGGAATGTGGTATCCGTATTCAGCAAGTCCATCAACTCCTTCGTCGCCTCCTGTGATACCTGGATTTGATCTGGGAAATGATCCGCCAGCCTATTCTTGATGCTTTGCGGCGCGAGTCTGCCATCCGCAAGGTCACGCTCAGGAAAGAAATAATCGTCCGGCTTCAGGTCATACGTCTCATAGCGAACCGTATCACCATCTGTCTCGATGCCATAGAGGAGATGCTCCATCACAACGTGATGCGTTGGCTCCAAGCCCAATAACCCGCCCAGTGTAGGATATGGAACACAGAGGAGGTCGGTGATTCGCACCAAAAGACTGCCAGGGTTTTCCCACATGTGGATTATGTACGGTGTAAGTAGTTCATGCATGAAGAACTGGTGTTCGAAGTGTCGATCCAATGACTTGACGAGAAATTTTCCATCCGCAGTCTTGAAGAACGTAGAACCACTGTACCCGAGGGCTCCCATCGGCACAAGGGCCGGCGCGTGTTGTTCCTCTTCAGGCACCGGACGCGGAACATTGTGTTGTGTGTGGAAGGATTGTGTATACGCCTCATCGGTTATATGCCACACTTCTCGTCTAAGGGCGAGGAAATCGTTAGGTCGGAACAGCATCAGCTCCAAACGCCATAAGTAGAAGAATTTGAGCATAGAGCGTGGCAGCTGCACGCAAGCTGCTCGCTTCTGATGACTCGTTTCGGCATCTTTGCCATCTAGGATGGCGTGAGTAATTGCCGTCGAAATGCGGCGCGTACGATTACGCATCTTCAGCAGCTACGACGTTGTCGCCTTGATGGAATGCATGCGTGAGTGAAATCCTGATCATGTCGTTGTGTACTCCAGTATCACTTAGGGAACTTGTCAACTGGCACGTTTAGCGACGACCTCATCAGCGATCAATGGCTGACGTCACCAGTACGCCAACACCAATGTTTGCAGCTCTCGGTGACACGTAGCACTTGTTTGCCGATATTCTAGGTAGGTATGAACCATGTCGACTCGGGGCGTAGAATGGCAATCGAGGCAATGCTTCAGGAAGAAATTTTCTGTATGCGATTGAATTACGGTCAGCTTTGAGCTGCGATGCTGACAACGTAGTGGAAGCACGCCGCACTAAGCCGTGAGTGAACCGATGAAGGACCGTTGAGCCACCTGCTGCTAGCTTACCACAATTGTTGTAGATTGAAGCACACCCTATGGCCACACTCTCAATCACCAAAGGACGTGGCGTTTGCAAATGCAATCGAGAGATAGCTAACCAGAGATGGCCATCTAGCATGGTGTCAACGACGCATATTGCATCGTGTGAGCTTGACCGGACTAGCGCAATCCATTGTTACAGAGAAGGCTAACGCCCCGGTATGGCGCATCGACATGCTGGATGCCCTCGGTACTTGCAAAAGCCGCGGTGAACTGAAACCTCATGGTGCTACAAGGTGAGCACTACGCCGTTCAATTAGTGATTCTGGGCCACAAACGCTTATACTTCATCTAAAAGACGCTTCAAGGATTCCATGGCAGCTTTCGTAAAGTCTTCCATCGACATCCCTTCTTTCGGCTTCGAGTCAAACACCTCGATCGAGAGCCAACCCGAGAATCCAGTGCGAAGTACAGCACCCAGCACATCCTGGATCGGCAAATAGCCTCCATCGAAGGGCAGCGGACGGTAATCATGGCTCCAGGCACATCTGGGTTCATCCCCGTCGCTGCATAGAGGCGGGGTCATCTTGTATGCATCAGAGATCTGAAGGAGGAAGATCTCGTCGCCGCGAACGGCACTCGCCATCTCCGCCATGCTGTGCTTCCATCGCGCATCCAGTTCATCTCTTCCGACTTCTTCAATGACTCCAGACGCTGTGCTTGGGTCACCATATTCTCCTCCCGCTGTTTGGAAGGTGTCCAAACAAAGGCCGATATTCGGGCGGCTCGCTCTCCGAATGATTTGCCACACATCCTTCCACAATGGGGCATGTGTTGCCCAGCACCAGTTCTCGTACGCAAGTCGAAATCCTCTTTCTGCTAACATGTCGGCCAGCCCACTGAGGTCTGCGGCCAGGTCATCCAACGACGAGGAGATTCCGTCAGCGTCCGATGATCCAACCTAGTCAAGACCCATATCGTGAGCTCTGTGTACTCCGTCACCCACTGCTCCTCACAACTCTTACCTGTAGCATGTCTGTTCCCAAAGATTCCATAACTCTTATCCATCCACGAGCCCGCCGGAAGGCTGCCACTCGCTCTTCGGAATGTTCTGATTTCGACCACCCTTCGAATCTGGAGAATGGCTGTAGCATGACAATACGAAGGCCCAGATCTTCCACAAGGTCTCGTATCTTTGTGGATATAGAGGCAATGCCATCAAAGTCATCTTCATTGAGCATTTCTCCGTTGAGATGCTCGCTGTATGCCAGAATATCTGGCATAGACATCTCGATCCCGCCGAATCCCGCGTTGCGAATAGCATTCAGCTTCTCCGGTAGTGACGCATTGAAATAGCTAGGGATACTGCACGATGCAAAACAAGTGGGAAAATTGTGACCATGATGTTGGATGCCCATGGTGGGATAAACGTGTGTTCCAACAAAGGCAGCGTAATTGCTCTTTGAAACAGTGACAAAGCCGCCTTTTATGAGGATTAAAGGAGTTGGGTTGGATCTTGCGATTTATTTCACGAGGCTGTACGTTCCTAGGAGCGGTTGTGTCAGCATATCATAGCATCATTTATGTCGATTGTTTCCACTCGTGACGCAGGGATTATATCATGCGAGGCGGGCGACACTCGGAAAACCAGCCGCTCTCAAACCACATGAGTCTCGTCGTCACAACAAAGTCTGAGATTTCAAAATAGAATACATAGATTTCCACTATATCACCTGGGGTTATTGACAATCTCATCACTGGATAATGCAAGTGTTGGATACAGAGATGCTGGCAATACTTCGGTCCGCATCACAGTGCCCACAATCAGCATGCCCGACTCCATGCCGGGGCACGCACGCCACGGTCAGTAGGTGCTCCAATAGCCTTAAGGCCTCGAGAACTACGGAAAAACTCGAATTATAGCTTTTGAAACGTACCGGGCCATGCCGCTGCCAGGATGACTGCAATGAGTTCGATAACGGCTGGCTAGGTATCAGTGTCCAGCCAAGTCATGTTGGCAAATCCATGGTTCATCAGTGGGGATGGGTCAGTAGGAACCACGCAGGGAGATCCGCATAATGAGTGAGCAGGGGCAAATCGTCTTCCATGCGGGTTGCAGAAAACACCGCCAGTCTGGCACTTGAACTGTAGGTGATGGGCGGCGGTGTGTTTTGCATCCCCCCTCCGCCTGGGCATGCAAAATTGGACATCACCGACATCTTGTCTCGACTGCCCGCAGCCTTGTGCTGAGCACGTGCTGGTTCTTCGCTGCCTAAGGTAGTGACCCAATGACCAAGCAGGGCTTGTCATTTGCCCTTTACAAAGCCACGAAACAATCAATGTACAAGGACGAAGAGTCAACATCATTCATTCAGCTGTTTCCTTCGAACCGCGCATATATGTCTCTTTGTGGCAGCATACTCGCATCAGCGCTTAGAACCCAGCCTGTCACACCACGCTTCCTCGCGCGTAGTCATGCCGCGCCACATTGTCGTTTCGTTTGGCGCATGTACGGAGTACTTCGAGGGCAAACGGCATGAACGCATGTCGATTCTCCCAGTTGATGCTTTCTCGCAGAACTTGTCAGTCTTGTCTTGTAGAGGAAGATTCAGGCAATTCTTAGTAGTATCTGACCATCGGACTCCCATAAGTAATACTTTATCGCTCTTGGACTCCGTGATGAAAAGTACGGCATCTCGACATTATCCCTGCATCGCCATCTCCACCTGAGGCGTGAAGAACTCAGGAGCGGCATTAGCTGCACGACTTGTGTGCAGGCACCGGTGGACTTCGACGCAGGAGAGAAACGCAGACGGGCGTCTACAGGCCCCTCTGTGGCAACGATTGAACCCTTTTCACATAATGTGATATGTCCCCTGAATGCGTGAGACTTCTGCTCGTAAAACTGACAAGCCTGGACGAAGTGGCAAGTGAATAACGCCCAATGGCCAAAGAAGAGGGGGAAGAGGCCTTGCGGGCCGCGGAACTAACAAGCGAGTCGCAGGCGAGTCATATCTGCGAAACCTATTGGATGCTAGTTGCTGCAGGATTCTGCATGTATGAACAACAGCGCATGATTGCTGGCAAATGCACCTATTGCTGCGCGCTACATGTCTTATTGGCGCTGCATGCTGCCACGTAGATGGTGCTGCCCAATGTGGCTTATTGTGATGGATACGTGGTTCAAGGGTTACCACATCACTGCTGTATGATTCCAGTTTGCGGATAGCGTGGCTCAGGAGAGCGAACACGAAATTATAAAAGAGGCCATGGCGAGCTCCCTGGGGAGATTCTGCTCTGTATCACAACCCACCAACATTTCCAAAGTTTACAACCTCCTTGAACACCCTTTCCCTTGTCAATCGACATCCAAAGATGGCTTTGGTAAGTCTTTCTTCCGCTTGCTGCAACTGTGTCCGCTCACCTAACAACTATCGCAGCAATCGGTTCAGGTCCGCCCCCACGAGACTGCTGATGTCAACGAGCTCGAGACGTACGATTCACCGCGCCTGAAGAATGCATGACGACTGCTAAACGAATTCTAGGTTTATCGAGTCTCTTATCAACCAGACTGTCCCTTCTACTTTCTCCAAAGTTCCTGTCTTCTCCTTCAAGTAAGTGAAACACCTCGCTCCAGTGCTGGTGCCGCCACGGTTAACATCAAGACAGGACGACAGAGGAGAATGTCAACAAGATCAGGGAGAAATTTGGCGACCATGTTATCATTGACATTGTCAACTAAGCTTAGAGCTGATGATTAGGGGAGAACAGTAGGGATGCCATTTATGGGCTCGTGGTATATAATGGCCGGCAATCAGGACAGGATGGTCCGACGGGAAACATACAGAGTGAAACAGGGACTCTGGGAATTGATATAAAACAAGAAGACCATAGATGAATATATTCGAACGTGCGTGACATTGCCACCACGCTGAAATTGCTATCCCATATCTTTTGCGACATCTGTCTGTGCACGTGGAGGGCGTAAATCGAACTCCTCGTAAAAAAGACATCAAAGCAAAACATATCAGTATCTACGCCCAGGGTATAATAGTAGCCTTGGCCATACAGTCTTCGGTCAGCGAGCTGTCAGTAAATTGTCTAAGACAAGAAATCGGGTGTTTAGGTAATTGCTGGAGGGGGGGGGGGCGGCCTGCAGAGCAAACGAGTGTCTGCGGAGAGTCGCGGTGCGAAAAATAACAGGCTAGCCGGCTTTGGAAGTAGTTAATTTCTGCTATGTGTCTTCTTCCCGGCAACTCAGACCTACAGGCAATGTACTATCAAAGAGAAGCAAAAGGGTTTCAGGATATATCACCTGGCACAATGCATATCCCTGATGATGTACGCTTCGTGAGTCTTGCAACCTTGCACACGAACCAACATGGCGCGCTAAATCAAGTGATAACAGACTCCACGGGGTACTAGACCAACCTCAACATAGCGGACAGGAAAGCGAATCAATGATCCAGATAGACGAAGGATGAACGCTTTGGGAGCGTATGAAGCCCACCGGTTACGAAAGATTGTCATCCCAAGAGCTCGTGAGTAAGGCAGGACGGTTTATTTTATTATTCACACTCTCAGAATAAATTCATCGCCAATTTGACACCGTCACTGAAAGCCTGCTACACTTAGACTTTGCCAGTCAGACGTGTAGGAGATATAGGCTCTCTATTCATCAACCTTCGAGCCGTTACAGATGCATTAAGCCTGTACGAGAACAACACATCCGTTAGGCTATAAATCCAGGAACGAAAACTGGTTGTCTACCGTCTTGTCACCGACCCATGAAGAACTTTTTTTGGCTGAATGGTGTCGTCTTTATCAAGCACCTAGGTATGATTCGGCTTCCCGGTGGGGTGAGTCGCATCGACAATTTTGCCGACCGGTTATACCGCAAGTGCCTGAGTGAAGATTGAGCTTAAACATGATGCTATTCTAGCATGTAACCCTATTGCGAAGTTTGTCACTAACTCCTTTGCCTCAAAACGGAGGTTGATATGAGCAACAATTTAGTATTACCCCTGGGTGTAATCTTGAGGGAGCAACCTGTGGCTGATGGGAAGGTCAAAGAGCCGGGAACGCGTTATTCAGGCTCAATACGTATTGTTGTGCAAACAGTAACTCAGGGAACCTACCAGGATCGTCCGGCCAAGCATTGCTTGCTTGGTGCTGTCACTTGCGCTGGTGTAAAGTCGCTGCGAAGAAGAAAGCTATACTACTTGTACAATGTCAGATCAGTCTGCTATGCAGGTCATAGAACGTCAAGTGATCGAGGAGAAATTTTTCAGACTATAAATACATTGTTGGCGGCTACATTCTCCACGGATGTGATTGAGGTACTGTGAAGAGTGGGATATCAGCAATTGCCATTTCTGACCTGGATAGGTTTTCCTATGGTCATTCCTATAAGAGACACGCTCTTTCGTCGGCCCGTAGATATCAGATTGGTATTCAGTCGCACAGACGAAGGTGAGTTGATCCTCCAACATGAGTTCTATGAGCCCCCCCCTTGCCCCCCCCCGTTCACCTTGACCTGCAATGAGAATCCCACCTTTTACAAGAGCATCAAGCCGTATTAATGGCGCTGAATAGCCTCTGCTCGATAATATCTCCCCGTCATCGACAATGAACAAGTCCGTGGCTCCATTGCTGCTTGCAGCGTCCATACTATATGGCGGCGCCGCTGCACAGCAGACTGTCTGGGGCCAGTGTGGAGGTATTGGTTGGAGCGGACCTACGAATTGTGCTCCTGGCTCAGCTTGTTCGACCCTCAATCCTTATTATGCGCAATGTATTCCGGGAGCCACTACTATCACCACTTCGACCCGGCCACCATCCGGTCCAACCACCACCACCAGGGCTACCTCAACAAGCTCATCAACTCCACCCACGAGCTCTGGGGTCCGATTTGCCGGCGTTAACATCGCGGGTTTTGACTTTGGCTGTACCACAGAGTGAGTACCCTTGTTTCCTGGTGTTGCTGGCTGAAAAGTTGGGCGGGTATACAGCGATGCGGACTGCAAGAACACCGCCGGTCCGCCACCATCAAGATGTGGGTGGTAAGCGGCGGTGTTTTGTACAACTACCTGACAGCTCACTCAGGAACTGAGAATTAATGGAAGTCTTGTTACAGTGGCACTTGCGTTACCTCGAAGGTTTATCCTCCGTTGAAGAACTTCACCGGCTCAAACAACTACCCCGATGGCATCGGCCAGATGCAGCACTTCGTCAACGACGACGGGATGACTATTTTCCGCTTACCTGTCGGATGGCAGTACCTCGTCAACAACAATTTGGGCGGCAATCTTGATTCCACGAGCATTTCCAAGTATGATCAGCTTGTTCAGGGGTGCCTGTCTCTGGGCGCATACTGCATCGTCGACATCCACAATTATGCTCGATGGAACGGTGGGATCATTGGTCAGGGCGGCCCTACTAATGCTCAATTCACGAGCCTTTGGTCGCAGTTGGCATCAAAGTACGCATCTCAGTCGAGGGTGTGGTTCGGCATCATGAATGAGCCCCACGACGTGAACATCAACACCTGGGCTGCCACGGTCCAAGAGGTTGTAACCGCAATCCGCAACGCTGGTGCTACGTCGCAATTCATCTCTTTGCCTGGAAATGATTGGCAATCTGCTGGGGCTTTCATATCCGATGGCAGTGCAGCCGCCCTGTCTCAAGTCACGAACCCGGATGGGTCAACAACGAATCTGATTTTTGACGTGCACAAATACTTGGACTCAGACAACTCCGGTACTCACGCCGAATGTACTACAAATAACATTGACGGCGCCTTTTCTCCGCTTGCCACTTGGCTCCGACAGAACAATCGCCAGGCTATCCTGACAGAAACCGGTGGTGGCAACGTTCAGTCCTGCATACAAGACATGTGCCAGCAAATCCAATATCTCAACCAGAACTCAGATGTCTATCTTGGCTATGTTGGTTGGGGTGCCGGATCATTTGATAGCACGTATGTCCTGACGGAAACACCGACTGGCAGTGGTAACTCATGGACGGACACATCCTTGGTCAGCTCGTGTCTCGCAAGAAAGTAGCACTCTGAGCTGAATGCAGAAGCCTCGCCAACGTTTGTATCTCGCTATCAAACATAGTAGCTACTCTATGAGGCTGTCTGTTCTCGATTTCAGCTTTATATAGTTTCATCAAACAGTACATATTCCCTCTGTGGCCACGCAACGCATTTTCTAAATACCTAGGTAGCTTCTTCACTTTCAACACTCCTCAGCCCCCCTTGCGAAGTTCAATCAAAACCTTACTTATGTGATGCTGAATGAGCTTCCGTCGAAAGAGTATGTAACTCAGGTTAATTGTTGGGCATATGTCAAATTTGGAGCGGCATCCGTAGTTGTCGCAAGAAGTTGAAGCACTTGGAGAGACAAACCCTACCCAGCCCACACGTCCGATATCATTATTGCTCGCTTCCAAAGGCGTGCACATGCTGAGTTGGTCATGACGGCAGGGAAGTGACTGCTTGCAGCTCCAGGGGTGGAACAGCAGTAATTCCTTTCTTCTTTCCATCTGTTGGAAATCGATCGTGTCTGACAAAAGGAGGGTAACTTTCTCCGAGGTCAAGGGATACCCGATGCCGCAATTGTTGTAATGTTCTACCGTCATAAAAGATCTGTGTTATTGTATATAAATATATCTAATACCTCCAAATAGAATTTGTTCCGTCCATCAGGTCAATCTTCCTCAAGCCGCAGCAAAAACTTCAACGATACGTTTTGACTGACCATGTGGAGCGAGGCTTCAATTCCCGACCTCACTGGACGAGTTGCCTTGGTGACGGGAGGAAAGTACGTTGCCAGCGCAGTTCACATCTGATACTATGCGATGCAAAACTGACAGCTCCGGTGCATGATAGCGCAGGAATGGGGTTCCAGACGGTCAAGCAGCTAGCAATCCACGGAGCGAAAGTGTACCTTGGGGCCCGATCTGAATCTCGAGCAAAACAGGCTATCGACAGCATCCTTTCTGAGAATCAGTCAATCACCAAAGATCGTTTAGTATGGCTACCTTTGGACTTGTCGAACCTATCAGACATCGTGGAGGCAGCGCAATTACTATCATCTTGGGAAAAAAGATTAGATATTCTGAGTGAGCTTATTTCGCCTCCAGATCTCCGCCTTTTCCCACGTTAACAATGTCTCCTTTTTCCAGTCAACAACGCCGGCGTCGCTGCAGATGACTTCACAAGAACCGCAGATGGATTTGAGTTAACCATTGCTGTGAAGCGAGTAACAATGCCTCCCGGTATGAGTCGCGATCATTGTGTTAATGGCAAAATTCTAGTCATATTGGCCACTTTGTCTTGACTACCAAGCTTTTGCCGCTCCTGAAAGCTACGGCATCGACAACTGGCTCTGACGTCCGCATCGTGACCGTAAGTTTCTTTGCACGAGGCGATTCAACACAGTTCTGCTGAAGCTTATGACTCATAGATCAGCTCAGTTGCCGAGAAATTTGCGCCCAGGCATAACACCTTTGCAACCACAAAGGACCTTAGCGATCCAGGTACGGCTGATCCGAATGATTATACTTCGCGCAAGACCGTCTTCAGCCGCTACGGCGCCAGTAAGCTGGCAAATCTCCTCTTCACAAGGGAGCTACAGCGGCGTTTGGATGAAGAAGATGCCAACATCATGGCTTTGGCAGTGGACCCCGGCCCTGTCGCTACTGATGGTGGCATGGGCGTATTTCCTGGCTTCTTGAAGCCTGTACTCAAGCTCGTGATGAAGAGCCCCTAGAAAGGCGCTCTCACTCAGCTCTACTGTGCTACCGCAAAGGAGGTTGCGAATGAACCTAAGAATTACAAAGGCAGACTGTTGACTGCACCCGGGAAGACCAACACCGGATCCGACAGGTCGCGCGACAGTGAGTTGGCTCGATCACTGTGGAGGATCACAGAGGAAGCTCTGAGAATCGTTGGAATCTGAGGGTCGAGAGGCGAAAGTTTGGCCAGGGCATACTTTGGCGGGAGACTCCACAGGCGGCAGGCGGTAGAGCTCGGGGAACAGATATGCTAGACATGGTAGTAATGGATTGTGAGTCTTTGAGGGGTTGCGTCTAAGCTTATAAAGGAAGTATATGACTTTCGAATTGTTTTCCAGGTCAATTCTGGAGGCGAAATCAGTCAGGTCAAAGTGCGTCTAAATAACCAACTATATGCTTGTTAGAACGACATCCCAACATTGTCTCGTAGGCTCGCTGTCCCAGACTACACTCGCATATGCCGCGATCCTTACATCTGTCGACTCAACTTGACATCTGGCATACTTGACTCCTATCCACCGAGGTCGCAGACATGACATTTTCCGAAAACGAAACATACCTTAGCCTTGGTCCTTAACAAAGATTGCGTTCCATGGCCCTTGGGACTGCTGCGCAGCGAGCTCCGTGTGGAAAGAGCCGTGAGCCGGGCCGCTAATGGCGCCATATACCGGGCTTCCGTCAGATTTGCGCTGGTCCGCGAAGTAAAACCTATCTACGTAACATCAGCTATTCAAGATCTACGGAAATTTCGAACACCTTTCAACTCACTTGTAGCCCGACGTCTTGTATTCTTGTAATATCTAGCGCATCAAATGTGCAGAGCCCGATTTGCCAACTCCTTGGGATAGCAGAGGTGGTATGACCATCAAGTGCTGCCTGTTCCCAGTATAAATGAACGTTTTGGAAAATTCGGGGGGGGGGGGGGGAGAGAAAGACTTGATGGCTAACTGGGTCGCGGTATATGTCTATGTGGACACTATATTGATATTGCTGTCGCGCTGAAAGGCTGCGATTTGCTGCTGCAAAGTAGTTGCATGAGTCAAACTGTAGGAAGTAGGTAGCGAACCATCGAGCAACGTTAAACGGTTTAGGTATGCTTCAATTGCACGCCACTTCGAGCTGTCAATGAGGAACGTACCGTTATAGACCACAACGCTGGGATGACCCAGTTCGCGTGTCACCGTAGCAAATATGTCCTTGATCGAGGTCGGGTCCCCGAAATCCGCCTGGACTTGGGAAAATTGCCTAGTGTCCTCATTGTCCTTTCTGGATCGAGAAACAATTGCCACTTTGTAACCCTGTGCTGCGAAGGCCTTGGCAACATTGATCCCGACATTTGGTCCAGCACCTAGAATGAGAGCTACTCTGAGAGCCATATTGTGCCTTTAATGTCGACTGTCGATATCGATGTAGGTGTCTCGCAATCGCTGATCTTTCTTTCACACATCACAACATCGCACTGGCATCACCGCTTCTTCCCTCTAATAAGGTAGACATCCATCTTCTGCACATCAAACATGCAAACAGCAGGATGCATCATTCGCACGTTGATGATATGACCAATGATTCCAAATCTTTAATGGTGTTTGCCAACTTGGCATCCTTTGCATCCTTTGCACCATTTCCGTATGTTACCCTTCTTTACAGCCATTTAACTGTCTGCAGCATTTGCAATCATTGCGATTGCATTCTTTGCAGTCTTTGCATCCCGAGGTCCTTTGCATCTTTCGGAAATAGTTGCCAAACACTTTGTCACTCTCCCATTTGTAAGCATTGTACTAGGTACCTTAGTGCTTGCCCCGCTCGCTTCACTTCCCAACACGCCCATCGTGGCGGTGATTCAAATGGAGGCAGACAAAACGGAAAACAAGCGGATCCCTATATCTGAGGCTCGCGCCACCATGAACGAGTTGGCGAACACAGATAACATCTTGAGTGAGAAGATTGAGAGAATTCAAGTTAATTATGAAGAGCTAAACTGCTTGACCTAGCTAAACTGCTTGACCTACGCAATGCTAGTTTGCAGGCTGGCAAATCTGCCCATGCGCTCTTGTTGATCTTCCACCGAGCTTCTCTTATTGGAAGTGGGGAGGGGATTTCGACTTCAACGGCGACGGCTATTTATGTGCGCAAAGGATGACTCGAGGAAAGCTCACACGACGAATCGGATTTACGTCCAGGGAGTCATGATGAGCAAAGTTACGAAAGCCAAATGTCTATAGAGGAAGCTTTGGTTTCGTGAACAATCAACACACGTCATGATAAAAGTTCAGGTAGGTGTTTATTTTAGTACCTGGCTGATTAGTAAACGATTTATACACTTATTACCTCCTTGACTACTACCTCCCTATTGACAACAGTCTACCTAAGTCCCTTATCATGTCTAACAAGACTACCTACCTACCTATACTTTACTTGCCCTACTATAAGACGAGGAAGCACTTAGTTGTTTCCGGAAGTTGTAGGTTTCCCGAAGAGTAGATTTTGCAAGTATAGATCAAGGGACATAGTGCTCCATAGCACATGGGTTCCTCGACGTAGACTGCGCATGAACTACAAGGATAACCAATGAGTTTGCCTTTGATGAGCCTAATTCGCCGGGATCACTGTGGAAAACTCAACCAAAGCGCGGACCTTCTCCATCCTCTCTTCATAGACTGCGTCTATGTAATGAGTGATGAAACATGGCTGACCAGCCTTCTTTCTTACCTGAATGTTACCGAGTAATCCAAGCGCTTGGCGATTAGTAAGCGCTTCAACTCCGAACGAGCTGCTCCAAATAGCGAGCTCCAAGCTGGTGCAAGCTGTAAGCTCACCTTCGGAATTACCTTTCGAGTACATATTTTATAAAAGTGCTCTTCTGCCAATTTATGTGTCAACCTGTTGGAATAGATTGCAGCAGCTGGCTACACGACATGGGAATTAAAGGCTGCTGGACATGCCGAGGTATGAGATGCCATGAATCTACCACTGCTGCAGTCTACAAAATATGATTCCCGACATGGGCTAACCGGCATCTGCGCACCAGAACGCAAGATCCGCTGTGACCTTCATAGACCTACTTGTGTCAATTGTTCAAAGGCTTTGCAATCATGTAAAGGCTATGGTATGCAACTGTCATGGCCAAGAGAGGGGGACAAGCGGCGGGCACTCGTCCATCATTCCGCAGCAACCGTTGCTAGATTGCCCGAGCGATACCGCGAACGAGGCCTGTTGTTGCTGAATACCTCGTCTTGGGATGTTGCTTTGTCGGATACACTTCAGGGAAACCGCAATCCGGGTAAGCAATACACATGTCCAACTTCTCGCGCTCTTCCGGACTCTCTTGCTGACACAATAAGCCCAAGGACATCATGTATGGGCTTTGAGAGTATCCTCTTTGCTGCCTACTTTACCGTCTCTTGTCTCGGAGGATAACAGGACCCTCCTAGATTATTGTGCGTATCAAGAGGCCTGGTAACATGTCCCCATCTAACTTGGCCGGCATTACCTAGTCAATGCAACAAAGTCACGGATATTGTCACCCATCATTGATGAAGCGTTGGCCCATTATATTTTGAGGACAGCCATGGTAAATACTGGTTCATCCGTCAATCTAGTCATGCAGGGGATCTTTGCGCTGTCCTCTCTACTGCTCCTGGGACATTCACGGAGCCAAGGACACAAGTCGCGCCTCATCTCGATGCTACAGGCCAATCTCGTCAAGTCCGACAGAGAAAGCGTCATGCAAAATCTTATTGCGACCATGCTCTTGTATCAGTGTGAAGTACATATCCATCATAGCAGTCCCGGTTCTTTAGTCACATGTATTAACTGAGCCAGGTCTGCGATACTGCCAGCCCCGGAGAGCTGTGGCGATTGTACCTCTGCGGTGCGAAAAAGATAATATACGCAGCTTCGCAATCGCGGACCCTGTATCGGCATGACTCTGGGATACTGATGGATTGGATCTATTATCACGAAGTGATGTCAGAATTCAGCTTGCGGCACTGGGCAGAACGAAGCATCAACTCGTTCTGCAAAGGACCATTGGCGATGCGACCCAACAACATCACAGCCGATGAATTGCCAGTAAGCCATTCTGGTCTGGAGAAGACATTGCATGTTAGTTTTGTCGCTAAAATCAGGACTGCGGTAGGCTTCTGACAGAATCACCTGTCCCACGGATGTCCTTGACCTCGTCCGAAACGTCTGTAAGCGCCCATCGTCTGATCCAGGTGACCATAGTCCGTATAACAACACCGACATGGGACAAATTCATCAACTTCGACAACGCATCTACGGAATCATTGGGGAATACGGAACCTTCCACGACAACTGCGAATCATCGTTGACTAGACAGGACATGATGACTTCTCTATATCGATATGCTGCATTGATCTATCTTAATCGCTCCGTTGCGAATATATCGATATCTTCCTTCTCTCACAGAAGGCTAGTGCGGGAGGGTATACTGCTGCTACAAAACCTTGGGTTTTGTGAGAGCGCGTGGCCGCTATTCGTTATCGCCTGCGAGGCCAAGGAAGATGAGCAGCGTCTCCAAATACTGGCTACTTTGGCTGACACCAGACGGGAATTGGGCCAGCGATCAAGTCATATCCCTCTCATTCAACACATGATTGAAGCTGTGTGGAATCAGAACGATCTTAACATTGAGAGCGATGTAAGCTATTGTAGAACCATCAACGCTGTGGTTTCCACAGCACCTTCACTCCCGCTATTTGCATAGAATGATAACACGAGATTGAGAAGGAACTTCTATGCTATGACTTGCTGTTTCGTAGGTAGTTTCTTTCAAGCTTTTCATCCAGGTCCCAATGCCAGCTGTCATCATCATCATCTGTCATGGTTCGAAAACGTAATCCGCAACGGAATTTCTCATTCTTCTCTCCAATTTGACTCGTAGCGAAAACCGAGCTCTTCCAGACTCGTCGCTTTGCAACCGCCGAGGTCGTATTTCAGTCTTACCTGGGGGAAAGTGGCTTTGTGCCAGTACGTAATGTCATTCCAGAATGGCGGCTCCTTTCCCTGCTGCGCAGACGTCTTGACCCATTCGTAGAGATCATTGATATAATGACCATCGGCGGTGCGCGTCCGGAAGAGATGCAATTGCTCCCCTTGCTGTGCGTAGAGATCGTTGGCCCATCTGCGCATTTCCTCAGTTGAGGGGAGTTGAATACTGTTTGACCATACAGCGGCGAAGACGGCGGCCTGCGCCTCGGAAAGTGGCCAAGGGGCCGTTTTCCTGTTAAGCGCTGAAAATGCCAATGTGGGATGGTCGATGCAAAATATGTGCTTGTAAAGCCCATGAACACCGTGACCAGTTGTTATGAGCTTCGTTCCCAGGCTGGATAAAAAGGGATAGTCGTATCTATATCCAGTACAGAAGATAACAGCGTCGACACCCCTTTCGACTCTTCCATTTTTGAACCGAACTCCTCGTTCATCCACAAGGAATTCTTCGATTTCCGAAACTTCTTCGCATCCCACGTATGCTAGTTTTGGCGGAGGCGTTGGAGTTCTCACAGAGAGTAGTGTTTTCCTCATCGATGTCCGATTGATCTGAGACGCGATATCTGTACCTGATGGCCCATTCCCCACAACTATGGTCTTCTTGTCTCTGAAGGGTAATGGTGACCGGTATGTGCGGGAGTGCGACACGATGGACGGGTATGCCATCTTGAATTCGGTAAGGTTCTTTAGATTTGGGATGAACGCTTGTGAATAGTGTCCAGTCGCGACGACTACTGCGTCGTAGTCCACTCTGACGGTGCGGTTATCGTGCATGGACCTTGCTTCCAATTTCCAGATGGTCTTCTCGTCACATGAAAGTGGCATCACTCTGCTCACTTGAACCCCAAATTGGATAAGATTCCTGACTTCTTTGGCATACTTGAGAAGATACTCTTGCACAACATCGATAGAAGGGAACAGCGCGGTTCCTGGAGGAAAAGGTTGATCGGAAAATTGCATCAACGGTAGAGGAATATTGGCATACAGTTGATCGTACAAGGGCGACGATGATGAGCTCAGGTCGCTTTCAATACGACTTTCTGGCGTACCCAAGCTGTCAGGTTCCGGATTCGCCCCGAACCCGGAAAATTGCTTCGAACAATTCCATATGCCCCCGATATCTTCCTGCTGTTCGTATACAACAATCGAGTCGAAGGCATCCTGTGCTTTCAGATACTTTGCAGCAGAAAGACCCGAAGGTCCAGCGCCAATGACGGCAATTCTTTTCACATCAAAAGTTGAAACCTTAGGTAATGGCGTCATGTCGATAGAAGCAATGAAGCACGATTAAAAGGGGGCAAACGTCGTCTGCTCAGGTAGCGCTTCGAACCGAGCTTCCCTCGATGTGAATTGGAGGGGATATGCATGTGCATCCGTTTCGCTTGGTGGAAGAAGAGTTGTTAAGGAGATGATTGGAACCACTTCTGCGATGCGGCGGCCTCGATTACTGGTGGTTGCTGGGCGTCAAACATTGAACTCTTGAAATCTTTCTCCCCACTGTCGGAACGGTTGAAGCGGCCAGCAAGCTTTGAGCAGTGGATCGTGTAAGCAAAGATTACTATTAGGAGTAGGCCGCCTATGGGGCTGGTGAGATCCTCCACACCAATTGATTGCTGAAAGATTGTCAAGATTTCTGACTAAAAGAGTCTGACGACGGCAGGACATCAATGCTCGATTGTGGCTTTTTGCAAACCGGCTTGACTTAACAGATAAAAGTCCTATCAACACATCAGCCAAATGTAATCGAAACCTCGGACGATTTCGCGTTAGCTTACGAAGTGACGATATGCTAAATACATTGATCTTTGGGCTAGAGGGGAGGTTATTCTAAAGTGCGGGGGGGAAAAGCGAGCTTGTTCTTAAATAACCTACAAGAACACGCTGCCATAATGATCCTCACGCAACGTGTTGAGAATCGCATTGAACTGGTCGATGGTATGCAATTCCGGGGCGGTGATGCGCGTCCACGGCCACAATCTCATCTGAACGACCTTAGTCAGTTTGTATAAGCGTAATAGTCACTGATAACGGACATCGCCTGTTTTGAGGTTATGTGATATGACATGGGCGCTTCCACCTGCCTCCTAGCATCTGTACGTATCGTCTAACCATTCTACAACAAGCTTTCCAACCTCGTCTGGCTTTGCGAGCATACACCAATGGCCGGCATCTACCTGTCTCACCGTCAACTGAGGCACTAGTCCAAGTTTTTCCACGGTTTCGATTGCCTCAGGCCGACAAACAACATCCTGCGTGCCTGCAACGAATAGATATGGCACCTTTATCTTGTATCGGTCTGCTGGGAGTCGGGAGTCTTGCTCATCGAAACGGCCATCTCGTTTTGAGCGGTAATAACAGAGCGGGCTCTCGAAACCGTCTCGTGTCATGCGTTTTATGAACCTCAGTCGCATCTCATCAGTGGCGTATTGCTGTACGGGGCCCTTTTTGTCCTGCTTTAACCAGGCTTTGAGTCCATCTTCAGCACAGAGTGTTGTCATCCAAGCCTTTGGTTCTGCATGTAACGCCGTAAATAGCGACTCGGCGTGCTGATTGAGAAGCGAAGGGCCAAGAAGAGGATCGCAGAAGAGGTACCAATACCACGCCGGGAAGTAGCCCATCGATTCCATCGACATTGAAGCCCATTCCTCCAGGCTGAAAGGCCGTTGAGGTTGTGGGGACGCTGCAACGTTGAAAATAAACAGCCCAGAGCAGCGCTCGGGATGATAAGCGTAGAAGCGATGAGCGAGACCTGCCCCCGAGTCATGTCCACTGACAACGACTTGATCGACGTTTTCGGCATCCAGGATATCTCTCAAGTCGCCGGTCAACCCAACAGAATGGAAGTCCTCTGGTCTGGTGGGCTTGGAACTATCGCCAAACCCCAAGCAGTCGGGAATAATAACTCCATAGCCTTTTGGAATTATATGATTTGTCGCGAGATCCTCCCACAAGGGTGCGTGATCGGGCCAGCCATGAAGAAGGAACGCAGTCGGCTTTCCATTCGATGATTGAGATGTATAATACGTGTAGAGAAAGCCTCGAGAGGTTTTCACAGTTTTTCTGATCAAATTGTCCATCGGTGATGTTTGTATGCCAGTCCGAAATCTATGATTCGGGAAAAAAGGGATTTTCGATGGAGTGTTGGCACTACAAAAGCACACAATCGTCATTGTTGCAATAGTGTCTTTATAGATGTACCGACAGACAGCTTGGATCACACAGGTGACGTAAACCCTTGTTTAGCAAGTGCACCACAAGCCTCCATAAGCAATGTGGTCTGATATCTCCATATTTCGCTTCAAGACTTCAAGACCTGGTACCCGCAGAAGCTCCCATTATTCAACGGCCAGTCAATAGACCCTCTCATACCTCAAGTTTCGCAGCTTTATAGACCTGAACAATGCGACTGTCTCCAACAACTCTAATCCGGGACAGTTTGTAGCGTACTAAAGTGCGAGTTTTTTCTATCGGCAATACATCCAACCTATATCAATCGTGAGATCCCACGTGCTATCATATTAGCTCCTGTCAGCTGCTTACGGTGATGTAAACACAGAACAAAGGTCAAGCCCTCTGTTTGGGTCTGAGTCATCAACGAGACAATAGTCGTTGATGATTGTGTTCCACGAAATGGAGAAATCAACGGCGAGGGTTCACAAATTCCGGGCGCCAGACATCGGACTCACATATACAGGCCGAGGGTCTGGACGACTACTCGTGGTACAAGCGGCGGGATAGGGAATCTCTTCCCAGTATCTTCGGATAGGGTTATCGCCTCTCAAGGATCGGTTCACCCTAATCTATCCAGAATCCCGCGGTTCGGGCTCCTCCGCGCGGCCACAACAAGCGGAAATGATGAGCACCTCTGATATGGCAGATAATGAGCATCTACGCAAATGCTTGGGACACGAGGAAATTGACATACTGTGCCATTTGGATGGGGGGAACATTGCACCGGCTTATGCTCAGCGATGTCCAGACTCCATCCGCATTCTAATTCTCGTCACTCCCTGGCTGATAGCTGCGATGACAATCGCGTCTGGCAACAGTTTGTGAATAGTCGAAATAGCCCAGCATTCGCAAAGGCGCTGGAAGCACTCGATATAGCCAAAACTCAAAACTTCAAGTCCCAGGACGAGTGGTTCCAAAGTTTACGGGTGAGATTATCGTTCTATCCCGCCGATCCTGATCAGCATTATGCTATTTTTGACAAGGCCATGGGCGTGTCTTCGTGGTGAGTTCACGAAGCACAGCGGGCTGCTTACAAGGCCAAACCACTTGACCTGCACGCGACGCTCCATACTGTCAAGGCTCGGACGCTGTGCTTATAATATTCAGGAGATTCCCCATGCCCAGAGAATGTCTCGTATCACGGCAGGAGGTATATCTGAGTAGCAGCTTGTTCTTATCCCTCGGTATGGACCTCTTCCCTAGATTGAGAAACCAGAGGAATCCTTCACGGCGGTCACTACGTTTCGGCGATGAGAAGAAGATGAGTTGGCGTAAGCGTCTGCTTTTATTAAACTCACCATATCTAAAGATGAGAATGAAGTTGATTACAGAACCTCTATAGTAAGGAATCGATAGCGAAGGCGACTGCACCAACCCGACTTCAGTCGTATGACGCCCTGTCACACACGTAGATCACAGACTTATCATGGGTGCCCAAGTGCTAGCAGATCAATGGTATGAATATTCGCATCTTCTCGAGGTGATTAAGAACGCTTTGCGCAAGTATTACAGATCGAGGAGTTTGGTTGAGTAGAGATTTAATGATGGAAGCCGCGGGTAAAGTATGTACTTGGTAGGAGACGAATCTAAGAACGTGTCCTTAAAGTGAGAGAGTGTGATGCTTGTGTATATCAATAATTAGTAAAGGACTCAGTCAACTAGATACAAACGTCGGGGGCAGGGCCCTTCTTATATAATGACTGAGATCCGCAGAGACGGACCGTACTTGGGTCAGCCTGTAGTTTAACAGAACGCTGCCACTATTCAAGGTTAGTCTCTACGTTTCCAGTAACAACATGGAAGTTCGCTCTATATGATCTTTAAGGATTGGCTCTCAAGCTGAAGGTCACAATTCTATCAGAGAGCTCAGAACTATAACCATTGTATAATAAATCTGCCATTGGAATGAGGAGCCGTTAAACAGACGACTCAGACTCGTCGATCACCAAAGTGGGTGATCCCACCGTTGTTCACTCACCGTTGTTCACTCACTATTTGGCTTCGCTATCCGGCTTCGAGTAAGCTGGGCTTGGCGACGCCGAGCTTTCCTATGATCCTCTCAAACGCTTCGTTCTCCGCGTATCAGCTTTTCCCAGGTAGTAGATATCGGTTTCTGTCTCAGGAGGGCCGATTGCACGAGAAAGGCCCACAGCGGCTCGACTCGTCTGATGATACTAGACGACCCTTCCCTACTGCTCCGCACGGGTCGATGCATGAGACATGTGGGTTCAGGGAGTAACCGGAGCCCACCACCTGCTAACGTCATTGTGCCTTGATGCGCCATCAGATCTTTCGTACCCTTACTTGGAACGGAGTCCAGTAACGAACTGATCTCATGGCGCCTTGTAGAACGCGTCCCAGGTCCCGTTACTGACTATGTTACCTAATAGGCTCGTAATAGCAATTGTTTGAGCTTCAATCGGGTGAGGGGCTTGCATGAAGATCTGTACTATCATTGACGTCGCGGGGTTGAGGCGCCTTGCTCTCATTGGGGAGTACGCGACATCGTGACACGCCATGTCTTGCACTGCAACCCCTTACACCCGAGGAACAGAACACTAGACTTGAAGAAATCTAGATAAAGGTCGATCTCATGGTCTCTCCTTATCTTTTCCCCCAAGACCCCGCGTTTGACTAGACAAGGGGCGGCGATATAGCCTACAAGCTAAGTTCATGTGTCAAAGCCATGGAGTCCGAATCCGCGAATCCGAATCCGCGTCTGTAGATAACGACTGCGACAGCATGTATGAAATAGGTATATAGGGGAGGTGCCGGAGTATCTTCTGGATTTTGTTGTAGCATCAACAAGTTGTAAACCATTGATTTATCCCCAAGACATCCGTCTGTAGCGCAGCAGCGCTCGGACCAAACATCTAGGATGGCACCTCGAGACTCTCGTGAAGATCTGGAAACGGTCGTCATTGAGACAGAGGACGTCCATCATGTGGTCGAGAAATTGGTTGCCCACGATCCCACACTTGCAAATGCCGCAGATACGCAGCAATTGGGTACGTCGATATCACACCGACGATGAGCCCTGACTAGCGTACTGAACTTACATGTATGTAGCAAGCATCGGGTACAGGCAGGAACTCCAGCGCCACTACTCCAGTGTACAAGTATTTGCCATAGCTTTCAGTATCATGGGGCTACTTCCATCAATCTCGGCGACGCTGTGGTTCTCGGTTCCCGCAGGCCCAGTTGGCATGGTTTGGGTGAGTGCACATATATATCTCCCAAGGCGTTGTTATAGCCACTGACAGACGTAGGGTTGGTTCTCTGCCAGCGCTCTCATCTTCATCGTGGGACTAGCAATTGTAAGATATGCGAGGGGTTGCTCACAATCGTCACAGTAGCACTTCTAACAGCCCTAGGCCGATCTCGGTTCTTCGCTTCCTACATCTGGAGGTCTGTACTGGTGGACACATTACTTTGCGGCCGACCGGTATAAGAATCCACTGAGCTTTCTCGTCGGATACAGCAATACAATTGGCTTGATTGGGGGAATATGTTCCATTGACTGTAAGGCCAAGCGGGTTAGGCAACTTGCCCTATCATCCAGCTAACCGGGTCCCAGATGGATTCGCCTCGTTCATTGTTTCGCTCGGTGCAATCAGCAGCGACGGGGAATGGACCCCCAGTCGAGGACATCTTTATGCGATCTTCGTTGCAACAGTGCTCTGCCACGGTGCTCTGGCAACTTCGGCTGGGAGGATCATGCACCATCTACAGACCTGGTTTGTCCTTGCCAACTTTGCCCTCATTCTAGCTACAGTCATAGCATTGCCAGTCAGCATGCGAGTACGCAATATCCCCATCAACTCAGCAAGGTACGTGTTTGGCCATTCGATAAACGAGACAGCATGGCCATCTGGATGGGCCTTTATGCTATCCTGGCTCTCGCCCATCTGGACCATAGGGGCGTTTGACTCTTGTGTTCACATGAGTGAAGAGGCCAAAAATCCAACCAAGGCTGTGCCCATCGGCATACTCGCCTCTATTGGAGGCTGCTGGATATTCGGCTTCCTCGTGACAGCAGTGCTGGCTGCATGCGCTGGCGATAGCTTCGCAGAGATATTGAGCACACCCTTTGGCCAGCCAATCGCCCAGGCAAGGATGTCTCTGTATGCTACTAATGGCGAAAGTGTCTAACATTATTGTTGACAGATTTACTACAATGCTCTGGGAAAAGGCGGCGCCATAGGATTCATGTCAGCTATAACCATCTTGCAGTTCTTCATGGGTCTCAGTATTGTACGTTTGAGGCTCGGATTAGCAGAGGAGTCTCCTCGCCTTCTCGACACCTTTATCATTGTTATCCAGCTAACAACGATCAATTGTTAGGTTGTAGCCGCGTCTCGGCAAACGTGGGCATTCTCCCGCGACGGCGCACTGCCCTTTTCTGCATTCCTTAGAGAAATCAGCAAACAATTTGGGTACCAGCCACTGAGAACTGTGTGGGCAACCTGCATTATGGCCATCATCATCGGCTTGCTGGCTTTGATCAACAATGCTGCTGCTAATGCGCTCTTTTCCCTTGCAGCTGCCGGCAATAACGTCGCCTGGGGCATACCTATCATGTGCCGTGTCGTTTGGGGCCAGGAGAAGTTCCGTCCAGGACCATTCTACACCGGACGGTGCAGCGTTGCTATTGCAGTCGCTGCCTTGCTGTACTTGACGTTCTCGACGATACTATGCATGTTCCCTACCGAAGGGCCAGATCCTGATCGTGAGCTCTTCCCGCTGTGGTTGCAAGGTGAAGAAGCCTACTAACATTGCCATAGCATCAGTCATGAACTACTCTGCAGTGGTCAATGGGACGGTCTGGGGAGGCGCATTGCTCTACTACTTCCTGTACGCCCATAAGTGGTTCACAGGCCCCAGACACACTCTGGATCCCACAGGGTCTGAAGACGACACCATATAGCACTAGGTACACAGGCGCGACATGGAGACTAATCGATGCCTACCTAGTAACCGATTTACTAGGTGCCGGCTGATCAAGCATTGCTCCTGTCCCTGATTGTGATAAAGAACTGCATTAAAGTCTATAAATCTACTACTGTTACAATTCAGGACTCTAGGAAAACGACATCGCCGTACATTATGTTTCATGTGTACGCTCCCATGCGCTTTCATCGTCTGCATGAGAAAGGTCGCGTGGTGCTTCCATTGGAAGTTTCTCGAATCTGCACGAGGATTAGCCGACACGGCCTGGTACAGCCAATGGGGAACTGTTGTACTTACAATGTCATCGATGGTGGCGTAGGTGCCAGCCACAAGGGCTACGACTCCAATGATGAACGCCAGTACACTTCCAAGGGTGATGAGAATGTTCTTCCGAGAGAACCAGTTGCCTTTGCAGAGAAGTCTGAACCACATGATGGCAGGAATCCAGTAAGAGAACCCAGTGACGAACAGGGCTGAAACGAGGGAAAGCAGGTCTGAAAAGATGGGAATAGCCTCGGCAATAACCCAAGCAATGATCGTCAGGAACGCTGCAAGCGTAATCCAGCAAGCCCAGCCCCTCGGCGTATTGACATATCGGATGATTGACTTCTCCCAGAGTCGTCCATGCAGGTATCGAAGGGCCACTGTTGAGTTGATAGAGCCGGAGATGAAAATAACGGGCAGCGCAACGCCAAACGTGATCTTGGAAATCAGAGGACCAGACGATAACAAGGCGGGAGACTGGATGGACGGCCCGATAAACGCATAGCACAGCGCGCCGGTCAAGGTATAGATAACGATTTGAGCGATTCCAGAGGCCCAGATCGACTTCATGAAGTCCTTGGGAGTATGCATCTCATCCATGAAAGAAAATTGGCCGATTGCGAAACTGAAGGCAAAGATGATGTTGCTGACGGCCACGAAAGCCTCAGAGAATGTGACTCCCTCTTGGGGCCACGCGGACCATTCAACCCCAGAAAGGCCGCCTGGTGCGTCTCTCGCTTTGATTCCCGTGGCGATGATCGTGATGCCAATCGCGATGATAATCGAGGCGAAGTCGATGTAGCCAAGGATAGCAATCTCGGTGAAAGAAGGCGGAATGGCCAACAGAAACAGAATGAAAGCCGACACAGCCGAGAAAGCAATGGAGCAGACGTGGTTTCCATTCAGAGTGCTGAGGGCGATGCTGCCGGTCAACGCGTGTGAGCCGACTGACATGACGAGTTCGAGGACCATGGCGGCGCCGAGCAGTTCATAACCAAATCTTCCGAACAAGAGTCTTCCAGCGTCGGCATAGTGAGAGACCTGGGGATAGGCCAGCTTGACTTGTCCCACGAGATAGCTGGTGAAAATGGTGATGAGCCCAAGCGTAATGGTAAGAAAAACGCCAGGGAACATTCCCAGAGTGTGATAGGCTGCCGGCAGACTGAGAGCTCCCAGGGCAATGGCTTCGACAATGGTCACTATGGCCAATCGTTTCCAGCCCAGTCGGTGGAAGTGGGCGTTGCCTTGCGCTGCGATTTGCTTCAGGCGACTGTTTTGCAGCTCCTCACTGGTCTCTCCAAAGAGCTCAACATCAGCCGCAGGGTCTGATCCAGCTTGCTGGTTCTCGTGTTTCTCGGCGCTGCCCTTTGAGGCGTATTGACCGTAGGCCTCATGATGGGCGCTGGCTATGGTGTCCGCCATGTGGACAACGCAGGTGAAGAATGGTCGAATCAGTCAGTTGATGGGTGAGGCAGGAAGATAATACGAGCACCCTTCAGAAAGAAGTTACGGACACACTTCTCTCGGGAGGAAAGAGTGGGCTGGCCAGGAAGGGAAAACTGGAAGCCGCAGATTGGGGTTTTAAAAGGCTGAGCTCGGGACATGAGAAGCTAGGGGCAACTCTCTCAGAGGGGACCCATCGATATGCCGAGGACTGCCTATCTTGGGTGGATGTCGATAATCAGTTACGCGATTCACCCCGTTCGCTTATGCTCTCCACGAATCCATCGAGCCAGCAACTTATACGACAGGCTTATCTGTAGTACAGTACGTAGTAGCGAGAAAGAGATCCTCCCCGCAATGCAAGATCGTTTGAACCTGATGCTAAACTATCCACCCAATCCTTGATGAACTGGGGAAAACCTTGGATGACCACCGTGAATGTGTGGTGATGTATGTATTGCAGCCACTCGTGTGGCGGCGAGAAAATTTCTAGAAGCCTTTTGAGTCATGTTCCACAAACGTAAAATTTTCCGACAGTTGGTGGAGCGCGCCTCCAATGGCGCGGTCTCAAAGAGCCAGCTGTGGGACTAATTGCTGATGGGATTTGTAGTCGAGATCCATCATCCGAAAAAAGGAGAAGTGGGAATCCTCTTCTGCGTCCGTATTCGATATCATGATCGAATCCCGCCGAAAAGGATAAACTGTGTTGCTTTCTTGCCGGCGCCCAAAGGTGGCGTGAAGCCTCAAGTCTTGGGCAACTTGGGACGGAGAACCCTTCAATCCATTTACTTGAAGTCTTCGAAGAGTATACACAAGCACGGCTAACATGATTCCAATGTTTCGTTCCGAACCAATGGCCACATCCTGTAGGAGATCATCGACACGTCTCTCGCTTGTGTCAACGAACCTTCATGGAGGCGTCTCCGTCTACCGGATAAGGACTAGAGTACATACCCATCGAGGGGATATGATTGGCCCCAACAGTTGACACAAACCAGGTACGCGCTTGTTGAGCCACTGCCGGCGCCAAAGGCACGCACGGGCCGAGACCAGTGAAGTTTTTATGTCATTGCCGGAAATAAGCGGCATTGGCTCGCAGTAGTTCTTGCTCTTATCATCTCATTCGATCACCTCATTACTCAACGAGCACTGAAAACTTGACAAAGACCGGAGAGGGTGAACCCCTTGACCCTAACTATTTCCTGGTATACATGTGAGTTTTCTTCTGAACGTACTCTAAACCGATGTGGGCAATATCTCAGTCAAGCGAGAAACACTCTTCCATTTCGCTAACCACACTAAAACCGCAAGCATCCGAAAACTTGAACTACAGATGACCAAATTGCTTAACTTCATGGCCCATAGAACAACTCTATTTTAACTCAAGCCTTGCACTAACTGTCTCTGCAATCATGGCGAATCAGTAGAGATGGCGTAAACGCCCTCGGGCCTTCAAAAGAGCCAGTTCAGCCTCATTGCGTCTCTGGCATCACCTTTCGAAACCTGGTGTACAGTTTCTCCCATGGCCGAGCTCAACAATTTTATCAGAGCGGTTGGCGTTGCACAAGGGGCTATACTTGTGTTTTCTGAAAGACATGAGACTTACCTAGTACCAATAAGTCAGTCATACCACCGGGTCCAACTTGCTGTTCGCCTCCCAGACACAGCACATGCCGTCCCGCTTGACATGGATGGGTTTCAGTTGCGAAGTGGTAGTACACCCGTGCGATATAGTGAATGCCGGGTCAGTTTATCATACCTAAATGATAAGACAAAGTCAACCTGAGAGAGGGGCAATTCTGCCATACCTCACCGGACTGGGGAGAATATGATGCAGCAGAGTTTAGCAAGACGTTAGGGACAGAGCCCTCCACTTCTCGGCCAGCCAGCCACTGCCGGGCCATAGACAGCATGCTGGGAAGTGTACTCGGAGTATGACCTTGTTTAAAGAGAAATCTCATAACATCTCCTGAGATAAAAAAGAAGAGAGAGAGAGAGAAAGCGAGTATTAGCCTTTGGCTATGGTTACACCTTGTGCCTTGCTTCCATCTGAACCGTAGCCATTTAACACACTAGAAGCAAAACTTTTAAATATCAACGCTGGGGTATATAGTGTCCTCTCTACGTCCCATGACAGAAAGAGCTTGAACTGTAACAGAGCAAAGTAAAGAGCAAGAAGATGAAAGGCATTTAATGATTCACCACACCACAGCTCTTCGGGTCGTCGTCGCAAGTGCATGTTGACGGCGCATAAACCCAGCCAGTGAGACGACTATGCTTCCCTGTTAGCCTCATTCATCTTGATCCCACACCACACCGGCTCGCGACGACTTACTTTGCAACATCACTAGCATAGCAATGAGTGGCAATGTTGCTCTCTAAGTTGCCAGTTTTTGAAATGGAGCCCGAGTTGTAGATACGGGCGGCGCGGTAATAGTCAGAGACATCGCCGTTGCCCGAAAGATTGATGCAATGGGCCAAGCCATCTCCAGACGATGTGCCAGAAGTCCCCTCCCGAATCATCTCATGAATCGTTGCTGCGGGGCATGGTGTTGTGAGTTTCTTGTTGTCGTTGCAATAGGCTTTCCCATTATGGTTCTGCATGATGCCGGGATTTCGCACACCCAGATTTGTCGTGTTCACCCTGACACATCCATGGGACTCTTGCATGATAATGGCCAGGATAAGGCGGTGGTCGACGCCACTCGCGTCTGCGGCCATTTGGATGCCGTCGTAGATAGCCTCCTGTAGATGATGGAAGTTAGCGACAGGTCGTTGGAACGGACAGATCTCAGTTAACAACGCACCACTTCGGCTATATCGTTGTTGGGAAGTCGCCAATTGAGGAACTGGCAGGCGACGTACATTTGAAGCTTGTAGTTGTTGAACCTGTTCCAGTATAAGCTTGACTGCAATAGGACTGCTCCATTCGCGAAACACTCACATATCCTCAAAGGATACCCATTTGTCCTTTGAAGGCCATCCCGCGGCCTCTGTTCCATTACCCAAGTACAGATGATACCAGTCTGTTCCGTTACCCATGCCGTCTTCGATGTTGCTATTGTCGAATCGAGCGAGAGCCTTGCTAGTGACTTTTCCACCCGTTGCCCGTCTATCAACGCTGAGGCTATCGGAGCCATCGGAAGATCGGCCGGTTAGAGGAGTCAAAAACGAGGGCAGAGCGGCCACAAGGCCTGTGCCTGTTAATAGAGCGACGAGAGAAAGCTGGAGATGCTGTTCAGTACAGCACGGTCTCTTCTGTTGATTTCAAGCTACTTACCTTGACCATTTTGATAGGTATGAGAAAGTCAGATGGAGTAAGGACAAAGCAGGGGAAAGGGAAACGCAATCTGTCGCAGGTGAGACTGTTGCCAACCCAGTGAATGTACTTCAAACAGTTTGGTAATGGTGTAGCTCTGGAACATCATGCAGGGCAACTCCGCTAGATATACCTCGGAGAAGAGTGGTAATATGATTATATATTTAGACGCAGTGGTGCTCCTGCTGTTGCTCCATCTTCCCTGTTCTGGTCATATTCTGTAGCATTTCCCGGGTGATAATGGCCTAGTTCCTTCGTGGCTTCACTCAACTGCGGCTTACATCTATGCGCTATCAATAGTTCAAAGCCAGGGGATAAGCATCCATGTACCCAGGCTCACTGGACCCTTGGCCCAGAGGTCCAAATCGCTAATGTGTAAGGGTATTTGATAGGTCGGGGTTCAGAGCTAAGCCCAGTACTATTACCAGAGGGGAGTTACGAGCTGCTAGCCCTCGTGTTTTCACAAAGAATCCACACGCAACACCAGACCTCTGCCCTATTGCTAATTTTATTCTCTCGACATATGCTTGTTCCTTTGGAAAGTTTGACGACCTCCTGCCACCGTGTACGAGCATTATCCTTGGACACGCCAGGGACAGACAGACCTTCGAATGGCATCCTCAGTCACCAGAAACAAGGCCTGTGGATGAACGGCACAATCTTGGACAGCAGGCAAACGGAAAGACCACGCTCAAAGATGTTCTGAATAGAGCATCTTTTTACCTCGTGTAAAGCACCCGAAGCACGCAACAAGCGTGTTCCGTTTCTGGATTGTTCCTGCGTTCCTGCCCGACACAGCTGTCAATATCTCATCTCTGGTTAAGTGAGGTTCCAGGAGCTATGACAAATTCTCACCACGACCTCTTACAGAGGACACCTGACGGCTTGTTTCTGTTACTTGCCTCTCTGCGCTTGTTCACGGCGAAGTAATATACCCGACGCCTTCCTTGGATCGTCCGTCGTCGGCTGCGGCCGCTGCTAATTTCAGCCTGAGCTGCCCACTAGCTGCAGGGGTGGCTTCAAGAACGCATCAATCAGCGGTGTGCTTTGCTCTTGGCGCGTGAACTCGCCCCATCGTGACCCTGAGGCTGAGTACAACGGATGGATGACACGAGCAGCCGTCTTCCGTTTGTTCTGTGCCCTGGTGCCTGTCGATCAGCCACATTTTAGTAGTCTGGGTCAGAAACATTTTGAGTTAACGTTACCACTGGCATGAACTATGAGCCCCTACTTTAGGTCATCGTACGGGCTCTGCAAAAGATCATCAAGGCGATTATCGTCGAATACTTTGCAACCGGCAAGAGACCTACGCGCACTGAGCTTAGGACCTCAGATACGGAACAGACGGCCCTCACAATAAACAGCGGTCCACATCCTCGAAACTTATAGGCCCAGAGCAGGTCCGGGGTGCAGCGTCCTCTGCAGTAAGATCATGGATGCCAATTTTTGTCCGAAGCGCGCAGGTTCGCTCTTGTTCGCAGCCAACCTGCGATGATTTGGCGCTCTTTAGGTGCTCCGATATGTCATCGCCCAAGACATAGTCGAACAATCCAGCGCTCGCGAGGCTTCTGCCTGTTCTCAGATCGAACATTGGCAGTCCGCGACAAGACATGTATTGCAGCAGTAGCTCCGTCCTTAATAAGTGCTGACCACGTTGGTCAAATGGTGTGTGACTGGGCGTCTTTGCAGCTCATCCGTAATGAGTCGGTAAGGCTCAATTGTGGAACTTCCGTCAGCGCCAAAGCAAACAGAAAGCCCAACCGCAGCGGCGCCATGACTGATGCGGACAACGTCTGCCGCGACTACTGCTAGAATATTTGTGAGGTCTTGTCCTCAACAGAGAGGAGGCGGAAGTACTGCCTTTTGCAATAGATGACCCGATGACACGTTTCTGAAGGAATAACGTGGCACCAACGAGACATCACGAAGCTGGACGCCCGTCTCGGTGTAGATACCTATTGGGCACTTGTGGTGTTTTGTCAGCACGGCGATGGTAGGTTTCTCGGAAGCCAATCGTTCCAATGTGCCAAGCAGATGATGTTGCAGCTTGCACAGAGTGCCTACACATGGAAGGAAGGGTTGATTGGCAAGAAAGACGGGGCCCTCATTTGTTATTTCGATGTCCATACTAGAGGCTTGGCAGGTACTTGAGGCTGAGAAGTGTCAGATGGCTCCCTTCACTTAAAGGGAACTGTCAGATAATAAAGCATTTACACGGGAGTGTCGAACAGACACGCAGATTTGCACTTCCAGCCCGATCTCAAGAAACCAACTTCGCTCGTGTGGATACATGGGTCTCACGCTTTGCTGTCTTCGGCCTGCCATTCCTGTCACCGAAGCATGTGTTTCTAGATGCTGAGATGAGTGCATTAGCCGATGATAGCCAGCCTCCAACATCCTCTCGTACGGTTTACGGAGTTCATGACGTGTCAAAATGTGATGGACGCCAAAAGAGCTTCATATAGTCCTTGATTATGTTCAGGTTGATTGTATCGATTGAGGTCTGAACAGTACACTGACACTGGCGCTGCTCTGACCTTGGTTCTGTGAGGTCGATAGTCGATAGTCGATCCATGCATCTTAAAGCATACGGGCCAAAACGGTGCACATACTTCTTACGAATGTACCTATATTGGCGGGACGCTTCTATACCAGTGTTTTTTAAAAAGACTTTACGCAGCCGTATAATTCCTGAGGGCCGTATACGGCATCTATATGTATTCCGCTTGTCAATCCTTTTTACACGGAGGTCCAAGCCTGCCAACGCCGATACAATATCCTGTAGTATCATTAGATGATAGTAAGAGAGCGAGAAAGATTGCGCGTGCCGCTATACAAAGCAGTACGAGCTCGTGCGTGGGGCCCCAATTGTATCAGGGTCAAAAGAATTGCACACGATACATTTTGTATATTGCTCTGCTGATGACCCTCAGTTAGAGCTCATGATTTACATAAAGACGATCTGACCTGGGGAAATGAAAGTTGATGCATTAACAATTTCCAAGTCGTTCAGTTTCGGTGTCAAGTCGTTTCCCACGAGTTGTCTATGTGTATAAATGACCCTAGAAATGTTCATCTATCGAATGAATCCAAGCTCCTTCTTGGCGTTGTCTCAAGTGAGAGGCTCCATATGTTGACGAAAGCTCGACATGTACTTCAGCCCGGAATCACACGCAACAGTCACAACGGTCGATCCAGGCTTGAGCCTTTCTGCTACTCGCAAAGCGGCAGTTGCATTAGCCCCCGTCGAAAGCCCGCAAAACAATCCTTCTTCACGTGCCAAGCGGTCTACCATTGCCCTCGCGTCTGCTGTCGATACAGCTTGAAACTCATCAGCAATGCCATCGTACCACAGTGGCACGACATACCCAGCTCCTATGCCGTCAATTCTGTGAGATCCTGACGGACCACCGGACAATACAGCTGATTCGTCTGGCTCGACAGCAACAAAGCGAATTCGATTGTCAAGTCGACGGAGACGTTCGGATACACCTCGGAGAGCTGCTCCGGATCCGACGCTCTGGACAAAGACATCCATTTGACCCTCTGTCTGCTTGTAGATCTCATCGGCCAGCTTCGTATAGGCGGCTAGCTGGTCGGTATTGTCCATCTGCGCTGTAATGTATGCCCCGGTCCTCTCCGCCAGAGCATGCGCCTCCCGGATCATGTCTTTGGTCAGCTTTTCGGTTTGCTTGCCGTTGTCGCTGGGGATCAGCGTCAATTCAGCGCCAAGAAGCCTCATGTGGTCTAGCTTCTCTTTCGAAAAGGCATCTGATGTTACCACGTGCAATGGATGTTTCTTGACAGAGCAGACCAGGGCGAGCGACACGCCGGTACTTCCCCCGGTGTACTCGACAACAGCACCGCCGGCTTTGAGGCGACCATCGTTCTCAGCAGCCGTGACCATTGCAAAAGCCATGCGGTCTTTCATGCTACCCGTCGGGTTGCTGCTCTCCATCTTCATGAGGATACGAACTCCATTCGATGGAACAGCATTCTGGAGCTGCACAATAGACGTGTTTCCAATAGTGTCAAGTATATTGAACCGTACGGAAGTCATCTTCCCAACCTGTTGACCCCTTAAAGTCAGTTTTAAGCTTCCATCAATGATGGGCCGGGAATTCCATACAGCTGTGTGAGGTATCTTCCAAACGTGACGGAACTTTTGGCCTGGGAGCCGAGAGGATGGTCAGTGGCCCAACAATAGACGAATGCAATAACGAACGAAGAAGTATTTTCATTTCCTTCCGATAATCCGAGGCAATTCTGTTGCTTTTATCTTGATCAGCGGCTGCTTTGTTATCACTGTGTTTCCACCCTGCGACTCGTCTAAATGCCGATATTCTCCATGCTTCATAATGGACGTTGAATTGTTAGTTGCTCTTCGTTGATCTTACAAGGGTACTGTTTCCTGCAAACAGTATAGCGCAGCAATTCCAGAACTTGATCACTATTCACCGAGTACAGGGAAGAAAGGTTTGACTTCACTCCGAAGGCAAATATTTTGGCAATGCTAGTAACAATACTAGCTAGCTGTAAAGCCAAATGAGGGCCGTTGCGTTTGCGATTGCTACGTAATTCTAAAGTACGTTGATTGGCGATGAGGGAATTATGGAACGACAGATGTTCAATAATCGCATTATTATTCTGGCTTATTCTAACCAACCCGCCGGTTTGAGCTTTTCCTCGGCGGCTCTACTTACACTCATGCTATACGATAGGTATAATTGTTTAACTAAACCACCGAAGGACACAAAGAGCTCTGGAATCATATACTCGTGGGAACGACGGCCCAAAAACTACAGCTCAAGTCCGGTAGCGATTCGGTAGAAGCGTTCCCGTGGAGCGCTGTTGGCGAGCTGGCTCAGTCGCCATTCTCATATCCAGGTGTGGAAGGCTTCATAGCAGAATCTCTCATACATCATTTCGAAGACCACTCGATATTGGGCACCTGATCCATCCAAAATGCGGGGTATGTGTACGAGATAGCAACTATGTACAACTGCGATGGTTTCAATCCAGGCTTTGTATAGCTACCAAGACAGCCTACCAGGACAGGTTGCAAACTTGAGTTCAGATTACTCGGTAGGTGGTGAAGCACCCGAGTCTCTTATCTCTTGAAAATATATGAGGGCTAGTGCAATACTTGGCTCTGTGCTTTTCTTTTCTCTATACCAGCCTGTCTGCGATTGGTCCAGAAGCCCAAAGATGAATCGTACCCCCTCCCAAAGCAGCTTCCTCCATGCTGATAATCGCGTTGAGAATCTTCTGGGCTCGGGAACAAGCCGCAAATAAGTCGCTCACGTTGGCTCAACGTCACAGCCGGCTAAGGTCGTTCGAGATGGGTGAAATTGGGTGCTAATGTGTCGGGTAATCCCATTTCATTAATAGCCGGGGACACCCTCAATGTCGATCAGACAGCTGCTGTAGGCAAAGAAGGGGATACATGATACAGCAGCAAGCCGAAGGAGTTCCGAACTGGTTATATAATGCTACCTATCTTGTGCGTGATAAATATATCTTCCCCGGCAGACTCCGTGCTGCAAGCTTACCTTGATACATTGTTGTTTCGTATAGTTGTCTCAAATCAGGCGCATCTCTCTAGCCAAACTGAATAAACGCCTCTTAAACTCGGCGTGATGGCTGGTATTGCAATCTTGGGAGCTGGCATTTTTGCCACCGAGGGCAGTTAACTCTCTCACATTGCTTGAATAACATACGTTCTTGACACTGACTCCCTTGTAGAACACCTGCCCGCTCTTGTGCTGAACAAGGCCAATGTCAAGGCGGTTTATTCTCGTTCGAAAGCTACCGCGTCTACTCTTGTGGCGGAGGCAACGAAGCTTGGTATCGGTAATCTTGACCTTTACTCCGAAGACACTCCTGGGCACACGCTCGATGATTTGCTCAAACGTAGCGACATTGAAGCGGTCGTCATTGTCTTGCCGATTTTGGTACAACCATCGATTGTCCGACGCTGCCTAGCCGCCGGCAAGCATGTGTTGTGCGAAAAGCCAATTGCCAAAGACGTGGCGACCGCCCGCGAATTGATCGAGGACTACAAAAAGTTATATGCAAGCAAAGGACTTATTTTCAACATTGCCGAACAGTTCAGGTTTATGCATGAGTTTGAACGGGGTCGAGAGTGGGTAGTTGATGAACAAGCCATCGGCGATATTACCCAAGCGCATCTCAGGATTTGGCGGCACCAGCCTCCCGAAGGAAAATGGTATGAGACGCCATGGCGAAAAGTTCCTGAGTATCAAGGAGGCTTTTTGCTGGATGGTGGGGTGCATCAAACGGCCATGCTTCGTTTCATCTCAGGCCAAGAGGTTGTCGAGACGGCTGGATTTGCCCGTCAGGTATTGCCTCACCTTCCACCTCTCGACACTCTCAATGCCGGCATTTTGCTCAGTGGTGGAGGAACTGGGACGATATCAATGTCTTTTGCTTCGATTCGACGAGCTACTGAGCTTACAATCATCGGATCCAAAGGCAGCTTCTCCCTAACGGATGGTCCCGACGGCTCCACGTTGTCACTTGATCTCGCTACGGGAGAGAGGAGGTCAGAGACTATAAGAAGTAAAGGCGTGGAGCTGGAGATTAAAGCTTTTCTAGAGGCCATAAAGGCTGGGAAATCGGAGAAGCGGGCTGGTCCGGAGGAAGCCCTGAATGACTTGGCGATCATAGAGAGTATGTGCTCAGGGGGGGGCAAAGTACAACTGTACTAGATTGGGTGTATCTCCTGTTATTGGTATGGACAGAACGCAGAAAGTACTTGACCGCATCATTGCTTTCAATTTCCCAAGTAACAATTGGCCACCTGCATCTGTTGAAGCCTGTTGAAAGCCGGCTGTTGTAGGTTCGAGGCGTATGAGCACGTAGCTAGTAGAGGTTTGGGGGTTTGCGAAGCCTTTTTGCGGCCAACCTACTTGTATCATGCATTTGGGCTAATACAGAGGCATTTCTGTTCATGAACCCACTTGAGTGATGGTCTCTGACCGGATTACCAGGTCGTCCGATAGTGAACTTCATCACACTCCACTCGAACAGCATTTCGTGGAGATGTTACAAAGACGCGCACACTTGGTTATACCCCGTTACAAGAATTGCCTACCTGAATAAGGCTTTCTCAACTTGCTTGAGAAGGCAGTCGGAAAGACAACGGTTGATTCAGTTCGACATAGTTCTTGTCCGTTTGCCTGAAAGGATGGCTTAACCGATCACCTGATTGACGCCAGGGCGGCTGAATGGGAATTAGCCGTATAAGATTATTCTTCGAACCAAGAGATACAGCTATCATCGTATTTGCCTCGGCTAGCTTTCAGAATCGGGCGCTTGCCGAAGCCCAGGCCCTGAAATTTAGCAAAAAACTCGTCGTATACCGCTACTAGTGGGGAACAAACGACACCTAACGTGCGAAGACAAGAACATCTCAAACATCGATTCTGGGGTAACAATCTGCGATCCACAATAGCAGTTTCTGGGGAAGCAATGCTGGATGTTGGAGAAGCCCTGGCGGGGAACCGCATATAATTGCATGGCCCCCTTCACCGAGAAAAGCAGAGGAGGTGTCAGACTCCGTCTTTATTGCAAGACCTAGTAGGCTTTGCTTACCCTTCATTTCTTCAGATGGATAGCAGCAAGGTGACGGACCATGACATCGTTCAGGATGTTGTCCATGACGAGAGCCCAGTCAAAGTCACCATCCCGAACTGCATGACAGCGTCTCGCATGCAAGCCGCGCTGCTACGGGAGAATCCCCACATCTTTCGAAACAGCTTCCTGAAACTATATGGGTGCATCTTTGTCGGATACCTCTGCTCAGCTACAAATGGATTTGATTCCAATACCTTTGGTGCGCTGAACGATACTAGAACCTGAGTAGTCATTCATGACTAACTTGAGAACAAAAAAAAAAAAGGCGGCCTTTCAGCCATCCCTCAATTTACCAGGTATTTCGGCATCACCACTCAGAACCAAGGCCTTGTCGCGGCACTTTATGTGATTGGAAACATAGCTGGCAGTTTTGTCGCTGGTCCTTGCTCGGATACATATGGTCGCCGAGTAGGCATGGCCGTTGGATCGGCCATTTGTGTTATCGGCGCTGTCCTGCAAACTGCGAGCACAACCCTCTCTATGCTGATGGGAGGCCGCTTTATTTTGGGCATGGGAGCTGTACTCGTCCAAACTGCTGGCCCCAGTTATGTTGTCGAGATGTCATATCCCAAATATCGTGCCCAGCTTACCGGTGCTTACCAGGCTTGCTTCTTCCTTGGTACCATTGTATCGACCTGGCTAGAATTTGGGTTGAATCATGCGAAAACAACCCTGTCGTATCCATGGAGACTTCCCCTTGCAATTCAAGGCCTGCCATCCGTTATGATCCTGTGTGCTGTCTGGTTCATTCCCGAGAGCCCACGATGGTGTGTACAACATGTGTTTGTTCCCATTGAGTCTGTTGTGCTGATGGGGGTGATAGGTATGTTGGCCAGGGGCGTGTCGACGAAGCAAAAGCCATCCTGATCAAGTACCATGGAGATGGAGACCCAGACGCACTCGTCGCAAACCTCGAGCTGCAAGAAATGATTGAGGTCATTCAAATGGACGGGTCCGATAAGCGATGGTGGGACTATAGATGCTTGTTTGACACAAGAGCGGCGCGGTATCGAACCTTTCTCGTTCTTTGCATTGCTTGGTTTGGGGAACTCGATTTGCCTCCGACAAGCTATTATTTCCCCTTGATGGGTATGTGTCTTCTTCATGGTTGCCGCATGTATATCTGCTCTGACACATGAAGTACAGTCAAGACGGTTGGTATCACGGATGTTAATACGCAGTTGCTTCTGAACGCGATACAAACCCCAGTCATGGCAGTTTCTGCGCTCTGTGGGCTCAGTGTGGTACACAAATTTGGTCGCCGCAAGCTACTAATGTTCTCCAGTGCTGGGATGTCGGTATCCATCGCCATCATCACAGCATGCACTGCACTCCAGGCTGGACGACCCGCGGTTGGGGGAACTGGCATCGCTTTTCTTTACATCTTCCTAATTGTTTTTGCTTTCGCTTGGGTAGGTATACCATGCCCCCCCAGCCAAACTTGCTCCGCGTTTCTAACCGCTGCTGGCTACACAATAGACTCCGATGCAATCACTCTACCCTGTCGAGGTGCTCTCATTCAATTCCCGAGCAAAGGGCATGGCGTTTCTAGCATTCATGAACAATGCTGTAAAGGTCATGAACACTTATGTGCCGCCGATTGCCATTGCCAACTCTGGCTGGAAATATTATTTCCTTTATGTCTTTTGGGACGCGTTTGGTGTCATTGTTATCTACTTCTTTTTCGTTGAAACCAGGGATTGGAGCTTGGAGGAAATCGAGGACCTGTTCCAGGCGAAGAATCCTGTCAAGGCAAGTCTTGAGAAGAAGAGAATAAGCGTCGCGTATGACGGCACTATTGCGCATGTGCCAGATGGTAGGGACGATGTTTGACAAGTGAAGGCGAGTGTAGTCGTAATGTACCTTAATTGTCAATCCTCAATGCGAACAATTGGCAAGAAAGTGAGTCCATGTTTAGGGCGGTTCTCTTTGGTTGGTGTCCATCTTGATGCTGCTTCGTGCCTCATCCTTTTATGTCGTGAAATCGCTAATGAAGATGCAAGCTCGGGGTTAGGAGAAGTGAAAGACTTGTGTCAATATCTGAGCCTGAATCGTCGATCATGTGGACTTCGTAGAACTAGGTAGATAGGTAACCTTGACTCCCATCAGCTCCCCCGCAATCTCGTTAGAACTCCCATGTTGTCCTCAGCCTCCTATTATACGTACGCAATATCTGTCATTTGGCACCTCTCCCAGAGGCTTTTCACTTCAGGGGGTAATAAGCGTTCTGGCTGTAATAGGTCGTCAGACCGTTGACCGTCGTGAAAGGGTTGCTATCATGGCCCCGCGAGAGGTTTACAGACGGGTCAGAACTGGTGAGAATTCCAAGAAGAAGTGATAACTACAATAGATATTAACATGTCAGCAGGCTGGTGAGTAGTTTATGTCACATGTTCATCCTCAATGCTAACGGCAATTGCCGCCGGAACAGCACTACATGTAGGAAGCGGCATATGAAATGTCTGCCCAACCGTTGACATCAGTCTATCACGCTTATGCTTTACCTACTAACAAGATGAAGGCGATGAAAGAAAGCCCCAGTGCCGGCACTGCGAAGTTGGACACCGTGATTGTGAATATGAATTCCTCGACAACTCGTCCCACCATGAGGACGGCAACAGGTTGTTCCACTTCTCAGCAGACCACGTCTGGTTAAAAACGCCGCCAGAAAGTGAGCAGACTTAAACATTCGTGATAGTAGGCAGGGTTCAACTAATGAGGGTTTTTAGTTAGATTCGTTCACTCTGTTGACGTCTGCAATGGCGATGATGATGAGCACAACGCAACCGTGCCATCGCCATCTCAGTCATTCAATTCGGGAATCGCTCAGAGTCCCCTCACTCAGTCGTCCAATGGTAATCCAATTTATCGACTTGCCTTATGCGCTTCTGATACTGATCCGCATTTTAGAGCCACAGAATATGCCGCTGGCACATTTGGGAAGAGACGATGCAGTGTCAATATTAAGCTCCAAACTTTCTCGCGATGCGGCCGGCCTTGCGTCTCCTCACTCCGTAACAAGTGTCGCCAGCATGGAAACTACAATCCTCAGGCGGACTTCTGGCTCAGCCATCTATACTCAAGGCCCAACGAAGCCACTTGAAGATCCCCTGATTGCCCGACTGCTTCGCCACTATATCAACAACTTGGCTTGCTGGGTATATACACGCAATTTTCGCTATTGCTTTGTTCCCAAGCTAACGATCTATTGAAGCTCGATGTCAATGACTCACAGCGGCAATTCGAGACGTTTGTTCCATATCTTGCGATGAGCTGTCCCATACTGCTTTTTGCCGTCCTTGCCTTTTCAGCGTGCCATCTGAACCGAGTGGATGGATCTTGTGACGAACTCTGCGCTGTTCATTACCATGACTTGAGTGTTCAAGGCCTCATACCAGCGCTGGCGGATTCAAGCACTACCCTTGACAACGTACTGCCGATATCAACTGTTATCCTTCGAATGTACGAAATGATGAGCCACGAAACGGATTACCAGCGTCATTTACGGGGCTGTTCGTCGCTCTTCACCCACAATCGAAAGAACATTGGCTATCGGGCGCTGAAAAGGACGGCCTTTTGGACCTATTTTCGAGAAGAGATTATGGTTGCTCTTGCGACAGGAAAGCCCACGGCAACTCGCCCCCGCAACTGGAAGGTCGACATTACGTGGGGAGGAGACACCGACCATGTAAAGACGGAGAAAATGACCATGCTGACGGCGGAAGTGATAGACCATTGCTTCTCTCGATACCCTGCAGATCCAGACGCCAACAATGCGAGCAGCTGGGATGAGCTGCAAACCGAAGCAGACTCATGGAAAGACTCGCTGCCAGAGTCCTTCAACCCGGTTTATGTCATTGATGATGGCGGCGCATTCCCAGAGATCTTGTACCTCTGCACTTGGCATAGTGAGCGACACCATCCGCCTATCAGTACTTTCTGTCATCATGCTCACATTGCCAGTCGTCGCCATGCAATTTTACCACCTGGTCAAAGTGCTCCTGGCACTTCATAATCCACATCGTCCAAACGGCATTGGGTTCTTGCAGTTTGCCAGAAACATTGAAGTAGGAGACCTGTATACTCAAACCAACTCATGGCGTTGATGCACTTCTTTGCTAACACGCAAGAGGGAGAAATTCTGCAGCATACCATTCAGCTCTGCGGCATGACCAAGGCCCTGGGTGATAGGTATGCTGGCGCCCTTGTGAATGCAGTGCAGCCTCTCGTTGTTTGTAAGTGCCATCCTCCGAAACACACTATCGAGATCCTAATGGCCGAATTTGCAGGCGGCCAAAGCTTGAAGGAGCCTGAACAGCAAGCGGAATTGACCCGAATGTTACAACGGATCGAACAGGTTACGACGTTATCGACGACCCAAGGCGTCCGATCACTACAGGAAGCCTGGAGTGCACATGTACAGCCATGATTTGATACAAACACACACAGATACTCTGAGAATCACCACTCTCATGTCATGTAAATCCAGATACTCCAGTCGATCTCGCCCTGCCACTAGCTATTACTGTGTTGCGTTTTGAGGCTTGCACAGGTTTTGTCTCCACACGCAACCCCCTTGGCAACTCTTCCCATGCCTAGCATGACGGCTGTTATGCGTACCAATGACGGTCGACGGAATCGCGAGTTCAAGACACCTTTACCAAAAGGCTTCCCTTGCACTAATGCGGGGTGGTGCGGAGAATCCTGCTCGGGCTCGCTCTAGTCTCAGCCGAAAGCTGGAAGTCGAACTCTTCGAGACTGGCGAATCAGGGAAGTGATTCGCAACGATAGCCTGCGTTAATCCACAGCCAAGTAGAGAGACATGGATCATCAATGCGGATAATAACGCCGAAGCTTGGATTTTTATGACGTGTGCAAAACTCCGACAGTCTCTGGGAGACGTGTGGCCAATGCCTAGATGCAGCGGTAAGTATTACAGTAAATGCCCCCCTATTTAGAGCACATCTACTGAGGATATCTCTTCAGGGTTTGAGACCATATTTGGGCAGACCCTCCCTCCATCAGTAGATGCTCTGGTCAACTTTGATATGAGACGTACGCGGTGCACCTCTTTGCCATAGAGAAGAGAGCGTCTTCTGGGCTTCCTAGGTTGCCTCCCACGCCGACCTCCGGGGAGAATGCACGAGAGCGTTAATCAAGCCCTTAACTTGCTGAGCTCATAACAGTCTTCCCTTCCTTCACTATGGCTTTTGATGCCGAACAAGTCATATTGACTGGTGCAACCATCCGTGTACCCGGTGGACATCGTTAAGTATTACCTAGTGCAGACCGTTTTACCCTGGCTGCTTGCATGCCGATCCTGGGGTATTGACAAGACGGGGGCTGCAAACTTGCGGGATGTGGGGACAAGTCTTTGGAACACTCATTATTCCTTTTGCCTCACAGGTTGCGACCCTCTTCCCAGTGTGATTCTGCATTCAGCTTCGTACCTGTACCCCGGCTGCTCATTCTCAATGCCGATACGTGCGCTTGTATGCGGCCTTGACCAGGATCATCTCCACCAATGCATTTCCGTGGCTGATCGATGCTTTGCGACTCTATAAAGACATCGTGAGGCCGTGAGCCTCTTGGCCCTTTCACTTCAGGCATGTTGGGGGATTCAACCAGATAACCCACTAGACGGCCGGGCAGCAGCAAAAGAACGCCGCCAAGATGTATCGGATTTGGAACATATATGGTACGTCTACAGGTTGCATAGTGTTGCTGGCTACCACCGTGAGACAGAGGGTATACAGATCACTCGGGATTCAAATACTAATTGTAACTCTCGCTGCAGTGCTTGCCGCCTTTGGCACCATCGGCGGCATGATCTTCGGCTTTGAGATCAGCTCCATGAGCGCCTGGATTGGCTCCGAACAATACCTCGAATACTTCAACCACCCGGACTCAACTGAGCAAGGCGGCATCACGGCAGCCATGTCCGCCGGCTCTTTGGTTGGCTCTCTCCTAGCTGGATGGCTCGCTGATCGTCTGGGACGCCGTTTAGCTATACAAATCGCCTCTGTGGACTGGATTGTCGGAGCGGTGCTGCAGTGCTCTTCCCAGAATGTTGCACATCTCGTCGTTGGTCGCATCGTCTCCGGACTTGCGATTGGCATTACGTCCTCCCAATGCATTGTCTACCTATCTGAACTTGCACCTTCTCGCATCCGTGGCCGAGTCGTTGGTATACAGCAGTGGTCCATTGACTGGGGTAAGCATGACTGCTCAAGTCGATTTCCTGGCGCACAATTCGCTAAATGAGAAACATTCAGGCATCTTGATCATGTACCTGATCTCGTACGGCTGCTCGGTTTCAATTCATCGACCGGCGGCATTCCGTATTGCTTGGGGCTTGCAGGCTGTTCCCGGAGCTGTCCTGTTCTTCTCGCTCTTCTTCTTCCCTGAATCACCACGTTGGCTCGCAACCAAAGATCGCTGGGAGGAATGCCACGAAGTGCTTGCCAACCTGCATGCCAAAGGCGATCGAAACAATATCGAGGTGTTGGCCGAGCTGGAAGAAGTCAGAGAAGCAGCGAGGATCGCCGCGGAGTCAAAGGAGATCGGCTACCTGGGACTGTTCGCTCCCAAGATGTGGAAACGTACACTTGTCGGCGTCAGTGCACAGATTTGGCAGCAACTCCTCGGTGGTAATGTGATGCTTTACTACCTTGTCTACATCTTCAACATGGCTGGCATGGTAAGTGTCACTCCCACCACCGCCGTTGGCAAACTAATCACTGACGGCGAGATAGTCCGGAAATACCGCGCTCACGTCTTCAATTATCCAATATGTCATCTTTCTCGTCACGACTGGAGGAGTTCTCTTTGTCGTTGATCGCATTGGTCGCCGGTGGTTGCTTATTGTTGGGGCCATCATTTGCGGCGTCATCCATTTCATCGTCGGTGCCGTCATGGCAGTCTACGGGCACCACGTCGACAGTGTGGATGGTGAGCTTCGAGTTTGTTCTCGTCTCAAGGGTTCCCTGCTGACTCGAGTCGCACAGGAAACGATATTCTGAGGTGGCAGATTGGTGGCCCTCCTGCCAAGGCCATCATTGCGCTTTGTTACATCTTTGTTGGAGTCTGTAAGTCACAATTCCTGCCCAATTGCCTGCAATATTTCAACTAACATCGCGTGCAGATGGTAAGAAGAGCTACTCATCATCTCTGAGTCTCGTTATCTTGACTAATGTCTCAAATTAGGAGTCACATGGGCCCCCGGTGCATGGATTTACTGCGGAGAAGTCTTCCCCTTGAAGTACCGAGCCAAGGGCGTTGGCCTGGCTGCTGCAGGCAATTGGGCGTAAGTATAGGGCATCCATCGTGGCAATAGACCTTTACTGACTCTTGGGGTAGTTTCAACCTCGCCTTGGCCTTTTTTGTCCCCCCAGCTTTTACGAACATCCAGTGGAAAGCGTACATGATTTTCGGGACATTCTGCATTGCCATGGTGTTCCATATCTACTTCATGTACCCCGAAACGGTGAAGAAGTCACTCGAAGAGATTGACGTGCTATTCGAAGGAGATATTCCCGCATGGCGCAGCGCGAGTGCCGTGAGCACATTTGATGAGAAAGTAGCGCGAGCAAAGGAAGCGGGAGGCTTGGAAGAGTTTTCAAAACAAGCCGACATCAAGCACGAAGAAAAGGTCTAATTTCACCTCATCTGGGAGACTGGGGATCACTCGGTGGCTCGCAGGATCAGCGTGGAATATTGGTAGTTGTTGGTTTGAGTGGAAAACATATTTCAATTCTATATGCAATGCATATTGAGTAGTGGTCCGAATATGTAAAGGGATATTGTTAAGAATGCTTGACCAGTGCCCTTTGTCTTGTCTGGCAAGTCGTATGATTCCGGCTAAGCTGAAGTTCCTTTGAGGCACTCAATCCGTGTATTGGTGAGAATATAAAGTAGCGGAATCTGAATCTCTGTCCCCTAGCCCGCCAGCGCCATTTCCGCAGCACCTCGAGCATGCAGCTCCAATGTATTAAACAATGGGATACTTGGCCGATCTTTCTGTTCGATGAGTAATGGAATCTCCGTACACCCCAGAATGACACCCTGCGCGCCTCGAGAGACCAGCTTGTCCACGATGTTTAGATATCCGTGCCTTGATTCATCGGTAAACTGGGATTTGGCGAGCTCGTTGAAGATGACGTCGTCGATATAAGTTTGTTCTTCTTCCGTTGGTACGACAATGGTTATGCCGAAGCGGCTGCCAAACTCCTTTGGCAAATACCCAGACTACATGGTGGCTTTTGTTCCCAGCAAAGCAACGGTCTGTAGCTTCAACCCCAGGATTGCCTTTGCTGTAGGATCGACAATGTGATAGAGGGGAATGTTTACGTCCTTCATGAAAGCCTCAGAGACTCGATGCCACGTGTTCGAAACGCAGATGATGAAGTCGGCTCCCGCCCTCTCCAAGCTCAGCGCCTTTCTATGCAGATACTCTCCTCCTTCATTCCAGAGGTTGTTGGTCACGAAGTGTGCGCTTCGCTCAAAGTTCATGGAGTTGATGATAATCTCGCCAGTGTGGAGGCCTCCTAGCTTTGCTCTAACATGCGCATTGATGAGCTTGTAGTACTCAACCGTAGCCAAGTCAGTGCTGCCGCCAATGATTCCGATTGTCTTCATGATTGCTCAAACTGAAGGTTTTAAGGATGTTCTGCTGGTGTTTCGCTCTGATTTGTATCCGCGGTGACACCGTCAATCCAGTCTCAGGATGGGCAATAGAATAGCATGGCCAGATTGATACTTGAACGTGGATGGAGCTGTCTTACATTCGGCTAAAATCGGACAGGATGACCGCCATGAGCGCTACCGTAGTGGATCGATTCTTTCTCCATAACACTTCATGTCAAGGAGCGCCCTGTACTGTACGTAGCCCCAACGCGGAAGGGCGCGAGACTTAAAGCAGATCTGCTCCAAACGAGTCGTGTCCAATGACAAGGCATCTTTTCCTGCTTGCCTTTGCACTCTTCCAGGAACGGCATGATGTAGAGGATAACGAGGGGTGACGATCACTAGGAGAAGAAGAAAAAAAGCATGTAAGGAACAATAGGTTATTGGTAAATCATTGTATTGACAAGGTACGCGACTGATGGCAACCGAGCTTGACAGATGCACTCCGTACCCAGAGAGAGTAGTCGTACTACCGTGAATGTTGGTTGACAAGATATTATGTTGCCGTCCAAACTTTTTCCTATTTCTTGGGTACATGATCTCCAAAACGTTCTTCCCATCGATTCCCGTCGTGCGCATGACAGGTTCTACAGAACATATGTGGACTGGCCTGTGAGGCTAAGCTATTCAGAGGGACTGCGGGCAACAAAAAGAACATCAACAATCGTCGGAATCTGCGAACAGCTAGCCCAAGTTACTGTGGTGGAAGCTGATAGATGCCAAACCGGATATATCTGTCCTCCTCTCCGAATCCAGGAATGCTCACTTGTCTTTCCTCGTTAAACCCCACCTCCACACGCCATCGAGTCCCGGTCGTTGTCCCAATCTCATCCCACAGCTTCTGAAGACTTTCTTGGTTGTGCAGAAACGACCCCAACTTGCCTTCCCTCTCTCTTGGCTTATGAGTTCCAATCTGTCTGCCAAAGATCATGGCGTCAACCGTCCCCGGCTGCAAGAAGCGAGTTATCCTTGTTCCAACTTTGACCTGTTCCTCCCACTTGAATAAGTGGAAGAAGTTGGCCGCATGTACAAGTGTTATTTTACCATTCAACTCTGTCAAAGCCTTGTCTTCGGGGTTCAACATGTCGCCGGCTACCAAGGTTAAGCCGTTGCCTGCATCGTTGAATAGCTCTTTGCCAATGGTGATGAACTCAGGGTGAAGATCTGTGCCGAACAACCGTGTGGGTTCGATTCCGTCTTGCACAAGCTTTCGCAGCACCTGACCGATACAGCATCCGATGTCAAGGAGGGCGTCAGTAGATCCTGAAGCCGAACCAGGTCTGGTCGAGTTCTTTAATCGTTCGAATGCAGTGAGAAAATGATGGTCATGCATGCTACGCAGATTTAGAAAGCTCCAACGGCCAATGCAGGGGTACATGGCCACCTCCCAAAGCTTCTTACGCTAAAAGGCGTTAGATACAACAACCAGAAGGGTTAAGCAGGGGAGTAGGCAACGTGAGCGATACCCACCGTGTTGAAGAGTAGTTCATCGATCTCGTTGGGAGGCACTCTGCTATATTGTTCCAACAACTTCCGGAAGAGGCCAATATCTTGCGGAAGTTCGTCGATATAGGTCAACTTCTTCCAAGTCTCCAAATCTGACTCCGAACTCATCTTGGCCAAAACTGTCTGATTGCGTGTAGACTGGACGCACCGTGCTAAGAGTAGAGAGATATGTTGGACTTGGAGATGACACGAATCATCCCAGTAGCGCCTCAGTATAAAGCCCTCGACGGGTATGTGAAAGGGACGTGACAAACTTTCTTCACTCGACAGATGAAGAGACAGCTCTTCCCCGCCTTATACTTTACGGATCATCACGCAGAGAAGCGGATTTCGGCACTTATTATGTCCGCCTACGCGTTTCACCTCCGTCATTAGCGTAGACATTTCAATATGATCCTTCAACTACGGGATATAGAACGACATTGTACTCTGAATCCCGCCTGCTGAGGAGGTAAGCAAGATTATGGAGCTCTAAGATCCAAGATAATCATTCGCTGTAGATAGATTTGGATACAAGCGGCATAATAGAGGGTCTCGACCGGCTGTGTTGGCTGATGTCGGTAGTCGGACCCAAGGAGGAAATGTCGGGCAAAGGCCGACGGAATTCATGACTTGAAACAGCAAAACACTTCTATATTGATCTTGTCTTCCCGGGGCATGCGGCTGGTCTCTGTCAATAACCGTCGTTTTGCAACTTTAGCGTCTGGACTTCATTTCCTGTCATTAAGTTATCAGCCGGCGCCGATCCAATATTGGCCAACAAATGGCTTGCTTGACTGTGTTCTCGCTGTTGGGGAATAGTCAATCAAGCTTTGAAAGCCGTCAAGTAGGTTCATCTGAACCTGGCCTGGCTCCGTATACATTGTCTTGCCGTCGTGTTACCAGCAATGTACATCTATACCACCGTGTATGAGGTGCAGAATAATGTGGGTTCTTCACGGGCTTACATTCCGGTCTCCCCCTTTAGCACTACAGAACGCTAGACAATCTTCGTGAATGGCACTGGTATCAAGTTCTTCTTCAATTCGATACAAGCCAGCGACTGCGACGTCACAGTCTGGTTAGTCGCTCCAGACATCGTTATTGATAGGGAACACACGGCTCTGGCCTCCATCCGTCTGCTCGTTCAGCTCAAATCGCAGCGCTTACAGCTTGGTACCACTGTGATCATCTATACGGACAACATAGGACTCCAATCCCCATGTCGCAGCCAGAGACCTCCAGTAATGTGACGGTTCGTTTCCTTCTATATGATCCGACTCAATGACCTTGATGAACTTGAGCTTGGAGGAGCCTACGCGTTGAGGTTCGAGTCATCTATAGTCTAGCCGTGTCTAACTCAGTTGCTCATTCCATTGACTCCTCCTCCTTCATTGGCCCGTCAGGAGAGATGACAGCCAAGCCCCAGCTGACGGCGCGAGAGGTAACCACCTGGCCACTTGCCGACCCTCAATGACGGTCATGTCGTGCTGTCAGGCATATCGATGGCAACGGCCTTCAGAACCGGCGTCCCAACCTTGATCAAGTCCCAATCACCGGATCTCAGTGTCATTTAGATTATAGCGACCATACATTCCACCTTTGTGCCGATGAAGGTCCTGGTCATGGACGTCTTGTATGTGCTCCTGATGATAAGATCTTCTTTGCAGGCTTCGACGAATTCAGTAGGCTCAGCTAAGATGGTGAATTGCTAGAGAGTCGGCGTTGAGTCCGCGTAGGCATCGACCAAATCGCTGCCTTTCAGTGCTGCCAGGCATGTCGGCGCAGATCGAGGTGCAGTCTCCTGAGAAGACACTAACAGCATCGAAACCTGTCCACTCTAAACAAATTGATGTTTCCATCGATAGCAGCTACGTGCTTACATACCATAGAGTGCCCTACAGAAATCATCGTGGAAGCAACCCGCCTTTATGTTCCGCGCCACACAACCATTTGGGTGGGATCTGACGGGGCGTATGTAGCAGTGGCAAAGATAGCCCCGGGGTCATCAACCTTTGAAAGTTTCAACATCCTGGGCAGCGACGGCTCCGTACCCGATGACATCTTTTCACCCAGCATAAGCACCCTTCATCCTTCAAGCAAATAACCAAGACGACGTTGCCTATGTGACAGGTGTTCAGCTAGTCTCGACGCGCTTGGGTCCGGTCCGCAAGCAAGAGGACTTGATCTATGAGATTTACTTTGCTCCAATTGACCGATGAAACTGTTGGGGTGCTTCTGTATTGTGCCTGTCCCGACGCAAATGGCAGCCTTGGACTTACCAAGTTTGCGAGCAACCGCAGTCCCGGTGCGTTTGGTCACATGCAAACAGCCACAGGGCATTTCCAGGGGCAGGGAGTCGTGCGATCGACCTCTGCAACTCTGCTAACGTCGACGGACGAAGTCAGTAAGAGGAGAAGGGGGAACACTAGGTTCACAAGAGCCGGCATCCGATTCAGCCCGTCTAACTAATACTAGCATCGCATTGATCCATATACCCGCCCTCTGTTATCACCATAATCTTCAGTGGCGTCCAAACCCCGGTGTAACATGCTATTGAACGACACAATCCGATATGTGACAGCGAGTAATAGCGTCCAAAGGCATGCGTGCAGTTCCTAAGCAAGCCAAGAAGGGGCCGCAACTTCGCATACGAGTACCGCAATTCTCCGACCTCGAAAAGTGTTTTCGATACACTATGTGTCAAACAGAGATGCTGATTCCGCCTCCGTGGTTGTGTAATGCCGGCCCTCCAGCAGAGCTGTCCTAAAAGCCGCGGGCCGAGTCCTAAACCTTCATCTTGCGTTCTTTGGGACTAGCACCATTGATATTGAACATCCATCTGAAAGGCTCCCCCACAGAGCTGAAGAGTCTCCGCATTCCGCCATTTTCCACGCCCATACGGAGGCACAGTTTATTCCGTGCTTCTTGTGCTCCGTTATTTTTCCCTGGCCAGCTACCTATCAACGGCTCCGAAATTCGCCCCCCTGTTCAAGTGCCCTTGCCCTTGTCAAGTTGGCCTTTGTCCCCCTCTCTTCAGCTCTTATCGGAGCCTCTGGGCTGCGTCCGAAAGCCTTCGATTCTCGATAGTTCTCAAACTGCCTTTGTCATCTGGAGGGCTGCTTCAGTCTGGATACAAGATAACAGAGAGATCACGGTTCGGCTCTCAAGCTATAGCCGCTACTACTCAATTGCCAAATGTCACTGGCAAAGAGAAACGACGGTAAGCACCCTCAGCCATCCCTTGGCCGTTAGGTTCTCTCCTATTCCTACATGCCTAGCGCGCAAACCGTGACTCTAAACCGCATACATGCAGGGTGTCTCGAGTGCCGCACGCGCCGAGTGCGTTGCGACAAGACGGAGCCGGAGTGCTTCAAGTGCTGCAAAAAGGGCATCAAGTGCTCCGGCCAGGGCATTGAGTGTCGCTTCAGCTCGCACATGAAGAATGGCCTCCCGCCACGGCCCTCACAGGCAACAGCCGCAACCCGTGCTGCGGGAGGCGTCGCCAAAGCTGGTCAACGGGCGCCAAATCGCTATCGATGGGTCACCGTAACCACCAAACAATCAGGTTCCTTGCCCGGGGGAGCAAAGGCATATTCTTCCCGCTCTAGTTCCGCCAGTCCTACAAAGGCTCCGCCTGAGCAGCCGAGCATTGGACCTTCTCGCGTAGATTTACCGGCAACTGAAACAGACTCATCATCTGAGGTCGTCGACAACGATGTGGAATTCGTTCCAAGAGAGGTCCAGGCTGCTCGCCCGCAACGCGCAATTCAGACTGTGTCTCCCCAAGCGAGGCTCTTCTTCAACCACTGTAAGACCGCCCGCTTCCTATAACCACAAGCGCCATGGCATTAAACGCTGCTGACGAGATTGCAGTCTCAGAATTCATTGCGCCGAAAATGGTAGTCTTCGACTTCCATGGCAATGGTTATCGCGACATCCTACTTCCTCTCGCATGTGAAGACGAGCTCGTCGGACAGGCCATCTCCGTTATCGCTGCCTTCCACCTCTCACAGAGGGCGCCGCAGATGCGGATGGCCGCAGAAGTAGGCCAGCACGCCATCTTGTCGAAGCTGTTTCACGATTCACTCCAGCTAGAGCCCAGGAGACTGTTTAGCCTATCAACATGGGCGACAATCCTTGTGCTGCTCGTGGGAGAGACAATCACGGGCGCCAACAACTACGTGCACCTGCTCGAGATTTTGTCTAATCTAGCACAGTCATCCGACTCTGTGCAATCTCTGTCACCAACTACAAGAGGATTCATCAAAGAGCAAACACGAATGTAGGCTGCCTGGACGAGATGTCGTTCGTCGCGAAGACACCGAAACGCCAATATGCTAACGTGCCAATTCCATCCTCCAGGTTCGAGCTCTTTGGATTCCCGCTCTCCAGTGAAACCAAAGGCATACAAACACTGTCGAAACAACCCGACTATTATCTTGACTTCATGTCGTCGTATCCATCTCTCAGTCAAGACCCTCAGCAATACGCAAATGTCGCCGTGATGAAGGAAGCCATCAAACAGGCCTGCGATTTATACCGTAACCGCGCCATGCACTTGATATCCCGAGAGGAGTCTATCCAGTCGGTGGAACGGCTTAAAGAGACGGTTTACGATCTGGATCCAAGCGTCGACGGTTGTCACGCTCTGGTCTGGACGTATTTCGTGGCGGCTGCTGAAAGCATCTTGCCCGAGCACCGAGCTTTCTTCTCAACTCGATTGCAGAGCCTCTATAACTGCACGGAGTTTGGCACCATTCCTATTGCTGTCCAGAGCCTTCAGCACATATGGGCAAATCAGGACTCTCAGAGATGGACAGAAGTGGTCACTCGGCAACGGCCAATCCTCATTATGTAATGCCTATGGAGGCTATTTATTATTCGGCTTGCTCTGATGCATTATGTTGTTTTGTCTTGTTTCTGTTTTGTTCCTTATTATCATCTTCCTTCGAACCATCTTGCGAGAACAGCTCATTACAACTTGGCCCGGCCTGCGAAGTCACCTCGCACAGTAATCGCTGCGCGTGTTCCCTCCTCGATGGCGCCGTCGATGAAGCTTCGCCAACCTAGCGCCCAGTCAGAACACGCGAAGACGATATTGCGCTCTCTTGCTCTCATGTCCTTCAGATGTGTAGCTAGCAAACCAGGAGCCGGAAAGAACCTGCGAGCAATGACGTGTCAGCACGAATCAAGAAAGATGAGCATCTGAGCTTTGACTGATCCTTACCATGCTCCTTTGGCGAACTCGTCTTTCGACCAGTTGTGGAAGACCTGTGTTTGGTCACGTCAGCCGATGGTCTTTCTTCTCGTCTATAAACAACAAAAACCCACCAGTCTCTGGATGTTCATTGGCGCGAACCCCTGGAGTGCCGCCTTTGTATGCTCAAGGTTCTCCTCCGGATGAAAGTGGTTATGCTGTCCACCAAAGGCCACCACATGTGTATTACCCGCCGGCGTTGTTCCGTCTCCGAAGCCATAGAGAAGCCCGTTGTGTGGATAGCTGATACCCGTAAAAGAGCGGAGGTCCTTGTCACTGATCTCGGCATGGACCTTGACACACTGATTCACGTGGCCGGTGGTGGCTGCTGCTTTCCGTCCTGGTGCCAGAGGCGGATCGAAGGCAACATCGTTCAGGACGTTGAGTGGGATGGCGCAAATCATCTTGGCGGCTTTGTACGTCTTGCCAACACGCGTCGTAATCTGCACGCCGTCGCCTCCGTGCTGGATCTTGGATACCGGGCTATTGAAAGCGTACGTCAAGTTACCCGAAGCCAGAGCCTCACGGAAGAAGCGGATGGCAAACGATGACTGGCCGCCGCGGAACTTGTACTTGACTAAGTAATCGATGCAGCCTTCGTAGGAGTAGCCACTCAGGGCCCACCAGTGGAGGAACTCATAGAAGCTCGTCGTCTCAAGGGTGCCTCCGCTGCAGAGGAGCACGAAGGCCTCTGCGCACAGCCGTTCGTTGGGTGTGAGGTCATTCTTGATTTCGGCGAGACGGTCGGCGACGGACATGTGGTCATACTTCCGGGCCTCGGGGGTGAGGACGCCGCTGTGAGGGAATGGAACGACGGTTCGACCGAGGCAGCCATCGACATTGACAAGTTTCGCGAGTGCAGATTGCATCAATGCATCCTATTGCGCATGGACATGGTCAGACTTTTCCCGACTTGGATGTTTTACACTGTTGTCGACCTTACCTCTTCTTCGTGGGTAAACGTTTGGACGCCTTGTGGGCTTGACAGTAAATACTTGTTGATGCCTTTGGAAAAGTCGTAGGAGATCTCCAACTCGTCCTGCATGCCGTATCTTGCAATTTCGCGCCACACGTTGGCCTGTCCCCAGAAGACCCAAGTTCCACCCATCTCATATGGGTAGCCCTCGATGTTGGAGGACCACGACCGACCACCGATTCTATCGCGGGCTTCGAGCAACAGCACCTTCAGACCTGTTGGTAAAGGGCGAGACAGATGGTTAGATCTGCCATAATTCTTGCAATAATTGGTCTCGCAGTGGGCATTTACCTGCTAGACTGGCATCTCGAGCGGCTGTTAGACCGCAGTAGCCCGCACCCACGACAATCACATCGTAGACCGTGTCGCCGCTCTTAACATTTGTAGGCGGCTCGATAACTCCAATCGAGGGGACTCCGGCCCGAAGGCCTTGAGCCTCTGTCCATGAATAACCGTCCTTGGATGTCATTGCGTGTCAATGTCGGCGTCTTTGTCGCTTGTAGGTTACGGGAAGACAAGAGGTCGACGCGTTAGACATATTGACGACACACAAGAGCGCGCTTCATCTATTAATACATTTCATCGGTGGGACGGATATGGGTCGCGCTGGTCCTCTGCATACTCTATAAAGTCGACCATCAGGCCATGGAAGTACATTTATCGTACAAGAAGGCTGTGAGTTTGCCTCCAAAGCGGAAATATCTCGAGAACTCGTGTCCTCCAATTGATCGGTGACGAAAGAGATGAAGGCTCGTTATCCCACATCATTGTATCTGCTTTCTCGTAGAATTGCCGGATAGAGAATACGAGCCGGCTGGCTGTGTCGTATCAAGGCAAAATCGGGAGAAAGCAGCCGAAACCGCTCCACGTGGTAGCCACAAAGAGACAGCTGTCTGGCGAAATCATAGATAGGCCAATGAAGATGCAAGCAAATGAAAGATCCTACTACTATTATCAATGGGAACCCACAGGACCTGCTGCCAAGCAAGCGACCGGCCCACTTCCCCAGACTCTGGTTCAAGATGTTAGTTTCGCATCACGAGTCACGAGTAGCTGAGTTTTGGGGCACTTCATTGATAACGCCCACTGGAACTGCATTTTGTGATAAACGGGAGCAGTCTTCAGCGTCACAGCGTAGCAGCGCGGATGCAACATGATGTTGGCAGACAACACCAAAACGGCGTCTTGACATCCCAGACCCCTGAAGTTTGCGTCAGGGGGGTCTGCACATGCGCGGTATGATGCAGAAGATATAAAAAAGGCCTCTCTCTCGGCTCACTGGCACATTGAAGTGCCTTCTGGTTTCTCCTTTATCAACACCAAAGAAAGGGAGAGCATAATAGGCAGTGAGTACTGTTTCCCATTGTTCCACGTCGTCCCTCGTGGCGCACCCCCTCAAGCTGCAGGTCACGAGAATAGACGCCCTCGTGTCACCGTGTTACCGAAACAACGGGAGCACGAACCGACGTCGCGGTCCGCTCAAAACTCCACATATTGTAGAAGAGTTGGTACAGATCTCCCCTTGCTATCTGACAATATCCATAACCAGCTATCCCCATACCCACAGTGGTTTGAGGCTTAACCGGACCGCACAGATAGAAAGCATCAACAAACTCCCCATACCCACGCCGTTATTGCTCATAAAGGAAGGAATCCGAGAAGATAGGAGTGCTAATGAGGGTAGTTATCTAGATAGGCGTCCTCCTACCCCGCGTTTTCTAGTGGACCGAGAGCTCATGGTCTGGGGAACGCACTTTTAAGTCTCTCGTGAAATTGCCTGATTAGGCAACTCTGCAACGCCCTTTATCAGTTTACTCCAGACAGCTCGCGAAGCTATCGCCACCCCAAGTGTGTCACTGAGCCAAAGCCTCAACAAGCTGCAGCGTTGTTATCAAAGAGATTGTAGATTCACGATATCCCGGGTGCAGGCTAACCAATGGATGGTAGTCCGCCAAAAGCCTCTGGTAGAATCGGAGCATACGAGGCGCCGGAGATCATGTCCTTCCCTTAGGACGCTTCCAGAGTTTCCGCCATTTTGATTGAGAAACTCAAGGTTAGTCGGTGAATACAAATCAGGCCCATCACCGCCTCGATTTCCCCTTCATTGACTCCTTTGCCCGTCTTCTCCTCTTCTTTATCCAAATTCTTTCCCCAGACTTATTCAGCAATGGCTCTCTTCGGATCCAACTCAGCAGCATCGGTGAACGGGGCTCTTCAGCCCCGTCTATCAACCCTTTCGACCATGGCAATGGCCTTTGCCATTCTCAAGTATGTCTCCCTGTTGGTATATAATGCTGCAAGACCACGAGCTCGGCGTCACTGACTCGCAATGTAGCACTTGGATTGCTCTTGCCGGTTCGATAGGTCTTGTCCTGCCGTCAGGTAGCTCCGTGGCACTTCTTTACGGCTTCATCTTCTGCGTTATATGCTGCTTCTGCGTGGCTGCCAGCCTTGGCGAGCTCAGCTCCATCTGGCCAACGGCTGGAGGGCAGTACCACTTTGTCTACGCTCTTTGCACTGAAAAATGGAGAAAGCCAGTGGTACGACTTCCATGCGTTAGATCCAAGTATTAAGATGCAACGTGGACACTAACGATGGCCATTGCTTCAGAGCTTTGTAGTTGGTTGGGCCAACATTGTTGGCTGGCTTGTTGTAGTCACCGTGCAGGATTACTTCGGCTGTGAGTTTCTAACAAACCCCTTTCTGAACTCCTATAAGTCAGTCTCCAGGCGTTGCTGACACCTAATCAATCTAGCCCAGTTTATATCCGCCGCTGCAGTAGTGGCATCCAACGGAGCTTACCAAATTACACCGGCGAGAACATATGGGATTTTTGTGGCAGTCCTCGTCTTCACAACCGTTGCCAACATCTGGGGTAATAAGATACTCGGCAAATGGAACGATGTTGCTTGTAAGTCATTCCCGTACAAGTCGAGAACGACTTGATAATACCAGCATGGCTGCTAACTGTGGAACACAGTGTACTGGTCCATATTCGGCGTCGTCATCATCAGCATCGTTCTGCTCTCCATGTCAGACAAGACAAGCGCAGAGTTCGTCTTCACCGACTTTAACAACGAGACTGGGTGGTCTGATGGCATGGCCTGGATTCTGGGTCTGCTTCAGTCTGCTCTCTCCCTCATTGCATTCGACGTTGTCCTACACATGACGGAAGAGATGCCGCATCCGGCTCGAGATGCTCCTAGAGCTATGCTTTACTCCATCGTCATCGGTGGTGTCACGTAAGTTCTCTTGGGCACGTCTTTCCCCCTTACAGCCATACTAACCCGTGATCTTTCAGGGGCTTTGCCTTTATCCTCGTTATGCTCTTCTGCCTCGTCGATGCGGAGACTGTCCTGGCCACTCCCACGGGCATGCCCATCGTCGAGCTCATCTTTCAAGCAACAAAGAGCCGAGCCGCCGCTACCATCCTCAGCCTGATGCTCAGCGTTTGCTTCATCAACGGTACAAATGCCAGCATCACCAGCGTCAGCAGATTGCTATACGCCATGGCCCGTGACCGCGGCATCGTCTTCCATAATTACTTTTCTCACATCCAGTCAGGCCTCAACGTGCCTGTCCGGACCATCATGTTCTGTTTTGTCTTCAACATCCTCTTCGGTCTCTTGTATCTGGGGCCGGTTGTGGCTTTCAGCGCATATGTTGCATCTTGCACAATCTTTCTGAACGTGTCCTACGCCATTCCCATTATTGTCCTTCTCATCCGTGGACGGAAAGTGCTCGACCACTACCAGACTGCAAAGACACCCTTTAAGCTTGGAAAGACGTTTGGCCTGGTTGTTAATATTGTTGGTGCGCTTTATGTGGTTGTCACTTCAGTGGTGAGTTTACGCAATACGCATCTTAACATATTCAGAGGAAGAATATTGACATTATCACAGTTCTTCTGCTTTCCCACATTTCTTCCAGTCACTGGCAACAGCATGAGTAAGTGGTTGCATCCTCGCTCATGAGTATTGAACTTCGGACGGCTAATGATACGCGAAGACTACGTTTGCGTTGTTATCGGCATCTTCGGCATAGTTGTCGGGATATATTGGCTCCTCTTTGGGAAGACATTCCTGGGCCCCGTAAGTCCTATTGTATATCATTCTTTGATGGATCGACATAGTTTTCTGACACACAACTACAGCAAGATTTGGTCATGGCAGATTTTGAGGATGTTGTTGGCCGTCCCGTCTCCACGCAAGCTTCAAGCGAGGAGGACAGGGCCGAAAAAGGCGCCAAATGATTGTTCTTTGTTTCGTTCCATTAACAATATACTATGTAATTATGGCGGTTGATGTCCACTCGATAATGCCTTTTGACAACCCTTCCAAATGAGTATTGTGTTTCCATGCATAAGCTCGATCTATGACTTTCCCAACTCCGCGGCTCGGTCAGTAGCAGCTTTCACGGCCTTGTGAACGATTTCGTCAAAGTTCAATGAATCGAATGTTTGCAGAGCAGCGTAGGTGGTGCCGTTGGGGCTGGTGACATTCTTGCGCAATTGGGCAGGCTCATCTGAGGACGTAACAAGCATCTGGCCAGCTCCCAAACACGTCTGCTTGGCCAGTCTGGTAGCCTGCTCTTTCGGAAGGCCCAGAGCAGTTGCACTGGCAATGAGGTGCTCAACCATGGCAAAGAAGTACGCGGGTCCAGATCCTAGCGCATTGCACCTGTTAGCCTCAACTCATTGCGACAGGAGTACGAAATGTGTCAATGAGACGTCGATGGAGCTTACCGGACAGCCCAGTCACAACGTCGAGCAATTCTTCCTTGTCAACCCACTCCGTGGCCTTGCTAACACTGTCCAGCAAAGCACCAACGAGCTGCTTCTCTTCCTCCTTGACGTCCTCGCCGGCATAGAGTCCCGAGGCGCCTTCGCCAACGAGTGCTGGTGTGTTGGGCATGACACGGACAATCGGTGCCGTCTTGCCCTCGCTCGTCTTGAGCCACTCCCGCAGACTGCCAAGTGTGATGCCAGCCGCAATACTCACAACGACCGGCAAAGTAGAGCGATGAGACCATGATGCACCCAGCTCCTCGCAAACTGTCTTGGCAACTTGAGGCTTGACGGCAATGACGATGAGATCAGCGTTCTGGCCAGCCTCAACGTTAGAGGTCGTCGTCCGCACACCGGTGGCCGCAATCTTCTCCCTGTTGACGTCCCACGGTTCAGACACGATAATGTTCTGCTTGTCGATGCCCTGGTTGGCCAGTCCTCCAATAATGGCAGAGGCCATGTTGCCTCCGCCGATGAAGGCCAACTTGCTGGTTTGCAGTGACGGCGCCATGGTTAGGTGTGAGACGAGGATGTTTGCAGAGGTGAGGAGCTGCTGGACAAGACTTGGTGAGCTACTGTTGTGCGAGAAGCGCCAGAAACTTGAAGGAAATCGGAGACGCTTGATGTCGGCGCAAGCTCCAAGCTTTGGTGATGCTATCGTCCTAATCAACTGCAAATCTGTGGAGAAGCTCCGGTCCCGTGACCGGCTTCCATCGGCAGAGGTTGGAGACGCCGGTGTCGGAAGAACATTGCACTCTTCGGCCAGAAACAATGAGCAGCGACGGCTTGAATCATGAACATATAATGGCTCATTGTCGTAAGGGTTTTGATGCTCATGTTTCCAAGCACGAAACCAAGGTGAAAGTGAAAAAAAAAAAAAAAAAAAAAAAAAAAAAAATTTACTTGCTTTTTCTTTGGTGACTCTGTTCGCTGTTCGAGTGAGACTCAGAGTTCTTCCCATGTAAAGAAGCCCCGCCTCTACTAGCGGATCAACAGCAGCAGGGAGTAGCACGGACTTCAAAGTTGCAGTCTGTTCACCAACCTACTCACTTCGATAAAGTGGAAAAACGAAGAGGAAGAAGAAGAAGAAGAAGAAGAAATTAACCAGAGCTCTTTACCTTGAGTTCGATATCTTCTCAACAGGCGATATGATCTCGCGTCCTCTCTCATTTCACCTTTCGGTCGTGTATCTAGAGCTCGCTCCAGGTTATGTGTCCATCCATATACTCGTATGTACTCATCTCTCACCCCGATTACATGCAAAGGCTGGGCTACAACACATATGGAGGTATGTCTCAGCCAATAATGCTATTGGCGGCATCTAGGTATTCATAAGGTATCTGAGAACAAGTCTCACTGAAATGAAACTCTCAATTTAAAGAGAAAACGAAAAGTTATTGCTCGATCATACTCGAGTCTGTTTTTACAATTTCCGCAAATATTTCGCGCTGCCTTGGATTGTCAGAACTTGTACTTCTCCCATAAAAGGTATGATGATGGGTCATCGCAACCACTGCCGGATCGACACAATGACTCCCTATCTTAGCCAAACGTCTGCACCATCCCGCAGACGTGGCCTAGGGATATGCCGCCGCTAATGACAGCCGGGAGATTTCACACATAAATCATCTTCTAGCTGACAAGCTACCGACTTAATACCAATCTATTACTCGCATGTGTCGCATCACACACTGAGAAGGGGAAACCCATCGCCGTGTTCTGAGTCGCCCTTTTACAAGTCACGAATGCTGCAATCCCTCAGCTTCGTTGCCGGCCACAAATGTGGCCCGTTTTTTAGCAATTGACATGTCAAGTCGCCCACGCCTGAAGAGGCTGGATCTTGCCGCATTGTCAGCACGGGCATACGAAGTGTGGTGAGGATGGGGGGATGAAGCGCACGATGCCCCCGAGGCGCTATCACTCACTAGCTGAGATGGTGGCTGATATGGAATGCTTCACCCACCACGACTAAGGATAGCCATAATCCGTCGAATCTTGAGGATACGGTACGAAGTCCCTGTAGTCCGTAGAATATGGGGAAGACCGGTTCAATCATCTCGAATCTTGGCACTGAGGGTGGACGCTACCAAGGGTACTTTGGCCGGTGGTACGAGCCGTGTGCCTGGGACCAACCCTTCTATCCGTATGTACGCTAGGAAACATGCAACTTCACTAAGGTAGGTAGGTGTGGTTCGGATATCTCAGCGAGAATAACCGAGCAAAACTGACTCGAAGACACCAACCATCCGGGTTGCTCCACCCCCAACTGACTGCATGCAAAGTACCTCGATACTATAACGAACAGCTGCTTGGATTAATGCTTGTAGTTTAGCCCATTGGCCGCCATGCATTCTCCGATGTCCGTCCATGTCCGTAAGCGCGCTCGAGGCTTGATTACGCGCTATTGCCCGGTGGTCTGGAATCCCGCCCGTCTCTCGAAAATGATGAATGATCATTCATAGATATTTGTAAGTGAAATCGACGGTATAGGAAGGCCAAATCTCGTTGGATTATGTTTCCCTGCACCCTGCCACATTTCTCGTAAACCGAGCGTCGGGTTATCCAGATGTAACTCATTTCTCGTAAACTGTGCCTTGCCCCAGGAAAGAATTCCCTTAGCGAACACGAGCAATCACTGATACGATTAAACGGCGGGAAAGGAAGCAAGGCTTTTGCATAGACAAACCGATACAAGAAATGAGTTAGTGAGGCCTCTCTTGCTACTTGTGCGGGTCGGGACATGGAATCATCCCGCGAAGATGGCTGACTATAATCGGACCATTTGTATAATGCTTCGGGAAGCTTCTTTCTTTCTGCGTGAGCAATTATTCATGCAGTACAAGTTTTCCCGTCCTTGGTTGGGAGAAAGAAGGAGTGGTGGTTTGCCGAATATGGACATGTAGTCATATAAAGTATGGTCGACTATTGTGTTTTAGACTTAATCCAGCATATAGAGTTATATTTACGTAGTAGTTCAACATATGTAGACGTGTTTCAATGGCATATGGCCCCATCATCATTTGATTGCAGATACTACCTGTCAGCCTCGCCGTCTTCGCTGACCTGAATAGGTAGGAACCCTCTACCAGTTGTCGCTAGCCCGGAAAATCCACCAGTCAGCTTTAATTGCCAACCCATGAGCATGCACGAGATTCACGATCGATGAGCCGTCAGACCACGTGCCCCCTGCGAAACAACAACACATTACAGGCATATTCTTCTCGAAGAAGCATTTACCAGCCAAGGGTGGGCCGGTGGCCTGGAATCAAATTTTGCTTCTACCTGGTTTACTGCCGCAAATAACATGCGCCTTACACGAAAAAGCCGGCTGTTAGTCGAACCCGGCTGTGTCTCGACCTTCCCGAAACACCATCGCCCGGTCACCCAACTTCTACTTGGGGCAAAATGCGGCCCATTCAGTGCTTACTGGAACCACGGGTTGCTCGTTGTACCTGGTTCCCGCGTGTTTAGAGGGAAATCATTGGAAAGCATTAGCGGAAAAATTCTTGGTCTTACACCGAACATATTGTAGGCGTCGGTGGTCTAGGTGTCGGGCTCGCCGGTCTGGAGTCGTTAGCGAAACCACTGGATCCCTAGAATGGCGATTGCCGAACGATATCTGATGATGATGGTGATGGACTCATGCAGAAGCTGGCAAGAAGACATTGGCGATGGGGTAAGGAAATAAGTATATAAAGCCCTCGCCATCTCTGCCTCTGTCTGTCTCAATCCTCACCAGTTCTTCATCATCACAGCTCATCATCAGTCTCAACAACTCAGCTTCATTGCTACGAAGTTCATCTGTTCTAAGAACAAATACCAACACCTCAAGATGTTCGCCAAGACCGCCGTTGTTCTCCTGGCTGCTGCCGCCGGCCTTGTCAGCGCTCTCCCTGAGCCCACCCGTGTTCGATCTGCTCCCGAGGCCAAGCGAACTGAGTGAGTATCCGTATCCATGATACTCAGCAGCGAAGCTCTCAGCATTACTGACATCAAAGTTCTTAGGCACTTTGGTATTGGAACTGTCTACGACCAGATGGGTGCCTTTGGATCCTGCGGCGAGAAGCACAGTGATGACGAGCTGATCGTTGCCCTCACCCCCAGCTGGCAGGGCAACGGCTTCCCTCCCAAGTACTGTGGCCGCAAGGTCTTTATCCAGAACACTGGCAGCAACGACGGTGTTGGCGGCGCCGGACGAACCGTCATTGCAACTGTCAAGGATACTTGCCCTGGCTGCCCTACTCCGGACAGCATTGATCTGTCTCATGGAGCTTGGAACCAGCTCACCAACTTTGCTCCTTTCGGAACTATCAACATTGAGTGGTGAGTGACAATCTGATTGTTAAAACCACGAACTGCCAGGTCTAACGTTTTCTAGGCACTTCTGCAACGAGAACGGCCAGTGCTAAATGTCTACTGTCAAATAAACTGGCACCTGTGATGGTCGTTTAACCTCACATCTTGATATTATCTTCGTTGTACATAGGTTCCCAAATGACTTGCACATAGTTGAAAGAATTGAACATATCATACATAAATCTGGCTCTTGTCGTCATATCCCCCTTTCCGAAGGTTTTGATGTCAGGTCATTGTCGTCCGGATCACATGAGCACCGCTTCATGTTCCTGCCTCCACAAGAAACCTGCAGCACCGAGAGCTCTTTGACATTTCCAGAGTCATCGTGGAACGGTGGAGAATCCATTGACCGGTCACATGTTACACTCTGCCCGACTGACTCGTTGATGAGTTAATGAGGAATTATAAGTATGAGAAATTATAACCTTGAATCAGACTACCACCATAGAACATAGACCCACCGTCGTGACCGAATCACCTGCCATATGCGTAATGCCTCGAAATACACGCATACAAGCGTGGCGTTAGACGGGTAACCTGCATATAGACCAGGGGCACGGAGACAGCAAGGTTCAAATAAGCACTAGTTTCGAATTTCTTCTTGGTAGGCTACTTTGCGTCTCATGTTGCGAGCGGCCTCATGTTGCGAGCGGCCTCATGTTGCGAGCGGCCTCATGTTGCGAGCGGCTTCACTCCGCTCATCCGGTCATGCCTTGTTAAATTTCCTGCCAATCGCCCTCCAGACTCCTCGAAATGCCTTGACGATAGCATGCCTACCATCGTACAGGGGATACACCACTACAGCGAAGAACGCAAAGAATTGCCATATAATGGCAACGGTAGTCCAACTTGAGAAGAAGGACTTGGTAAAGATGTAGTTGCGGTACAAGGGCATCGGCCAAGCCACAAACGTGACGAGAACAATCACGACGAAGAATGCCCATGCTATGCGATACCAATGGCGTAGCTCCTGCAGCGTCTCCTCGGTAAAGGGATGCTGCACATTATCGAGGTCAAGTGAGTTGTTGTCACCACTTGCTGACAAGCTGACAGTCTGTCTTTCTCTGACCCTGACGGCATCCGCCTTCTCAGCATCGGAAGCAAGCACAGACGTATTCTCGCTTGGTGATTCCGAAATCACGATGCCATTCCCTTTCGACTCGCTTGGCCCGGTCTCAGCCTTGTTCTCCTTCTCGTCGTCGCTTGGCGTGGTTGACGATTCGCTCTCATCAGCCTTTGGTGCTTCAGCCAGCTCGATAAGCAGAAACCGTCTCCAGTCAAACGACTCTGGCTTGTACAGCGAGATAACTACCGAATAAAGAGCCGGAGAGAAGAAGGAAGCAATCGCACCATAGAGAGCCGGGAAACTCGCTTCCGTGGTTGCAATGCTGATCGTCCCATACATGGACTTGGCCGTGGCCAGCCACACGCTGAGGCCTGTAAGGAAACCCAAAATTGGCGACGCAATTGCTGCTAATCGCGTCTGCTTCGACCAGCCGAGTGTCAGTCCTAGAGGTATGATGCCAGGGCAAGAAAGAATAGGCCTGAAATAGCCAATCCATGTCATATCAGCACCGCCGTAGTTAAGTGCCAGTGATATGCCAGTGATGAAAATAGTGTGGAACACGACGGCAAGATGGCTAACTTTCATCAGTCTCTTGTCAGTCGCCTTCGGGTTGATGTATGTCTTGTAGAGATCAAACGAAATGATGCTGCTAACAGCAATCATGGACGAAGAGACAGTGCTTGTCAAAGCCATGAACAAGAGAACAAAAAAAGCAATGATGCCCTTGTCGCCGATCAAGGCCTTGATGGTGTACGGCATCACCAAGCCTGCATTCACTAGGCTCGGGGAAAATTCTCCGGGATAGGTCGGGAAGATCGGAGTATTGTGAATGGCCCTGGCGGTCAGACCGATGACAGTACCAAGGCCCCAGGGGATGCCGAATATAGCCACGGCGGCGATGTTATATCCAGGCACGGTAGCTTTGACCTCTGTAGCAAAAGACTTTTGCCAGAATGCCGTATCCTGTGCAGTAAAAGAGGTAGAGTTAGCGATAAGAACTACGGTAATGAGGATGCCAGGGTTCTCTGCATGTGCCATTCTTACCATGACGACGAGAGCGAGATTGCCAAACTTCAGGATCAGTCCCCAGATGATTGCATCGACCGACTTCATGGTAAGCAAGGATCCCTCATAGTTCCTAGGAATCATGTTTTCCGAGGCGGTTGCCATGATCTTGTCATATAATCCTCCAAGACCGCCTACGGCCTCGTGGGTCAGAGTTGTCAAGGTGAAGTAGATGATGAGGATCAAGGCAATAGCGGTATGGAGATAATCCGTCAAGAAGGTGGCCTTGAGGCCACCTACTGCTGTATATAGAACCACTGCAAATTAATAGGGTTGTTAAATTAATCCCATGCTTGTCTTCGAGTATCATATCAGGCCATTCTTACCTCCTAGTGGGATCAGTATGGTAGCCGCGACAAAATGCATCCCAGATACGCCATATATGAGCTGTGATCCTGTCAGGATCATTGACGCGCATCCAAAGACGTTGTTGGTGATGTTAAGGATGATGAAGACCACATGACCGATTTTGCCGTACCGCATGCGAATGATCTCCAGCGACGTATGGGCATACGGCACGCGAATTTTGGCCAACACACCAAGAGCTGCCATCAAGGCAATCTGGAAGCACAGCCCTGTAGCCCACCACTACAAGCACCAGGTGTCAGTAGCTTCTCGATAAGACATGTGCATTGACCAGACGACTTACAAATGGGACAGCCAGTCCAAACTTATAACAAAAGGCAGCTGAAAACACGGTTTCATTGATCCACATCCACGATGAAAACACCGCCGATGCTGTTAAACCTCTACCCACGGATCGATTGGCGACCATAAACATCTCTGATGTCGACGAGTCTTCGGACAGGTAGGCTCGTTGCACCTTGATTGCAATGAGAATGACACCACAAAAGGCCACTCCCAACCCAATAAGGAGGCCATATGCCGTCCCTTGAGGGATGACGGGCACGCCCGAGACGCCGAGTTGAACCGACATGTTGAGGACCAGATCAGCGGCCTATATCTTGTCAACAGACAGGTATGGCCTCTAAAAACAGAAAAGGGAGAGTTTCTAGGTATCGGTGCCTCGACAAGGATCCTCTTGCAGGTTGCACGGGGCACAGACACACCTTCTTTTATATCATCAACGGCCGAGAGTGGTCGACTTATTATCTTTCATGCAGTTCGTCCTTCTCCATCTCCCGCGTCCCAACTATCGGGAAACCTGGTAAGCCAACGGCCCATAAAACCAGCACGTTGCATTAGGAAGTAATGGCGTTATTTTTCTGGCTCCTCATATTCCGCAATGGCTGGGTAATCCTACAGCAGGCCGTCGAAAATGATACCCGCAGGTCCTTGTCTTGCGATGAAGCGAGACAGAGTCCAATGGCCGACAAGCGGACGTCGACTATTGCCGCGTAAAAGGCGTAAACCGATTGCGAATAGATGAGAGAATCCGGCTAAATGGTTTTTGGATTGATAGTTCAAGTAGAAGCCGATTTCTGACTGGGTGGTGATAAGTATCTGTATGCGAGATCGGCCGTTGATGTGAGATCATGGTGTGTATTGCGTGCTATGCACATAGCGTGACGACTTCATAGCGAAACATCAGCCTCACCTCGCGTACAACATCAGACGCGAGAAGCTGCGTCAATTCATCTCTATAACTAAAGAGAGCCAATAGTACGATTTGAAGCGTCGGGGTAATTTGTCAAGATATGGGACGTTATTCCCGCTTCTTGTTTAAAAGCCTTCATGCCCTGGCAACGAGACGCCAACCAAAGGTAGCAGCAACTACACGCATACTGCTTCAACGCTTCGTCGCGCAATAGCACACCGATTAAGGATGGGAGAGGACACATCTGCCACCGCAGCCGAAGGGCAAGCGCAGAGAAAGAAGCAAATGATCCTGAACGCATTTGTCATGAACACCCCGGGTCACCTCTCCCCTGGATTTTGGCGACACCCACGGAACAAGACCGATCAGTACACAAAGCTGTCCTTCTGGACAGATCTGGCACAACTCCTCGACAAGGCGGACTTTCATGCCATGTTCATCGCGGATACCCTGGGGCCGTACGACGTATACAAGGGTCCTGCAAATGTTGTGCCAGCTCTGGCAGCAGGCGCTCAGTTCCCAGTCAACGACCCCTTATACCTGGTGCCCGCAATGGCAGCTGTCACGAAGAATCTCATTTTCGGTGTCACAGCTAGCTTGACGTACGAGAAGCCTTATGCGCTGGCTCGCCGTCTTTCTACGGTAGACCACCTCAGCGATGGCCGTGTTGCCTGGAACATTGTCACGTCGTATCTTGACAGTGCAGCCCGCAATCATGGCCTGAAGGAGCAGATCCCGCACGACGAAAGATATGCCATTGCCCACGAGTACATGGAGGTTCTGTACAAACTGTGGGAGGGAAGCTTTCGGGATGACGCGGTTGTCAAGGATCGCGAGAATGGCATCTATATCGCTGCCGATGGCGTTCTCCAGATACACCACAAGGGCAAATATTTCGAGGTGCCTGGCCCTCACTTCTGCGAGCCATCACCGCAGCGAACTCCGTTTCTCTTCCAGGCTGGAGTATCTGAGGCCGGCAATGGCTTCGGAGGAAAGCATGGCGAAGCCATCTTTGTCGGCGGCCAGACTCCTGAAGGCGTGAGAAAGACTGTCGACAACATTCGTGAGGTGGCAAGAAAGGAAGGGAGAGATCCAAACCACATCAAAGTCATTGTGGGAATCAACGTCATTGTCGCAGCAACGGATGAAGAGGCCCAAGCCAAAAAGGAAAGCTATCTTCAATATGCCGACCAAGAAGGTGCCTTGGCTCTCTTTGGAGGATGGACGGGAGTTGATCTCTCAGGCTACGCAGACGACGAAGACTTCCGCTTCACCGACTCGCCGAGGTTGCAGTCGATCGTCAGGAGATGGTCGGATACTGTGCCCGGAACAGACAATCTTCCATGGACTAAGAGAAGAATTGTCGAGTATCTCAGTATTGGCGGCCTCGGCGCAAAGGTAGTAGGCGGTCCAGCAACGGTTGCCGACGAACTGGAGAGGTGGATCGAGGTGTCAGGAGTAGACGGCTTCAATTTGGCCCACGTTACCAACCCGGGTAGTTTCGAAGATATCATCGAGTACCTTCTACCTGAACTGCGGAGGAGGGGCGTCTTCCGAAATGGTGTCGAGAAAGAGGGCGCAACAGCACGAGAGGTATTCATCGGCTCTAAGAGACTGCCTGAAGACCACCCAGGGAGCTTCTTCAAGTGGCGAGCTGGCGAAAGCGCGCCGAAGTATCTTCAAAAGGAAGATGAGAAGGCAGGTAGCGATTAGATGATGCCCGAATTATCGATGCATTTCCCACTTCACTCATACCTGTTTGTGTGAGACTTGTATGCTTACCTTACAGGTAGGTACATGTAGCTTTTGTTCATCCGTGCTCATTGAATGCTGAAGTAACCGTACGCCTTCAGATAGAAGAAAAATGAGCAAAACTACTATTGTTCTCGTCGAAGTGGTTTGGATTCGGCAAAGGAAAAGTGCTCGCCCGAGCATGTCGCCCTGTCATGCCCTGGCGAGGCTTGTTCGTTCTTATAAACGGCTGATTGCAGCTTGTCGTAAATAAGTATGGCTGAGGCGTCGATGACAGTGGTGCCGGAAGGGCAGCTTCAAACGGAATTAATTGATGACATAAGGTGGAATATGGAATTACAGCTTTAGGGAAACAAAACCTTGAAACACCTATCTACCTGGGTACTTTCAGGGCCTTGTCATGAGGCCAACAAGAGACCTTTGATAAGTCACCTCTTCAGTGAAACCCGTAGCAAGGCCTTCCAGCTTCCACAGATTTTCAAGTCGCAGAATGTTAGTAATTACTTGCATATACAGCCACTCGAAGATAAATTGAAGCCTCCTGGGCTGCTTCAAGTATCCTTCTGAATACTGATATTCCGGGTTCTTCAGGGTAACCAAGGTAACATGCTGAGCCTCATCCGACCAATGTGAAGATGCAGGGTCACAGCCTCGTAAGCGCCACATCTTGCAGCCACATTTGGTGGGGTAATCGTGGCTACGCTGCCAGCCTTGTGCAGCTTCCAATCTTCAATGCCTCCAACCCGAACCCCTCCAAACTGCAGCAAACGATTCTCATGCCTCAGAGCGACCGATCAAGAGCCTCGACACTGCGCTCCTGATGAATCGCCAACGACCGCGCCTCAAGAATGGGGTCGATCTCCAGCTCCAGTCGGCCTTTCAAGACGGCAACTGGCCGGTGGTGATACGCCTGGCTGAGAAGCGCGCAAAGACGCTCAATGACCAGTACTACGAGGTGAGAACTCTAGCCGTCGCCGACCTTGGGCGCTGTCTTTCTGGAGTTTGGAATAACTCGGTTCACCGACGTGAGTCACCTGGCTGACCAAGTGTATTCATCATGACCACAGCTTGTCAAAGTCTGTGCCGAAAGCCAGCTCGACGACCCCAGTGCCAAATTTGCTGCCGTTGCGGCCATCTGGAAGTTTGTTAAGGAGGGCAGCACCATCAAGGATGTAGATGCCATTGATCTGATGGAATGGGCCACCACGAATCTGATGGACCCTGATGACTTCGCTGAAACTCTTGGGCCGTTGAGAGTGCGCTGTGTTAAGGCTGCCCCGAAGGACAAGATTGCGGCCTCGCGGTGTCTCGAATCATGCTTGCTTCACTGGGACCTCGCCAGCGCTCAACAGGTACGCCCTCAATCTTGCCTCTCTAGCTTTGAGCGCCTCGGTCAAAGTTTGTACATGGCTCGGAAGAGCTAACAAGACGCAGATTGCGGCCATCATCGACCGCTCCTTTCCTCAAGACAGGGACATGCTGTTCTGGAACATTGTGGTCACACATTTGCTTTCCGTAAGCCATACCCCCTAGATGTAAGCGTACACGCTTCCATGCATCGGTATACTAAAGCTCAACATAGATGAGTCCTCAAACCTCGCCCGACAAAAGAAAATTGTACGGCACTTTGGCTCAAAAGCAGATTGAGCGAGCTGCCCAAGCCACAGAACAGGTAATTTTGCTTCTTCCGTCTCAATGCGCAGAGAGGTCACAACTGACGCCACTGCTTTAGGTGGAAGCAGACTCAAATGGGGCAGGAGCCAAATCTTCCCCGAGACGCGTCAAAACAGAAGAAGAGACCCTTCTGCTCTATGACATTATCGAGACACACGGAAGCCCCCAAGACTTTCAAAAACTCATCTCCAGTCCTGTCTTTTCTCCTGCTGCACAGTTCCGTCGCGGCCGAAAGGAGGTGGCCCTTCGCGCCGTTGCCAAGTTTAAACGAGATGGAGACTGGCGTGCCGTGTTCAATCTCTGCAAGGAATGTCTGTCTGACTGCGATGCGGATGGGCAACTCACCTTGCTCGCATCCGATATTGCTGTATGGCGGAACTTGATTGATGCTGCAAGCCACATAAAGGATGCTGACCCGGAGTGAGTAGACACGACGCCTCAGACTCAACAAGACGATTGTTGGAACGGTGCTGACTCCCATGCTTTAGGTCTACTGCCGTTATTCAGAAGCTGCTTGCGGACTTGTTATCGTCTAAGCACATGCGACCCATGTACAGACGCAACATTTTGCTGGCCAGAGTATTGGCGGTATTCCAGCTTGCCCACGACGATGAGAGCGACTTGGTAGATGGCCATCCTTCGTCACTGCGGCTTCAAGAGCTCATTCGCTACATTGACGATCAGTATACTAGCCCCGCGTGCTTCAGCGACGTCAAGTCGCTGTTAGAAAGCCTGGATGTAGCCGGTCTGAAGTATCTGGCGTTTGAGCATCTGCCTCAATTGGCGCATGGCGATTCAACAGACTTCAAAGTAACCAGCACACAATTGCTGGCGTTCAAGACACAGTACCTGCTCTTGACGCATCGCAAAAGCAAATCTCGCGACCAAGGTCAGCGTCTTCAGTGCACCGTCTGTGACAGCACTGTAAAATCAGCACTATGCCAGACTTGTCTGTCAAAGCTCTCCGAGGCCAGTGTCGCGTTCTATGACTCGGTAACGAGAGCTGAAGACGTTAACGCAAAGATCAAGACTGAGGTGCTCCCAGAACTTGCAATATTGATTGCTTTCTGCAGCCTGAGCCTTGCCTTTGACGACTCTACACAGACTACCCAGTCGTTAACATCACAGGCCAGGCGCCATCTCATACGTGCCACGCTTCTCCTGGAGGATCAGCTCGCTCAGAATCCGGGCCATAGCCAGCTGTCTCTTGTTCTGACGCAACTGCACATCCGCCTTGGTTCGGCTTACAGGGCCAGCGATATCTGGGATGTTATCGGCGTCAAGCGCACCATCATCGACTCTCTCGGCCCCGTATTCTACGATCGCCTATCAACAATCGCCCCTGCGCTTCTGTCGTCTTATGATAGCTGGGGCAGCCATCTCATGGATCTGCTGCAGTCTCATTACCAGATATCATTGAAGCTCAGGATGCCTCGTCGCCTGATAGATGCGTTTGAATCGGGGAGCTACAGCAGCGTCATGGGAATTCCCGAATACATTGACCGCCTTCGGATGAGCTGCACTAGGGCAATGAGTCTAGCAGAAGCACGAAGAATCGAGAGATTTCTGGGACAGACGTCGCACGAGCTGGAGTCCGATCCGCGATTCAGTATGTTTACCCCTTCGTCTCTAAACTTTCTTGCCTTTTGACGAAGTGACACTGACAACGTATGGCAGGTGAGGTAGTTGACGAAGCGCAACTCATCGAGACCATTGATTATGGCTCGTTTCCATCTTGGAACAGCAGTACGATCCGGCCGATGCACATCAATCTCAGGCTTGGGCCAGCCCCTTCAGTAAGTAGAGCTAGTCTGCTCTGTGTGCATCCGACATCGCGACTGACGCAACATGTTTAGAATCGTCGTTGCCACCTCTCTTTGCTGGCAGAAGCGTTCCACGAGCTGCTGACGTACAAGCCTCCGGCCAGCTTCAAAGCCTCAGCAGGAAGCTCGGAATATGATCATATCTATTTCATCGAGACCTTGGCTCGCCTTAGCAACTCTTTCCCGAAATTCTTGGCCGGCCCTGATGACGAGATGACTCGACCAGAGCTTATATACTTTGAGACCGTCAGCCTCCTCTGCACACTGATGTCTCTGTGTGTCGAGTTTGACCGGTCTTCCGATATCATCGATGTCTTGAACCAGATCATCGGCGCACTCAAGTTGACTCTTGAAAGCCAGCGAAGCACCCTGTCTCACGATGCAGATTCTTCGATAGAACGCACAGTTACGATGCTGGGCTCAATGCACAATATCTCGATGCTCCGAGACACGACAACCGCGATCAAATCTGGAGTACAATGGCTATTGAGCCACAATGAAAAAGAAAAGGCGCGCGACAGGTCAGGGAAGAGCGGTCTGCCCAAGGACTTGGTTGCTCAGTTGAAGGACCTGCAGACAGCTGCTGAGGCAAGCATTAAAGAAGGTCAGGGATGGATCTCGAAGCTCAAGTCGGAAGTCATGTCGAGGGATTTTGAGCCCAAACTCAAGAGATGGGTGTTGGACGGGGACCACGAGATTAAGAAGATTCTTGGCATGCAGTCGCTGCCGGGGCTGATTGATAGCTGGCAGTCAAACGTCAAGGGGTGGCAACAAGTGAAGTGGGCGTGAATGTTGGGTTCGACAGGGAATACCTAGTCAAACGGATGGGGTGTTGCTTGCTACTTGTTGCCATCTCCTTGCAAAGACAGTTCTAGAGAGTTGTTTGCTAACCCACGGAAAAGAAACACAAGAACTTAGATTAGATACAGGCGTTGAGGCACAAACCTCAAATCGCACCGCCTCGTTCAAAGGAGACATTAATTGCCGTCGAGTGCATGAAACGAGCGTCGTCATTTGAAGGTGGAGCGACCATCACAATCGAGGCGGGCCCCCCTTTTCCTTTTGACTATTGATTGCGCGTACATGCACGTCACCACCGGCGTTTTCTGTGCGCCAACAGCAGTGCTTGCAGCTCAGTCTAGGAAGGGAGAAATTTCCTTTATCAATCTGTAAATACCTTAGCAATCGGGAGTATCTGATGGTATTATATTGGCCTTTATTCCCCAGTCCTTTAGCAGTAAGCCCTGATGCGCGCACAGAAATTGTCCATCTTGAACACCGTACCATGAAGCCCATGACGATCTGTCCCTGATCGCCGTTGAAGCCGTTTCTTCCCCAGTTTCCGTTGCCCCTTGTATCTTCGCCTTGGCTTCTATCGCTTAACTGTTCCTTTTATGACCTGGACCTTAGTCGCTGGTTCGTCCAGCCCGCTTCTCTTGGCTCAATGCCTAACCCCGGCTATCACGGCGCTGTTTCCGCCGACACACACGCGTCCTTTTGCTGGGCGTCGCACAGATGGAGCCCAAGGACCAATCCGTTTCCCAGCACCAGTATCGTACCATTTGATGGCAAGACTTGATATCGGAGCACACAAGATGTTTAACTTTTGAAGGCACTAGTAACAAGTTGATACTAATTCCGATTTGGACGCTGCTAGTATGGGTATCCCTGGGGGATGTTCTCCTGATACACTGGAGTTCCAAGGAGGTGATGAGGGTATAACTCCAGTATGATGCAGTCCCAATTTAGTAGATTGATAGCAGATCTGAATCTGATATATGTCAACTGCTCTGGCATCAAGCTATTCTTGACCATTTCGACTCTTCTTCAATTTATGGATCATGAACGCTGCATCATTCCATAATGCTCGTCACGCGCTGCCACTCCCCCATTTCACACAGAGGAATAACGGTGTTGTTTCTGATAGCTACGGTGTTCCTGCTAACCCTTCTTGCGAAGCAAGAGCACAACAAAGGAACAAGACAATATGAGCTCCCCTTTGGCATAGGCCTTGCCATTTCTGCGCAGGATGGCCTCCGTGCAGTCAAGCAATGCTCCTCAGAGCTGGACTACCTGAGACGCAAAGAGTATGGCTTAACTCGAAACGTCGTCTACCGCAAACGTTGTGTCCGGGGCGTGTACAGTGAAGATGCGGGCTTACGGGATTCAGTAACCGAAGTCGACAGCCCATTGCTCGGGTCAAGAGCAGATATCCTGGATCTCGACAACGAATGCAAGAGCATTTCTTCACCACACTCGCCCGTCGAAGCTCAGTCTTGCGAGCCCATCACACTCCAAGTATCGAAGCCATTCCCGACAGCAGATCTGTCAAATGTCATGTTTGGCGTAGCAACGACGCTCTCCCGCCTCCAAGATTCGATCCCTCAGTTCTCTCACTGGCTTTCTGGGACTGGTGCTCTGTTCCTCGCCATTGTCGTCGATGATTCAGTCACTGACGACGACCTGGACGCATTGGAGTCCATGTACGAAGCCCACGACATCAGCCTTACAACCATTCGGCCCTGGAACTGCTCCTTCGATGTAAACGAGCAGCACTTTGCCATTCTCCACGATCTCATCGACTACTCCACCCACGAAACCCAATGGATTGCCATCATCGACGACGACACCTTCTTTCCCTCGCCTTACTCCATCTCACAACTCCTCGCTTCGCACAACGCATCCGAACCAACATACATAGGCGGCCTTTCAGAAAGCCAGGGTGCCGTCGCATTCTTTGGCCACATGGCCTACGGAGGGGCAGGCGTCTTCATGAGCATGCCGCTGGTCGAGCAGCTCGACTCGCACGTCGAGGATTGCCTCGCCCAGAGCATCACCAGACAGGGCGATGGCTTGCTGAACGACTGCATACGAAACTATACGCAGACCGAGCTTATCGCCATTCCTGGCTTACACCAGCTCGATATGAGAGGCGACCTGAGCGGATTCTACGAGTCCGGGACGTTCCCGCTGAGTCTGCATCACTGGAAGTCATGGCATCAAGCCCCCGTCGACAAAATGGCCAAGATAGCCAACTACTGCGGCGATTGTTTCCTCCAGCGCTGGAAGTTTGGCGGAGACAGCATCCTAGCAAATGGCTACAGCATCAGCGTCTACCAAGATGGTATAACCCAAGCAGAGTTGGATCTCATGGAGGGAACTTGGGAAGAGGCCATGGGCTACGAGGCGACGATGGGCAAGATGCGCGAAAAGGCCGGCGACGGGAAGAAGAAGAGCTACAGGCTCATTGACGCGGAGGAGGTGGACGGGAGCTTGCGACAAATTTTTGTGCTGCACGGGGCTTCGGACATGGACTTGGATGGGGAGCAGGAGGCGATGGATGAGGTTGTTGAGCTTTGGTGGGATTGGCCAAGGGGAGATTGAGGGCATGTGTTCTTGTACTTTTATTTTCGTTCTTTTGTTTTTTTTTCTTTCTTTTCTTTTTTTCCTTATCTGTTGCAGGCACAGATCACCAAGCATAGATGGCGCGGGCGATCGGTGATGGAGTTGGATGGCGTTCTGGACACTGGATAGCATCATTTCATGTTTCCTGAGTATGTACCGAGCAAATATCAGCGAAGATGACACTCCCCCCCGGATGGTTCTTATTTGTGACCGTCCATATAGCGCGTCTTATCCTTCAGTAACCCATGAGTGAGGTTGCGTCTCGGCATCGAAGGCAGAGGTCGGATCTCGGGTGCGAATTGGAAGTCCGAGGTGGTTGGACTCTGACAGCATCCTCTCTGGCGATATACAAGGAACAATGCCTCTTTTTGTATGCATCTTATATCAAGAGGGTGGAGAATATGAAGACAAACCATCTGATATCCGGGGATAAAGTACGATACCTTATTGTAAGGTGGAAGAAGATGGAGGAGAGACTTGGAGTGGCGGGGTTGAAGTTGGAATCTGTGGAGATGGTGGCTTTAGTTGCTGTGTAGCGGCAATGCCTAGATCGGGCAAGACAGATGAGAAGAAATTCACGCCCTCTAGGAACATTGATTAGCCTACAAGTTTCGACAAGCTGGATGAATGAGCGCATGAGCGTGTCAAGGTCAAAGCTGGTTCAATATTCTGGCCGCCGCAGCCATTTGAGGCATGATCGAGCGTCTCTCTATGCCCGGTTCTTCCTACTCGTCTTCTTCCGTTCTTTAGCAACTCAAGCATGGACTCACTTCTTGAGCGTCTTCTCCATCATAACATGGTCATCATGTCTCCCATTGTGATGGTGCTCGGAGCTGTCTTGGTGATCATCAGCTCAATTCATATGCTTGTATGGCATTCCTACGACGCTTTCATTGCCGCGATATCCTAGGGTTAATGGCATCAACTAACACCACATCTAAAACCCACACATAGGCTTCATCACGGCGTCGTAACAGCAAAGCATCCCACTCTGATCGACCAGATCAAAAGGCCAAAGATGTTTTAGATATCAAGCCGCTGAATGGCTTGGACTACAAGGCAGTCGAACCCAACCAGTTTCGGCCGTTCAAGCCCATCTTTCACATCACCATGGGTGAGCATCCCACTTTGCATATGAGAAATCACCTCCATGACTGGGCCGTACATGACTCACATATAAGTAGCCCTACAAGCTGATTCTCCCTCGGAACTCATCACCATCGACTCGCAGTATCTCGATAGAGTCTCCCACCGCCGGCAGCTCATTGCCGAGCACGGCGACATGGTTCACGCCTGCCTCTCCTCCGGCCTCGAAGCCGTCCGCGAGCTGCACCAGTTTCTCATCCGAGACTACCTCCCGACTCGCTTCCCAACCATGTTCCGGCTCCGGGACCAGGACCGACAGTTTGACAACCTCGTCACCGGCCGGTCGTTTCCCACCGCGGCCCCCGAGAATGTGGAGGAAGCAGAGGCAGCGCTGCGGATGCTGGCCGAGACGGTAGAAGAGGACATGTTTCTGCTGCTTGGGGAACCAGAGGGCCACCGGGCCGTGGCCTTTGTGTGCTGCTTCCCGTCAGGTTTCGACCCGTCAACAAAGGTCGGGAGGCTGCTGAGGGAGATTCACGCGCCGGTGCCGTCATACGACAAGATTGGGCCGAGCATGGAGCGCTTCTTCAGCAGGATTGAGGTGGGCAAGAATGTGAAGCGGACGAATGTGAGCATGTTTACTGATGGTGTCTTGTCTTTGTGCTAAAGATGAATTCAAGAATGGCTGACAAGTTCCTAGTGGTCTATGCAAACGCACAGCGACTTGTTTCATTACGATAGACACGACGGACACACGAGCGAGGATGTGCTCAAAGCCGAAGACATTGATATGAGCAAGGTCAGTTCAAGCATGGCTCCATTCTGTTGATGAGAACTTGATGGCTGAGTAGGGTACATGTATCGTGGTCTACAGACGTATGCACGCATTGAGCTCCAAACACTCAGTCGACTCCCCAAAACGAGGGCAGTCCTCTTCTCCTTCAAGACGTATCTGTACCCCGTCGAGGACCTCAAGAAAGAAGGCTTGGGGCCGCAGGTGGCAGATGCCATCGAGGGCCTCAAGACAGGCAATGCACCGGGCATGTGGAAGTACAAGGGCGCGCCGCAGTGGGGAGAGCCGATCTGCAAGTACCTGAGGGCAGGTTGAAACCACACATGCACGTATACCCAGTACCTAGATAGCTCAGGGCACTATAGGCAGGCATCAAGAGAGCGAATTAGCCGTACATGTGGTGGTGAACACTGAAGTCGATCGTCGAGTACATGTATTACATGTATCACCACGTCAAGTGTCTTGGGTTCACGTTGTTTGCTGGCCGCACATACACGTAACATCAAAGCCATTCCGTAGGTCAACTCCTGCAAGATTGCATGCTCGTGCAGGCTTCAGCTGGCCACACAGCAGGTCTCCCTACCTTTCATGCAGCTTGCAATTCACCGACCAGCCACCCGTGGCACAAGGCTCTGGCATCGTCGAATCAGGACTCCGTCTCCCCTGTTGCGTGTGTAACTCGGCCATAGGCTCGACTGTGATTGCGCTGAGACAGGCCAGGTTGAGCAGCAGCAGGTGACTCTCCATTTGCCATCCACCGACCGTTTCGACTGTTTGTCAACATCAATATTGATGCAGGTTGACGTTGAGCGTCAAATGCATTGACGCAGCAATCGTGTAGCGCTTAGCGGTCTACATGTACATGTAGGGTCAAGGTCCAACACAGTCCCGCTGACGGCGACTCCAGTCTACAGCATTGACCCGTGACCGCACTGACGTCTGCTCTCCATTCTAGCTTCATGCTGGAACAGGTGATGTCTCTCCATTCCAGTTCCCATCCTCCGCTAACACTGTTCAGCCTCGCCTCTTCCGGTGCATCTTGCAGCTGTCTCTTGCCTATTGCCTCTGACTCTGCCTGTCACCGGCGTCTGTCCCGTCCCTCGTACCCGGTACAGCAAATCCGGGCATCCATCCCATCAAATCTCCAGGCACCGTCGGCAGTTCAAGCGCCCTGGCCTCAGCCGTCACTCGGCTCCTCACCTCCGCCAGTCCCTACAGGTGCAACTCCCCTGTAAATCCCCCCCAATCAGGCGCCCTGCGCGCTCCGTCAGGGCTGACCGGACGCTAAAGCGCCTCCAGAGCAGCACCTCTTGGGAGCCTCGTGATCCACCTTTATCCGCCTAATCGCAACACCCGCAACGTACCGACCCGAAAATCCGCCAGCCAGCGCATAGAAATTCGGCCAGCAGACGAACAGCTCAGGGAACCTTGAACCTCGACATCGCTGGTGCTAAAAACTCAGCCTTGCCGACCTCGCCTCTCTTTCGCCCTCGCTCACGCCCATCGCTCTGCTTCTCGTTTCCTTTGCTCTCTCTATTTGCTCATCTCCAACTTGCTCCTTCCATTGCTCCTTGTCTTTTGATTCAACCTCCACATTCACCATCCTCTGGCCCTCTGCCGTACAGATCCGGCCATCGTGCCCCGCGTGCAGAGACACCAAAGATTGATACTCTACCTAGGAAAAAAGTAGCAGCAAGCGAGAGCTCCAACCACCAGCCATCCGCCGCCTCTCACTTCAACCGCATCTGCAGGATATGCTCTGAGGCCGCAGAGCTGGTGCGCGCTTCCGTCTGTCCCGTCTCTGTACTGCAGCCTGTCGCCTCTCCTTTTCGTTCTCTATACCCTCTCTCTCTTTCATTCCCTGGTCGTCCGCCGCAGGTCTGTCTGCTGGCGTGTAGCGCGCGCCGCTCCACCCCCGTTTTCGCGCGACAAACTCCGAGCCCGACCAGTGACCAAGACCGGACGAGACAAGGCGCCCTGTGCATCACGCGGCCAACATGAGTCTCCCCTGTACGTCATAGAAGCCTACACTCGTTAACATGCGTTCCTTGTAACGCTTGTCCTTGTCTGTCGTTGCTCGAGCTCCAAGCTCTAGCTCCGATATTCGCATCGGTGACATCGCATGGCTAACATGTCGTCCGCTCGCAGTGTCTTCCGACGAGAACCAGCGCTATACCGCCATCATTGACGGCATCCTTGCCACGGCCGACCTCCTGACGATTTCGCGCAAAAAGATCCGCCAGGGTCTGGAGGCAAAGCTGGGCGGGAAAGACCTCAGTGAGCAAAAGGCAAGCAAGCAAGCAAGCTAGCAAACATGGGAGGACGCGGTTCGGACGAGCATGCGAGAGACGGGCGCTGCATACACCATATCCCGGCTCTTGACTAACCTGCTGCGCGTACTCTAGGATGCCATCAAGAGGTTGATAGAGGAGCGCTTCGACGCTGTCTCTGGCGCCGATGTGGGCGACGCAGCCCCTTCCGTCACCCCCGAAGTCGCCGACAACAAGCGATCCGCCACAGCCGAGTCGCCGGAGCACGATGGCCTCTCCGCCTCTCCTGAGCCGGCCAAGAAGAAGGTCAAGCGGTCCTCGTCTACCGAGGATGCCGACGCCCGCCTGGCCGCTCAGCTCCAGGAGATGGAAAACAGTCTCGCCAAGGGCCGCACCACCCGCGGCAGGGGCGACAAGGCGCGATTGGTCAAAAAGAAGAAGGCCCCGCGCAAGAAGAGCGCCAAGAAGGTTGGCGACGACGACGACAGCGAGGTCGACGCCAGCGGCGACTCTGCGCCCAAGCGCAAGGCTGGAGGTGGCTTCCAGAAGCCCTTCCTGCTGAGTCCCACGCTGTCGGAGCTGTGCGGCGAGACTCAGGTAAGAATCATGAGGCCAATTGAGTTAGATGCCGGAGAATTAGGGATGCCACCGAAACGCCTGTTGCTGACTGACTTGTCTATAGCTTTCTCGCCCGCAAGTCGTTAAGAAGCTCTGGGAGCACATCAAGGCCAACGATCTTCAAGACCCCAAGGACAAGCGCCAGATCATCTGCGACGAGAAGATGCAGGCTGTATTCAAGCAGACTCGCGTCGACATGTTCCGGATGAACAAGGAGATTGGAAGCCACCTCTATCCCGTTGGAGAGGAGTGACTGGCGTCTTTGTTGAAACATACGAGACACCAACGTACAACACATCATCATTATCAGCATCATCATTTCTGTCATCATCATTACTTGAACCGGCAGCAGTCACGATGGGGACAAGCATCCTTTATCTAATGCTGTGGGGTTCTGGCGCCCGGTGGCGTATTCTGGAGATTTTCGATTTATCAAGGCCGGTTTCTCTATCATCATTTCATGGTACACTTACTGTTTGTATGGGTTGAAGGTGGTAGGAGGGAGGCCGCGAAGCAGGGAAGAAGAACGAGGCTTTGAGCAAGGAATGGACTTTTGCATGGGCTTTCTAAAGTTATCGGGTAACGGGCCGTAAAGGGATCAAGATCAGATGAAGACCATCAGATCATGGTGTTTCCAGCTGTGATACGGTACGGGGCTTTGGGCTTTCTTTTCTTTGCCATTGGCCTATTTGGGGGAGGAAAACCAGATGTCCAAAAGGAAGAATACTAGCTTATTGAGCGCACTTTGACTGCAGTCATCGGCATACAATACCTATGCCGACAGATGATTGCCTCTAGAGATTAGTGCTTGGTATAGACAAGAACTCCTTTTGATTACACATCGCCTTCTTCTCCGACTCAGTCACTGCTGGCTTAGGTTGCCATCCCTGCTCATAAAAGCAGCTGGCCGAATGACTCCTACTTTGCAAGGCGAAATTGCACCGCAGAAGCAAAGCCATTCAGCCAAAGAAGACGCTGAGTCATCCGAGTCGAGGCGGACTGCTGGGCAAAACCGACGCCGCTGATTGGCTCGTCAGATACAGGGTAACTCGGCCTCAGCAGCCCCTCCAGCACCTGCCAGTTCATTACAAAACCAAAGTTGCGCCTGCCATTCCGTTTGCACGGCTGGAGGGGCCAAAAAATCCGCACCAAAGCTTTTGTGACGTTTATGACTTGCTCACCTTTCCATCACTTGAATCTGTTCTCTCTTTGTCCTCACTCATTTTCTTTTTTTGCGAAGCCTCAACATTGATACTTCACATTATTACTGACGGCAGCCTTTCTGCGTCGGTTCTTTCCCGAACGCTCTCGTCTCCGCGTCGATCAATTCCTCTGTGGAGCAGCACCAGCTTCACATCTACAGCTCTGCTCCGCGAGCGAGGCAGAAACTGCTTGGAAATCCGCACAAGCGCACCCTCGGCAGCACCTCCTAGCACTGACTGAGGCTCTGTCTCATAAAAAGGCCTGCGACGTCTGCCCTGTACCGAACCACTTCACTGTCCGATTATCAATCAACATCTCGAGACAACTGAACCATGTCGACTGCTGAGGGAGCATCAACCACCGGTCGAAGCGAAGGAAGCTCTCGGGGGCGCGGCCGTGGGGGAGGTGGTGGCGGAGGCGGAGGAAGAGGAAGAGGAAATCAGGGCCAGAATCGAGGCGGTGCCAGGCGAGGAGGGCGAGGTGATAGCAATCGCGGACAGGGACGAGGACAGAAGGAGACAGAAGGTGCTCCAGCTACATCCGCCGAAGAGGCCGCTGCAGCTGCAAACAAGGAGAACAAGGCGCTGGCAGCGACTGCTCCCAAGCTGCAAGCCGACGACGACGATGACGATGGCGACATCTGCTTCATCTGCGCCAACCCCGTCGCCCACCACTCGATTGCGCCGTGCAACCACAAGACATGCCATATCTGCGGCCTGCGCATGAGGGCGCTGTACAAGACCAAGGATTGTGCCCACTGCCGAGTATGTTTAATGATTCCCTTATCCGATTCTGCCCCTCTCTCTTTGTGGGAACAAGACTAATGCCACGCGACCTTGTCTGCAGACGCCAGCTGCGTATGTTATCTTTACCGACGATGCCGACAAGAAGTTCCAAGCCTACACAGACAGCGATTTCACCTCCACCGACAGCAACATCGGCATCAAATACACCAACGAGGAGATTGTCGGCGACACCGTCCTCCTGCTGCGGTACAACTGTCCCGACGGGTCGTGCGATTTTGCCGGGCTGGGCTGGGCCGATCTGCATCGTCACGTCAAGTCGGCGCATCGCAAGCGCATGTGTGATCTCTGCACTCGCAACAAGAAAGTCTTCACCCACGAGCATGAGCTGTTCACGGATAAGGAACTGGAGAGGCACATGCGCCACGGTGACGACAAGCCGGGTGCTGCCGACCAGACGGGCTTCAAGGGCCACCCCCTCTGCGGCTTCTGCGGGGAGCGCTTCTACGACGACGACAAGCTGTTTGAGCACTGCCGCATGAAGCACGAGCGTTGCTTCCTGTGCGATAGGCGGGACTCGCGACAACCGCACTATTTTCTCAACTACGACGAACTGGAGAAGCACTTCAAGAAGGACCACTTTCTCTGCCCCGATCGGGGATGCTTGGAGAAGAAGTTCGTTGTCTTCGAGTCGGAGCTGGACATGCAGGCACATCATCTGGCAGAGCATGCTGGCAAACACGTGGGCCGTGATGCCAGACTGGTCGACATTTCGGCCTTTGACATTCGCCAGTCGTATCAGCAAGAGAGGCGTGGTGGAGGCGGTGCTGCATCTGGTAGCGGCGGCCAGGGAGAGGGACGATCACGGGCTAGAGGAAGAGGCAACAGGGGAAGAGACCCCAACGAAGACAGCATCCTGCCAACCGTGACATCGGCCCCGCCCCTGCGTAGAGACGAGATTGCGTTCCAGCGGCAAATGGCCATCGCTGCGGCACCCGCAGGCTCCAATCGGACGTTTCGTGGTCAGCTGTCGTCCCCTGCCCCCGCTGCGGCCACCTCCAGCTCTCCCGCAACACCCACGCTCGCACCAACGCCGGCTCAGGCTTCCTCTACCCGAAATGCCGCCGCAGCGACATCACGGCCCCGGAGTGTTGGCCCGGGCACCGGCCCCGCTCCTCCCACGGACGGTATGGAGACGCTCAGCCTTACCGACACGAGCAACCTCTCCGCCGAAGAGCGAGCCCGTCTGGTCCGCCACGGCAGCGTCATTGAGCGGGCCGCAAACCTGCTCGGCAATGACTCGCATAAGATGGCGACCTTCCGCAGCCACATCTCGACATATCGCCAGGGAGGCTTCACGGCACCTCAGCTCGTCGAGGCATTCTTTACCCTCTTTGCAGACGTCTCCTCCAACGCGCTGGGGATCCTGGTGCGAGAGCTAGCAGATCTCTTCGACGACAAGTCCAAGGCTGATGGCCTTAGAAAGGCCTGGCAGGACTGGCGTGCCATCAACGAAGACTACCCCAGCCTGCCTGGGCTCGGCGGCATGCAAGGCGCAACGTCGAGCTCCAGCGGCTGGGCGAGCGCTGCGGCCGCGAACACGGGTTTCACCATTGTTGCTCCGTCGCAGCGAAACTCAACAAGGGTCCTGAAGCTGAAGAATAGCACTCGGTTAGGCGGTCCGGCACCCAACACGTTGAGAGGGCCGCCCGGCTGGGTCCCAGCGGCCTCGTCCTCTAGGGCTTCGTCGTCCTCCAAGGCGCCGTCGGCATCCGCATTCCCGTCTCTGCCGCCGCCCTCCTCATCGTCATCTTCGTCGACAGCAGCACGAGTATCTGCCGCTGCTTCCGCTCCATCATGGACAGCCGCATCATCATCTTCTTCTTCTTCAGCAACGCGATCCCGCGGACCTCCGCCGCCCAATACCCGCGCGGAAGATGCCTTCCCCGCACTTCCCGCGGCGCCGAAGCCGCAGACGACCATCTTTGGCTACGGCAAGGGCCGCGGCGTGAGGCGAGATTTCGGCCAGCAGGAATCCAACTTCCAGTGGGGAGCTGCCCCTGCGTCTTCGTCATCTGCGGCGGCTCAGCCCGAGCCGGCGGATGATGCCGAGGCGACGGGAGGAAAGGGCAAGAAGGGAGGGAAGAAGAACAAGAAGCAGATTCTGGTGCAGTGGGGTTAAAGACGGACGGTATGTGTTCGCATCTTGTTCCCTCGTCTCTCTTGTTCTGGCGGATAGCAGCGGATCTTTCATTTCTTATGACACTCAGGTGTCTTTTATCGACCATAGGGATGGTGTGGGAGAGGCAATGCAGAGGACTTTGGCCAAGCCTTTGGTTGGCTAAGAAAATCTCGTGTTATACCTGGATCTGTCTTCATGATATCTAGTCATTGTGTTGGCTAGCTATGTTGTCTTGCATTGTCGATACTACACGTAGCAAACAAGAGGTATCTACTTTGTCTAGAACCGATGAAAAATGATGTGCGTGTCAAGATCTGTACCTAGGTGGATAGCCGCGGAGGATGTCGATATGTACCTTAATTGTGAGATACTGGAGGTATGCATTATACAATGAAATTAGACCGCTACTATACAAAAAGAATAAAGAACGAAAACACAACGCTTTTGATGCAACAGAAGCTGAAACAATTACATGGATGACGACCATGCCCACCCGCTAACCGACTTTGCTTTCACATTCACCATTTTTCCCCTCTTTTGTTCACTTCCCATGCAACTTCCCCAATATTTTCCGTTTCCATCTTCGAGCAAAAAGATATACAGCAACCAAACAAGCAAGAGGCCTTTCTTTTCTCTTCCTTTTCTTTCTTCTACAATCCGGCAGGCTCATAGTACTCCCTGAACCGATCCGTCTTCTCCCACTCGAGATTATACACCACGTTCCAGCACGTCAGCAACAGCATCGGGAACTTGACCGTCCAATAAGCAAGATACCCATCAGGCAGTGATCCCACGCTGCGCTTCAGCGAGTCCGACATGTCTTCGTAGTGATTCCGCTTGTTGCGAAGAGCGCGCAACAGGTCGAGCAGCTTGTTCCCGGTGTACTTGCGCTGCTTGCCCAGCGACTCGACAAAGTCGCGCGTGAGCACCTTCAAGAAGTCTCCCTTAATGACCTCCGGCGCATGTCGCTCCAGCTCGACCAAGGCAGGCGACGGAGGATCTCGCACCTCCTTCTCCAGAGAATCCGACACGTCGCACAAAAAGGCCAGACGCTTCTTCGGAGACCAGAAGAAAGGGTGGGCCATGACCTCTCGCGAGTCGGGTCGTGCCTTGGGAGAGGCCTGGAGCATGGACGCAATCAGATCCTTGGCTTCGTAGGCAAAGTCGCCCAGAGCGTCCAATGGATCGAGATTGTAGTTGCCCTTTCGAATGTTCACCTCCCGCATATATCTGTCGCCACAGTCAAACGGGTGGGATCCATTGGTGAGCACGTAGAAGAAGACAAGGCCAAGGGAGAAGATGTCAATGGCCCTCGTGGCTCGCCCTCCATTGGAAAGCGAGTTGGGGTCTCCCACGAGGATGGTGTGAGAGCCGCTGTGCGTACTGCTATCGATGGCTGCGGGATTCTGTCCGTCGTCATCGAGAAGCAGTTCGGGGGCACGCCATCCCGACGTTCCAGCGGCTCGGCCTGTCGTTGCTCCGAACGAAGACTGTCTATCCTCCAGTTTCTTACACAGGCCAAAGTCCGACACCAAGAGCCTTGGTCTGCCGTCCTTGTCCAAGTTGACCAAGATGTTTTGAGGCTTCAAGTCTCGATGAACAATCCGCAGAGAGTGCAAGTGGCTGATGCCGTTGGTGATTTGGTACAAGACGCCCGGTAGGTCCTTTTGTCCAGCCTTGGCCAATTCACCAAAGGCATACGGCTTTTCAATGACATCTGCCAATGAAGCAGCGCAGCGTTCCAAGGCAATATACAGGAAGTCGCCTCGCTGCACTTGTGAGTAATACCGAATGACTGCAGACAGTGGTTACGTTAGCGAAGGGAAAATGGGTGAAACGATGAGGGGCTGATTTACCATTGGGGTGGTCGTCACTCTCGCGCAGCAACTTAGTTTCTCGCGTGGCAATGTCGTAGAACTGAATCGTCATTCTCTTGACGGCGACGTCCCTGCCATCGAATCGGCCAGCAAATACGACAGTACCGTTGCTGCCCATGCCAAGCTCGACATCCGTATCGACCTCGATGTTTCCCATGCTGATAACAGAGCCCGTGACGGCTTGCATGTCGTTGTAGATGGTCATGACGTCGGGTTCCAGGCTTGGCCGGTCACCCAGCTTCTTCGCATTGCTTACAGCCTCGTCCACTGTAGTGAGAGCTGGGTCGTTTTCATGAGACTGCGAGCCGTCGGTGGGCCGACCCTTTCTGTGCTTGACACCGCCACGACGGCCTCGGTGAGCCTTCTTCTTCTTCTCCGGTGCAGCACCATTGGAGTCCGTCGAGGGTGCGTCAGGGCCAGCTACATCCACTTGCTTGACCACATCGGCCGTTTTCTCAACAGTCTTGTTGCTCGGTTCCAAGGTGTCAGAAACGTCATGCAGGCTCCTGTTGTCCTTGACCTTGTCCTGGTCGCCGGCATTCCTCTCCACCTTGTGTCTGGACAGGTGGTCTTCCGCATTTTGGTCCTGGGGTTGACTGCGCGGAGACGGCGAAGATGGGAACACACCGTCCTTGTCATCACCTGATTCATCTCCGGCCTCAGATTCGATAACGAAGAAGGGATAGACGTCCTTGATTGTGCCATGAGTCCGGAACCGATGATACGACCGTCGCAGCTTCTTTTCGTTGTAGATCAAGGAGCCTATCAAGAAAATGATGAGAATGGGGTTGCTGACAAAGTCAATGACGCTGTTCGCAGCACTCTGCGGAAGAGCCTTGACTTTGGTGATGATGGTGGGCTCCTCCGGAACAGTGTTTGTCACGGCGTGAGCATTGTTTGAGGCGTTCTCCAAGTCCTCGTAATACTCGTCGAGGGCGCCGGCAGGGAGCGTCGGCGGCTGATGGTAACCGGTGCTCTTGACGGGATTCAGAAAGTGGGTTCCCACCAGGGCCTTGGACAGCTTATTTGGGTTAATGGAATCAAAGGCATGGGCCATATCCCACAAGTCGTCCCGCGAGATCTGGGCCACGGGGGCATCGAGTATAAGCGGATACGCACGGCCGGAGAGCGCATACCAGTCGCCGCTTTCAGTCTGGTTGAGGAAGATGCTGTTGCTTCGCATCTTGACAGTGCTCTCATCAAGCGCTGGAATTGGAGGTTGGGGGAGAACCACCAGCTCCGGGTTGCTTCCCGCATTCGCATCCCACGGTCGACAGACATCGAAGACCCGGGCGACGGGAGACGAAAACTTGTGGGTGTAGAGGGGCAGGTCGTTTTCTGCCTGTGACTTGTCAAACGCGTAAATTCTCCCGTCGTGCTGACTGGTGATGTAATGGTTGTCCAACGAGGCGTGGTATTGCTGGTAGAGGTCGCTGTCAAAGGTGTTGGGTCCCCATTCTGCGTACTTCAAGGTTGCGATAGGGCGACCGTCTCGCCTCTGGATGCCCACCGTGTACTCGGTCCTTCCCAGCGTGATTGTGCCCATGGAGCTGCACTCTGTGGTATCCCTGTCGTCAAAGGCATTGGGCCGAAGGCAGCTCTCGGCTTCGTTGACTTGGGAGCCGCTAGAGCCAAACCATTTGAGAACGCGCCCGGTAGCGGCGTCCAGGGTGACCATGGTCGTCTTCTTGTCTCCGGTATAGACAACGGGGGGCTCGTCGCCGGCGTATGGAGCAAGTTCTTCAACGAGGTGCTTCATGGTGAAGCCGGTCCTGACGAGGCCCGCTCCGGAGTCGGGGATCCATACATAGAGCCCTCCATCGCGGCTCGGCTCGACGGCCCAGATGTAGTGGTCGACGGGGCGATAGTCGTCGTCGAGGACGGAGTTGTTTGTTCGGTAGTGTTTGGTTTCAACCACTGGCTGGTCGACCTCGAGGTGCCAGAGGTGCCGACCGGTCTTTCGGTCGCTGGCATAGAGGTCTCCATCGACGGTCGCCAGAAGAACAAAGTCTTCAACTTCCCAGTCCTCCAGACTCCGCGCATTCTGCGGCGAGGCCAGCCCAGAAGCGGCGCTGCTGCTGGGCCAGTGATGTCGTGAGGTGTGTGGTGCTCGGACGGGCTGAGCCGGAGCTAAAGTTGCGAGGGCGCTCGCATCGTTGGGGACTTTTACGTAGTTTGGTTTCTCGGATTCGCGGATAGGGTGCTGCGCATATCGGTTCTGGGCCTTGTCCTTGCTGGCGTAGTCATAGGGGGCTCGTCGATATTTCTGGTGTTGCTGGGGCGAAGCGGTCGACTGCTGCTTTTGCTTCCTGTTGACGGTGTCGAACTTCGCTTCGGGGTGCACGTCTGGTGCAGCATGTGTTGCGTACCAACGGGTGTTGGCATCGTCGGCGACTTTGTCAAGGGGCGCGTCGCCTCTTTGTGAGTGAATTCGAATCTGGGGCTGCTGAGGCTGCTGCTGAGCATCGGCAAGTTGGAGCCATGGTATGAGAATAAAGGCAAAAGCCAGGAGGAGCTTCTGATGCGACGCGGACCATCGTCCTTGGCTCGGGGGTCGCCGCATCATGATCGAGACGAAAGTCGGGGTGCCGGAGAGACGGAGAGCGGATCACATGGGGAGCTGCAGGCTATGGCTCTACCAACGGAGAGGTAGAGGCTGTTGCGATGCCAGAGAAGCCATTCCCGGCCCAAACGAAGAAGCAAGGAAAAATTCGCTCTGACGCTCGGACGTCAAAGGAGAAAGGGATGAGGAAGCAGAAAGAGGACGTCGGTTGGTCGAGTAGGAGAGGCTGGGCAGAACCAGTCCCGCGCAGCAGCCAAAGGAGTAGGTTTAGAGTCGCTGAAATGACTCGCAGTCGCAGCTCTGTCGAATTCGAAGGCAACGGAAACCGCTTGTGAGTCCCCGCGAATATGACGAGGAGAAAGTGGTGCAGGCTGTGGATTCGATCGTGGGCTTCGGCTCCACCAGTCCAGTGGTCGCTGAGTTGTGCTGTGTTGAACCCCCCTTCACCCTCAGCCGATGGTACCACGAATATGCGTGTCTCCTTGGTGCGAGAGGCCGTATCTTGAAGATGGAGTCGCTACGGCGAAGGGCGAGAAATGCCGGCTGTGCGCAGGTCCTGG